TACAAATTGGTCCCTTGGATTTATTGTGTCCCTTGGATGTATTAAAACCAAGAGCGGTGCGAATTAGGTTGATCTTTGCAACCGTAAACATATTATCATACGTACTAATTGGCGTTGCTTCGCTACTTGGATGACGTGATAAGTAGTCCGCCAATCCAATTTTAACCCCTGGTTTATGTTCAATTCGAAACTCAAAGGGAATTAGTCGATCTAACCAGCGCGTTAAGCGGCTAAACATCGTTTTCTTTTTCTTGTTATTACCAATCAAAAGGGATATTAGAGTTTTGTGGTCGGTAACCATCAAAAAACTTCGGCCCAGTAAGTAATTTCGGAAGTATTCAGCCCCCCACACGACTGCCAACATCTCCAATTCGTTTGTTGAATATTTCTTTTCCGCTTCGTTAAGGTATCGCGTCTGGTCCTAACTGTTCCAACACCGCACCGAGCCTGTTATGGCTTGCATCGCACACTATACGAATGTCCTTGTGGATATCAAAATGCCGTAGTTCAACAATGTTCGAAACTTGTTTCTTAAGGTTTTCGAACGCGTTCTGGCATTCAGTTGTCCAAATGTATTCGTTGCTTTTGCTTAGTAGAGGTCGCAGCGGTGCAGATGATTCGGCTAACGCCGGTAGATACTTGTGCAGACTGTGTATTGACCCCATGAACGATTTTAATTGCGACAAAGTCCGCGGCGGCGTTAGCGCCTCTATCGATTCTGTTTTCCTAACCAATGGAGTTATTCCAGTCGATGTTATTTTATGGCCTGGCCATTCGCATTCTCGTTGGGCGAATTTACATTTTGTTAATTTTATAGACATATTTTCACGATCCAGTTTATTTAAAATTTTCTCTACCGTTGCTATATGGTCTATCGCAGTTCCCTTGGTTACAACCAAAATATCGTCGATGAACGCGTGCGCCTGCGGTTATTCGGCGAGTATGCAATCCATTGCGCGTTGGAGTTCCGCGGGCATTGTAGTTAGACCATAGAATCCGGTCTTGAACCCGTACGTACCCGTCGAGCTAATGAGAGAAAAATTGAGAGAAAAATTACATTGTACGCTCGTTTCAGCGTTTAACGGCAATTGGCCATATGCGTATGTTAAATCCATTGTGGTGAAATATATGTCTCCTTGTTTTTTTTTTCACTAATCGTTTGCCCAACTGTGTCCATTAGTTCCTCGATATTGGGCATTTGGTATTTATTCTTATGCACTTGTTTATTTAATTCCCTCGACTCGAGTGCCAGTTTCACGGTCCCATCTTTTTTTACTGTTATTACTATTGGGGACACAAAATATTTGTCCAAGCATTCTGTGAGTTTTTCGATATGACCCTGTTGCCATAGTTTATCAATTTCGGCATCCACTTTTTCTTGTAACGAAATCGGAACTCGACGCCCCTTCTGTTGTACTGGGATGAGGTTTTCAAAAAACTCTGCTTGCACTTTGTAGTTTTTTATTTTCCCTACCCTGCTAAAAAGGTTTGAAAACTGCTTATTGAAACAGGTTTGCCAGGAATCCAACTCCCCCTCCGGTTCCAGTGCTTCCTGGTTTCCTTCTCCAATGGACATTATCTGTTCCCCTGGTGATTGTTGCACCAACTGAAGTCCTAATTGGGGCATCAAATCTCTTCTTGTTATTGATGGTCGGTTCCCTCCGATTACTTTTATCCTCGCGTGTATCTTCCAGCCGTTGGATTGTCTTGTTACCGCCATTGTTCCAATCATCTGTAGTGGATTGTTTCCATATTCCCGAAATGCATTGTCCTCATCCCTAAGGTTATCCAATTTTACTCCAGACGTTCCCAAAGTCTTCCGCAATTCCCCAATGGTGAAGATCGAAATTGGAGAACCGCTATCGATCCACACTCGAGTGGGTTTCCCATTGACTTTAATCAGCAATTGTGCCACAGCAACTTTCAATTCCGTGACTCTTTTATGTTTTATCGCCATTACCATATAGTCCCCGTCTGAGCTGCTTGATTCCCACCAGTGCACCACTGGATTCTTATTAACCCATCCAATGGAACTTGCATGTTGTGACGCTTCTTCATCCTCGGAATTTTTCAGGTGACTATCGTCAACATTCTCCCGTATCATTCCTACGGCTCCCTGTCCCCGCTGATTTCCACGCTTCCCTCTACAGGTACGTTCGAAATGGCCAAATTTATGGCAAAAATTGCATCTAACTCCTTTTGCGGGGCATCTGTCCAAATGTTCTCTGGTGAAGTTTTGTTGATCACAGTTATAGCATCTATTGTTGTTGGGAAAGTTTCTACCTCGATTCGATCCTCGCCCTTGGTAAGAGCCCCGGCTCCTTGCACGATTGTTCCGATAACCTCCACGGATTATTCCGACTGGTTCCATTTTTATCTGGATCCCGCCGCCTCCTGATGTCAATCCTTGGGCCCCCGCTGATCCCGTGGCACCATAGGATGAAGCATATTTATTTCCCCTCTCGTACGAGAGAGCTATCCGGTAAAACTCCTCAGGTGTTTTCGTCGAACTGCATAGTTCCTTTTGTGCTTCACGGTTATTCATGTTGACGATGAATACGTCCCTTAGTATCCGGTCCTCTAGTGTTCCAAAGTTGCACCGCGCTGCCAATCCACTTAGTACTGAATGGAATTGCTCCAAACTTTCATTGATAAACTGCTTTCGAGAAAGAAGTTGGTATATCTCATATGTCTCATTTCTTTCTTTCTTAAATTCCGTTTCCAGTGCGTCTATCATTCGTGGGTAACGAATCGTCGAGAGATCCAGAAGCGGTAGTCTTTTGTGAAGTTCACCCTGCCCTTTTTCCCCCAGGCACAGAAACAGATTTGAAATTAGTACTTGTTCCGATTCCAGTCGATTTTTTCCGTCTACTTCCTCGTGCAAAGCAGTAACTTGGGCGGCTGTGAGAGTCGTGGCGTAGTAATAGTTCTTCGGGTTTATTGAGTGCTTAGCTACCATTCCACATTGGAATCGGTTAATCCAAAATTCCCACATCATTGGCGATTCCGTGCATTTTGCTGGCCAGAATCCCGTGATGCCCAGTGGATTCTTTCCCCCACCTGAGACTGCTGGCTGCGCCATGTTGAGAAGGTAAAACGGTAGTCGTCTAATTGTTAATTCCAATACAAGAGATAGTCAACTTAATCTTACAAAGTTAGCATAGAGAGTGGTTGAGAACAGTATCCAAGGGTTTTTTTTCTCAGAATAGTAAATAAATATTTTTAAGTTTTTGATTCCTTTATTGTGTCGGCTGAATTTTGATTCGTTTCTTTTTCAAATAAAAATAATTTGATCTCGCACTCTCTCCAAACAGTTTTTTATCAAAATTTGGTTTTTTAATTTTTTATTTGAACAAATCCTGGTCAATTTAATCAGGTTTTATAAAAATTGTATGGAGTTTGCATTTTTATTTTTTTTGAATTTTTTTCGTTTCTCAAAACTTTTGTTACTCTCATAAATATTTTAAAATCGAATTTCGAAAAACTAGTTAAAACACCTCTCAATACCCTCTCTTCTGTTGGGAAGGTAAAACGGTAGTCGTCTAATTGTTAATTCCAATACAAGAGATAGTCAACTTAATCTTACAAAGTTAGCATAGAGAGTGGTTGAGAACAGTATCCAAGGGTGACAGACTGTTCCAAGGACAAACACCTGCTAATCAATTAGTCTAGCACCGAGAGTGGAAATTTGATTGACAGCTTCCGAAATGAACTAAATTACTCTATACAACACTTCCCACATAGTTTCTCAATTTTTTTCTATCTTATCCCATTTTCTGCTGCTTTCAAAAAACTGTGTGAAAGAAATTTTTGACTAAAGTTTTTGAAATTTATCAATTTATCGATACCTACTCGACCAAATCTGAAGTTTTGGGTTCAATCGAAAGCATACGTTGTTGCAAATTTCCCTGTAAAAACGGCTACGCCCAAAATTTGCTTTGCTGTGGCACACAGAAAAGTCAAATTTATGATTTTTTGACCGTTTTTTCAAACTTCTACTTGTTTCTAAAAATCTCGTGTATATGCGGCTACGCCCAAACTTGCTTTACCCAAAGCGATGGTCTTCGATTTTTTTAATGATTTTTGATCGTAGTTAAAGTTACTTAAAAATTACCCCCCCCCCCCAAAGCTCGGAATTCAACTTCAATAAGAAAAATGGCAGTCGAGAAGCTCTACTGCATAAGCGGATACCCCCTAAACAATGTTTTTGGTTTTTGAAAAAAAAAGATTTTTGAGCCTTTTTTGGAAGCTTTGATTTTTCGAAAACTGCTCTGCCAATGTTCAGGTTAATGATTCAATCGAACCACAGACAGCAGATTACGATCTTCTTCGCTGCATCAGCCAAAACGCCTTAAACCCTGAAGAAAAAACAAAAACACTCGGAAAAATTAAACTTGATTAATTTTGTGACCACCATTTTATGGAATCTCTTTGATTACTTAAAACCTAACCTACCAATCTGAGATTAAGCATTAAATCGAATGTAATGGTTGTGAATTTTTTTCTCGCACTAGCGTCGATTTCTTAACTTGTGTTAAAGGATCCTATGTCTACATTTCTTAAGTTTTCGCTGATTTCCAAATGTATGCAAGTTTTTGCGTTCTCGAGAACTACCCTGTTAACTACCCTGAGATTCAGAGTTCAATCGAAAAGACAGGTTATGGTAATCTTTTCGGTATAAATGGTCTTGCAGTGGCGACTTCAATCAAATGCGCTTGTTTCGGGAAAAATCTACTGCCCTAATTATTTTCAATTATTTCAAAATTGAGTTTGCTATCTTGTTCTGCAATGTTTTTTTTCTTGTGTCGCAAAGTGTTGCGAAGCTCCGCTTCGCTTCTGTGTCAGAGTTGGGATAAACAGTACTTTTTTGAATGTCTGAAGTTTTTTATCTACTGAGATTGCTCGAAATATTAATTTAGCAGACGTGGAGTCAGCTAAAAATAACAACACCGATTTATAATATTGCTTCTGGTCAAAACCTTTTGTGTTGTATGTTTCAGTTCCAGCTATTTCCTGGCTGGTTGGTTAGTAGAGTATGGCTTCATGAGCACCCTACTCACCTATGGACTGATGCAGGGTGCTGGAGTGGGACTGGGATACCCCACGTGTCTCAAATACGCACAAATGGTGAGCATCTTTTGGCCAGTACTTCACTCAGGTCTTTTTAAGAGCAGTGTTCACACTGTTATCTTACCCATTGAAGCTTTCCGCCCTTCACGTCAGCTCAAAAACAAAAATTACATTAGCAAATGTTGATTTTTGTTTAAGGCTCTCTAATTCATTGGGGACATTTATTGTTGCGAAAGTCGAGAATCAATCTTTTTTGGATCTCAATATTAGTACCCAAGACATCAAAGTTTCTTGATGCATTATTTATGAGCATTGCCTCAAAGTATTACATAAAGTCTAAAACGTCTTAAAATGTTTTAAGGAAAGTTGAACATCTGCTATTGATAGCTCTCAGTTGAGAAAGTACATGCATATTACAAAATGTATGACGGTTATTAGTTCAAAATCTTCTTGTTATTCTGATATTTTGATAACTAGTGATGGAGTCTTACTTAGCTATTTTTTGTTCGACCACTCCCAAAAGAGTGGAAAAGAACTATGGCTAATGGCGGATTTTTTTTTTACCAACAATGAATAAACACAAGCGAGGAAAACGCAAAAAAGAGCTTTAAACGGGCAAAACAAAAATGAATAAGGAAAACATAAAATATGCATCTTGAAAAAATTTTTTGTAGAAATTAGGAGTAACACGTTCTCACATCTGCTTGACGACCGCTTGTATTTTTACTAATATAAGCCACCAATAAAACAGTTACAGTTTCTATAAAAACTCGGCCAAAAATGAAACTATACAAATGTTCCGGATTTGAATATCCGAAATGTTGATTGGGAGTCTCACGGCCTCGCATCTGCGCCATGGTCGCTTAAAAGTAAAGTAGTGACCCGGATTTTACGCTGAACCCTAGTGTTTCTCAGGGGATTCACTGCTTAGTTAGAGAAGATAATTGCTACTCGCTCTTTCAATTGAAGTTTTTATTTCAGATTTGGCTGGGTAATTTCCAAAAAAATATGAAAAAGATTCCAAAACTCGATCAAAAATTAGACTCCCAAATCCAGGTGAAGAAACTTTTTTAAGAAACCGTTAAAAAATTGAAAAGGAATTTTTCCAAAGTTCATATCAGCTTTTCTACAAAAAAAACAGGTCGAAACAGATTATGCAGGGATAACCTAAGCACCATGTTAGTTTTAATGAACTATCAATCTCAGTCAAAATCAGCAGGTTTGTTTTAGAAAAAAAAACTTTTCATAATACGAGCTAAATTTCAAAATGGGCTAGTTTAAGGTCATATCTTTTTTCTACCAATTTTAGGGAACAGCCGCTTGAGAAGCGGAGATCCCCATAATTTGTTGTTTTGATTGAAACCTTCTTCTCAGTTTTGTGATAGGTCAAAACATCCTCCACTGAAACTTTAGAAGGACGTAGAATCTAAAGTAAAATGAAAACAGACTAGCTAATTATGCAGGCTTAAAGCAGAGCAGTCAGTTTTTCCATTCGTACTATTTTGCGGAGTCTGACATGCAGCAGCAGAATCTGACATGAAGCAGTTTGAGCAAGGAAACGCCGTTTGCCAAGACCAAGCAATGTCGATATTGAGATAATTTTATAATTAAGCCCATGATAACTTCAACCGTTTGTTTTTTAGACGAGTTCGTTGTTCAAAATTTTCCCCTGAAGATAAAAAGTTAGCTCACTTGGCCGAGAAATTTAAAAGATATTCTCGGAAAAATTGCACATATTCGAGCTATTCAAAGCTTTAGTTCAGCTTTTACGTAGAGTTTTGAAAGCTGAATTCCTAAAAAAACTCAGTTTTGGACTCAGAGATTGAGATATTGACACATAAAAGAGTAAAACGACCAGCGAATAGTTTCACTGGTAAAAGTCCTAAGAGAATAGGCGTACGGATTAGAAAACTATTCAATTTAGAAAACTATTCATTTTTATTCAACATTTTTTTGCAGGTTTTGCTGATACAGTCAGCAATATTAATGATAGTCTATTAAAAACTTTTTTCCATGATTTTCGAGATTTATATATCATAAATAATAAAGAAATGATAGATCTTTTTTTTTAAACTGAGGTTGTAGGGTGTGGACAACTTCAACTGCCTTACAGTTAAACTTCTTAGTACTTCTTACTGTTTAATTAAAACATCACTTGACTAGGCCTATCGGGCCTTTTGATGTCCTTGCATATCAGAATTATGTAAATTGACAAATGTCTATTGAATAATCTCCGATGTGAGAACAATTTATTATCATTATTATTTTTTTTTTATTCCAGTGGTTTCCGTCTCGCAATGGGCTGGTGACGGGTGTAGTGATGACTGGCTTCGGTATGGGTAGCTTCGCCTTCGCCTTCATTCAGACTGCTATAGTCAACCCCGATAACCTCTCTGCTAATGTCAAGATAAACGACGACATGTAAGCTTTACTGAAGTCATCACGCATCTATACAATGCCACACACATCCCAAGTATTTAATCATATCGCGGGTTGACCAAAATGTGCAACCATACGTCGCACCATGCATGGTTCCATGGAAGCCATGAAAAATTGCCGACGTATTTTTATGTTAAAATAACACATTCTCCATGCATGGCGCGACGTATGGTTGCACATTTTTTTTATCATGGGGACTTCAAAGTAGACAATTGTGATAGTCATTTTTGTCAATTAACCTCTATTTTACGGTTTTCTAGAGAAAAAAAAGTATGGTGAAAAATCTCCTCCATACGTAGCACCATATATGTTGCGACATATGATTTGCATGGTGAAAATTTTTGATATTTTACCAACAGCTTGCATAACGATGCGAAACCGTTTTATTACTATTTTACTCCGTTAAAAAGCTATTCTGAGGGTTTTCGAAACCAACGTATGTGCTACGTATGATTAGTCATTTTCCATGCAAATCATGCATGGATGTGCATGGTTGCGGGTCATCTTCTATGGTGGGCAACCCGGGATAGCTCGGCGTTTTCATGTTTTTAAAAGACCGTTATGACACGTGGAGTTATAATGATTTCAAAACTCAGAACAGAGCTGATTAAAATTTCGCCATTAAATTGAAACTATCGTGGGTGGGTAGCCGTCGTAGTTTTGGAGAACATTTAGCATTAACATGATGAGTGAGCAATTTTTTTAGGTATTTCAACCAACCAGAAGTATTGGACAATGTGCAGAGCTGTTTCTACATCACTGGGGTGATTTGTGGCTCATTTCTTGTGGTTGGACTACTACTAATGCCAGTTCACAAGCAATTTGATCAGGCAAGCTCATCTTAATTGAGAAGAAATCATTTTAGTTTGGCAAGATTGCATGCATGTCTTAGGGTCGGTTGGCGTGGATTTTGTCAATTAAAGTTTTCGTCCTTCAAAGTACAATGACAGAATTCATACTTTTGCCCTCTCTTCCATTGGAATGGCGGGGGGAGGGGGGGGGGCTTTGGTTACATTAACACCTTGGGTTTGCATTAACAGTTCGTGTCTCTAGTTTTGAGAGGAAGTGCGCCAAAAAGTGCATTTTGTTGGTCAAAATGTGTTGGTCAAAAATGGCCTAAACAGTACTTTAGCACTACTTTTTTTCATAAAAAACTGGCCTGGGGCACAGAATTTTTTTTTAGCAAAAACAATCTTTGTAGTGTTTTGAGCCTCGGAAAACTTGGATTATCATTTTGGTCGACCGAAAAAAGGTCCAATTCAAAAACCCTAGATCCTCACGCACTCAGTAATACGAACAATTTTGGCACCTAAAGGTGGCTCTTTGCCTTGTTCGAAGTCACCAACAAAACGATTTACTTCGCAACTTTCTTTCGGCAAAAACCACGGCGGAGTAAATCTCCAGTTTCAAAGGTTGATTGAAGATATAAAATGGCGGAACTAGAATTTTCAAAAAAAAAATCGAAAGTTTTGTCAATATTTTTTAATGGTGGACCCTTTGGGCAGTGAGGGGGTAAAATACCTGATAATCTATCGAAGTAAGCCATTTGTTTGCGTATGTTTTCACTTATATTAATTACTTAATAGAAAATTTAAATAGGAGAAGGCATCAAAGCCGAAGGCTACTAGCCAAGCAGGGAATTCAGCGATGAACAATTGCCTAGAAAACGATATCCAAACGGACAGTAAATACGAAGATGACTCGTCTACGGGTTCAGATGAAATCACTTTACAGACGAATCCCTTCAGTAGTGGGCGAGAGGTCACACCTTTGGAAGCTATGAAAATGAGGTCATTTTGGGTGATGATGTTTGTGGTTGCAGTGAACGAATACGGGCTAATACTTATCACAAATTATTACAAGGTAAAGAGGGATATTCTACTTCAGGGAATTTTTCTGGACTCGACGGAGTGGCGTTGATCAACCCTACGTTTCCATTGTATCCTACATTTTCCCCCATAATTTCCATTGTCCCCTACATTTATCCATTTTTTTCTGCCGCTACAACTTGTGCGAAGGTCAGTTGCGAAGGTGTCCATACATCGTGAAAATTGCATGCACGGGTAAAGAAGGGCTCATGGCACTTTAAATAGCTTCAAAAATTTCAAATCCGCTTTATCAACACGAATAAACACAGATATACACCTAAATCTAATTGATTTGAAATCTTTTTCAACTCACAGATTATACTTTTTGAGCAACAGAGCAACTAATTACTAATTATTGTATGGCCTCTCTTTCAGCCTTATGGTCAGACTAAGATCCATAGCGACTCCTTCCTGACTATGGTCGGGTCTATAGGCTCCGTGGCCAACTCGGCCGGAAGACTCTGCTGGGGAGTTCTGCTCGACTACTCCGACTTCAGGGTGACTGCAGACTCAATTTACTAGTTCTATTTCTACGTAATTTCAATCGCGTTTTTTTTTTCTAAATGGAGTTATTATTCATTAAAGTTATTATCATTAAAGTTATTAGTTTAAAACTCAATTGTTTAACTGTTATGTTGCAACAAGAGCACTGGCAATGCTCTCGTGATAAAAGCAACTAAGATATACCCAAGCTTCAATTAGAGTTATTGCAACAAAATTTCCCAAGAAAGCAAATTTTGATTAAAAACGAATTCAAAACTGTCCCGTGATTAGCAGACACTAAAGATCCAGTAGTTAATGCGCTATAACTAAATCGACATTACCGTTTATCTCAGGGAAAATATGATACGTTTTTCAATAAGTAAATGCAATAAAACGAGCAACATGTATGTTCACAGACACTTGCAGTAACTCTCACCGCGTGTCAAGCTCTCCTGCTGATGACAATGCCTATCAGTCTGAGCCTGAGTGAACCATGGGCCAAAGTGTACTTCGCAATTTGGGTGTGTGGGCTGAACGCCAATGGGAATGCACTGTTCGTGCTCAGCCCCACAACTGCAGGCCGTGCATTCGGAATGAAGCACTTCGGTGTCAACTACGGCTTGATTTACTTCGTTGGGGTGAGACGCAGACTTAAATTGCATTCGAAAAAATTTATGATAACAGCTATTTGATATAGCTGTTTTAATTTAAGACTTTACCAATTATCTTACACAAAAAAGTCACTACGTCACGCTTTTTTGTTTTAAAAAGAAAAACCAGAAATAGAAAATTAAAATTGCAATTTTAAAACTTTCGCAGAAAAGAAAGACAGTCGGTTGGTGTGCAAGTATCACAAAAGGCTGCGATTACATTAATTTAAGTAAAGCAATGTTTTTTGATGTTTTTACTTGGTAGTGGGTGGATTGAATTAGGTAATTAGCTGCGAAATTGAGATAATTATTGCTAAAATAGCACAAAGACGTCAAAAGAATTGCGTAAGGAGTTCAGCATATCCCTTTTTCATTCCTTCATGTATAGTAGTCTGACAAAAAAAAACGGTTTTTCTCAACACAGAAAGAACATTATTGATTTTTTTCTGAATCACGATCATCAGAGCTTCATTGTAAAGCCACTTTTGACACCCTACGAGCGTTCTTTGAGTGTTCTGAAATAAGGCGGAAAAAAATGTACTCAACATTATAGCTCCTTCTCATATAATATAGTGTACGTTTTTTTTCCGCGTACACTAAAAAGACGTACTCTAAATTGGCAACGATCGCAGGGTGTCAAAATGGGCGTTACAATGAAGCTCTGCTGATCGTGATTCAGATTTCAGAAAAAAAATGAACAATGCTCTTTTTGTGTTGAGAAAAACCGTTTTTCATTTTTTTCGTCAGACTACTATACATGAAGGAATGAAAAATGAAAATGGTGACTACTAATTGATAGCGTGCGTGAGTGGTCGGAACAAAAACTAAAAGATTTCAAATGGAAACTTTTCATCAATGTTGATTTCCATGAAAAAAATTTAAAAAGCAAGTTTATGCATACTAAGATTTGGGACTCGACTTTGCCCTACAATTATGCCGCTGTTTTAGTCAAAATACTGATTGAGTTTCATGAGTATGTGCAGTGTATGTCTCATTTCGCACAAAACGCAACAAATTTGAGAGCTCAAAAATTATTGCTTTTATATATATAATTTTTGCCAAAGATTGATAGCTTTTGTTTCAGGGTACGATGGGCGTGGTGTTTACCGAGATAATTTCGGCAGTGCTCGAACACACTTCGGGCTACACTTCTGTTTTTTTGATTGGAGGAGCAACATCATTTACCTGTTAGTTATTATTAAAAAAAGCTGGTTTAATGCCCAATACTTTTCAATTGCTGTTCTGACATGAACATATTAGACATAATAAATTTAACGGCGATACTAAGGAAACACTTAAACAGGTATACTGGTGTCTTACAACGGTTTTTTTTTTAAATAAAAGAACCATGTTTTGACATTACAAATTAAAACTGAGCCTTTAGCCAGGCTGACATATTACAAGTGACGCAAATCTGATTAAGAGACGTAAAACATAGCCAACAGACAGTTGGGAAAAAGTCAATGAACGCAATAAAATAGAAAAAATTGATGCCCGTAAAGTTCTTTCTAGAGTTTCTAGATTAAGGTATGGTTGGCTTTTTCCAGAAAATTAATCCGATTTTACACAACTGGATATGTGAAATTTTTTATTTCGCTGGGAAATCTGATCATTGAATTCCATTGTCGGAACTAGCAGTCGATCACATTTTTTGTGACCTTTTAGTTTTGGCTGTTCGACAATGGAGTTTGCTTCTTTTTAACCCAGGGAATGTATTGAACTTCTGAAGTCAAACCGCAAAACAGTTAATTTGAGCCTCAACAAACTTTCAGTTTTTTACTGCAATAGAAGTAATTGTGAACTGATAAAAGAGTCAGTCCTATAGCTAAATTTTTAGCAGACTGGCTTTTTTTAGAACTATCTTTTCGCAGGCTCAAAATTTTTTGCAAGTCAGACCGCTTAAATCAAATGCAGCAGAGTCAAGTAGCGTTAGCTTGCTTTGCTGCGCTTACCTACGTCACCAGTGGTTTTGTCCGCATGAATCAAAGCTAGCAGCTCATTGCAACTAAGTGTTTTTAGTTGATAGGGTTTTGTTGGCAAAACGTGAGATATTGTTTTAGGTAAAGAATTTTGACGCAAAAGTAAGCGTTTGTTCTGCGCGATTGTCATTCAATTATTCTTCAGCTGTAGTATGTGGTTCTTCTAAACGACTTATTTTTCAGTTTAATGCTAAAATTGGGTGAGCGAAAACCCGGGTAGCCTCTTTAAGTTTTAAAAACAGAATTACTTTAACTGGCAGCAAGCACTATTTCTTGCAAACATTACCATAGTTCAAATAGGCATGAGCAAAAATTTTCGGCATGCGAATACTTTTAAATTCTGCGTAATTGGAGTTAAAAAATCCATAGACATTTTTATGCAACTTAATTGTTATGACAAAATCAATAGTTTTAGGTCATGACTTTTGTGAAAAATGTCTGGAATAAACAATCCAAGCCATAGTTTCTACAATTTAATCATTTTGTTATCAAAAATGAATTTACTAACTAATATGCTTTGTTACAGGCGAACTGGTTGTGATGCTTTGGAACGCAAAAAACATGAAAGGAGAAGTCATTTAACATACTCATTCAGCACACGAAACATCGCGGAGAATAACTTCGAAGGAAGCAATTGTGGAACCATATCAATTTCGTTGTTTTACTTTTTCCCTTTTATACAGATCGAAATAACCAATTGCTGATAAATGGTGAAATTTTAGATATATCAAAACTGAAACCTTTTGCACCACTGATGTTTTTAGAAAGCAGCAAAAAAGCTACAAAATGCAGAACAGTTAAAACTAGACCTATGATAATTTGGAACTAATTAAACAAAAACACCGAGCGTTATAAGACGGAAACTATAAGGAAAATAAATGTATAAATTTTGCACTTCGAAAATTTCGCAAATTGTAAAAATAATATTGAGCTTTTTTTGAGTTGTTATTGCACTGTTGGTGAAAACATCAACTGCTTTAATCTTAGGTTGGAAAAAAGGAGAAGTGTGGTATCACAAGAGTAGCGTTGTAGTAAATTTTGAGTTTTTGTTGCACTGTTGTTGGAACCGTCAACTGTGTTAATCTTAGGTTGGAAAAAAGTAGCGTTGTAGTATCAGACTACGCTCCGCTTGAGTAATATAGCAAGACTAGTTACCGCTTATAATACACTTACTCTTGAAAGTGTAATAACATCCAGTCGCTCCCGCTCTTGAGCTAGGTGTAATTTTTTTCTGAAATTTCAAAACTGTGCTTCTCACGTGAAATTAAAATTTGCAATATAAATTCATTTAACTTGAGCTAAAAAAAATGATGGGACGAAAAAAGATAAATTAATGAAATATTTAACACGAAAATCTCAAAATTCTGAAGGTGAAAAATGGTACAAATGAGGACGTATAATCGATAAATATATAGAACGTATAGCATTTTTCATTCGTAGATTAACTTGCATAACCAACACAGTTTAGGCAAACTTATTCAGCGAAGTTTACTCAAGGCACTCCTATAAGAGTCCGAGAAGAGTTCATTCCATTTTAGCCGGTTTCTGTATTAAGCTGATTCTTCAACTTTACTTCAGGGTTGAGTTCCGATGATATAACATTGTATCTTATCAATCATGAGATCTTGTGATTACTTCTGATGCGAAACACCATTTGCTACTTTTGTGAGGGTGACATAAGTGTACATACAGGAGAAGGCCACTGAACAAGTCATGACTCCATTCATTATCAGTCCCATCCAGTCGTTGTAGCCGACGATAACCTAAACACAAGAAGGAAAATTGCGCATAAGAGCCGAGCAAAAACTTCTCCCCTAGAACTAGACATTACTCAGGACTGGAAAAGGGGGACTTTACCGCTCTTAGTGAAATCTTGACTTAGTTTGGCGGACGAGACGTCACTTACACCTATCTTCACAATTGACAATTGTGAATTACTGAAAATTAACGAACAAGGACAAGTTAGGGCTGCAGTCGATACGATATTTGTGCGCAGCTACTAGCAAAAACCATTAAAAATAGCTTATTTTGATACCCAACGAAAAACTTTATCACCCAAGTGTTATAGTTACCATTCATATTTTGATGTACAAGGAAAGTTTACGCAGCTATGAACTCACAAAAACTTTCCTTGAATTCTGAAAAACGCTGAATATCAATTTTTTTCTGTTTCTGAGCATAGATTTTAATTGAAATGTTTGACTGACTACATAGAAAATTTTCTATAGAACCCCACACAGACCACTTGTCCGGAAGTACAAAACTTCAAGGCAAGCTCAACCACTCTTTTGACATCAACTATAAAATAAGACTTTTAAATACACTGTTATAAAATTCCTTAATTTTCAGAATTCTGTAACAAATAATGATTATTTGTTACAGAATTCTAAAAAATTTGGCAAGGAATTTTACAACAGTGTATTTGAAAGTCTTAGTTTATAGTTGATGCCGAAAGAGTTAACGCCAAAAGATGTAGTTGACCCTGTTTTGGCCAAATTTTCTGCGCCGCAGGCAAAATTTTGAAAAAAAAACAGACCGAAAAAGGCGTTTTTAGGCTTTTTTTTGGAAATTTTGACCAAAAATTGCGCTTTTCGGCGTGCGCTCTTCCCGCAAAAATAAGTATATATTGGCGCCTAACGCGCCTTTAGAAATTTATTTTAAGGTAAGTCACCAAAAATGTATATCTCAAAATAGTACAAAGGGGGGACCCTTTGGGTCGAATCTCTGAGGAGGGGAGGGGTTCGTTTCTTTAAATCCGCCCCTGAAATAATCAGACAAAAACAGGGATCGGCTATCTCAAAAATGATCTCATTTTTTAAATTCAGATTTTTGTGTTTGATTACATAACTACCAGAGAAACCAATCCACGTAGAAGACGACCTAAGATTTCAAGCGGACTTTAATAACCCGTACCTTGAGATGTTCTAGGATGAGTGGTTTGTATGACGTCATCAGGAGAGCCATGCTGACAAAAGAGGTCACACGGGAGGAAAGGTGTTGTCTGGCCCACATCCAGATGAAAGTGGCAGTGGCTATATGTTGCAGCAGGATGAGGTTCGAGTCCAGACAGAGCAGCATGTACTTCCAGTCGAACTCGATGCCCCTGGCGCCGAACCATAGGTGGATGAATTTACCCAGAATGACCTGAGAAAAAATCACAATTAATTGTTGAATGTTGAGTTCCACATTTGTAAATATATTCACCAAAATTGAGGAGCGCACATTCACCAAAACAAAAAAAGAACCAAGAAAACTATGAAAATATTGGAGAACCATGAAACCATCGCATAAAAAAAATAAGGCTGTACAGCTGTCTCCTCGACCTTTGGAATCTTGAATTTCCTTTGCAATTCGTTTCCCGGGGTACTTTTTCTACTTACCTCTGCGGCCGCCCAGCCAGTTCCCGCGACCATGAACTTAATCTCTCCTTTGCCCCCTCCCAGCTGCTCCATTGCAAAGTACAGTCCCACTAGGTCCAAGAGATCCACAGTTGCCCGTGCAATATTCAACACTCCCCCAATGGTTGTAGCTGGCATCATAGGGTCACCTGTAATCATCAACCAATAAACTTATATCGATCAAAAAAAGGGTCCCAGTTGTTATCGATTCAAAGATCCCTTCCATCTAAAATGATCTTTTATAAACCATTTATTGCACAACTCAACTGCGTTATATATTTTTGACCCATTTAAATTATCATCAATTGTCAAAGATTGAAATCTGAGATTTGTTCAGATTTCAGAAAAAAACTGGAGCTCGTGGTAGATATCCAATTATTTTCATGAATTTGGCCACCCAAATAAATGAAGTGGAATGGTATTCTTCCAGCTAGCTTTAACTATGTTGATGAACTTCATGATGTACAATCAGCAAATAGACTAATTTGACAATACTCAAATTTGATTGGTTGAAAAACGATAATTATAAAAAAAAGAAATTGATTACTAAAAAGTGATTTTGAAATAATAGTTCAGAATTGTTTTTTTTTAAACAGAGAATGCGTAAAATTCTCCGTATAAATTTCATGGCAGCTATATGGCAGGTATTGTTGAGCTAAAATCTACCTTCTGGCCTGTCCGTTTACAAAAATGTCTACTCGCTACTTTTATAATCCATTCTTATTTTAAAAAATAGTGCTATAATTATGACAGAGGTGTCTTACGAAATTGCAAAGGACCTAACTTACATATAAAGCCTCCAAACTCGATCAATTCATTAGGTTTGCGACTAGTGCTGCAACACTCGTTCGAAAATAGCCTTCGAATGTTCGTCAACAGCATTCGAACATTCGATATTTCATTGGGTTTTTCCGTATTCTTGAGAAACAAGTGAAAAACACAATTTAATTGAAAATTTTCCAATTTTCATTGCAGAATAATTTGAATATTTACTCGATCTGTAGTAATTGTTGCCCTTTTCATGGAAGCAAAGTTTCCAGCAGTGCTTAAAACACGTTCAGACGGGGTACTCGAGAATGGTATGCAGAAATCTTCCTCGCCAAAGTAGTGAGTCTTGGATACTTAGTGTAAACAAAGTTTACACTCAATAACACGCAGGTCAAATAGAACCGAATGTTCGCGAGAGCCTTCAAAGGTTTTTTGTCGAACGAATATTCGAACATTCGGTTGCACCACTATCTGTGACACTTGGAATATAAAATAGCTCAAGTGAACCACGTGCGGTCAATTAAAGTTTGAGAAAAAGTCTGGGGAAACAACTGAGTGCCCATTGCTTACATGCAGTAGCGGATTTAGGGGCGGATTTTTTCAATCCCCCCTTTGAACTATTTTGAGATATCCATTTTTGGCTGACTGACCTTCCGAAAAAAGCGATATTTTGGTCGAAGTTTGCCACAAATTGCCTAAAAACACCTTTTTGGCCTTTTTCAAAAATTTGCCTGTGGCGCAGAAAATTTGGTCAAATTAGGGTCTTTATAGTGATTTGGGAGAGCTCAGAAAATCCGCCCCCCCCCCCCCCCCCCCCACGAGAAATTCCTAGATCCGCGCCTGCTTACATGTCTTATTTACTGAATTGCTGTAACTGCTTAGTTAGCAAAAATGAAGGCCTAATCTCTCAACTTTACCCTAAAATTATCTTTTGCTTTTCCACTTACCTGTAGATGCAGGGAAAAATGTAGCGAGAATGAGAAGTTTGAGTAGCTGAGTTATTACGTAGAAGGCACCTGCCTGCACGCACTTCCAGAAGCTACTGTATTCGGACAGCACAGTGCATTTGTAGGTGATAACGAAGGGAGCCGAGGTCACTGCGGCACAGTTCAACAGGTGAAAAAATGTCATCTTCAAATTATTTGCCACCAACAAAAATCTGAAAACAGAGCTTATCTTATTTAATGCTTGTTTTTATTCTGCTGGTAAAATAACAAACTAAATCAACATTTAGAAAAATCTTCAACAAGTAAGAAAAATCACGTTTTTTTTCGCATCATTGCCTTATTTGAGAACATAATTTGCCTTCCACTTAGCAAATGAGTTGAGAGAAATTGAAACAAAAATCGAAGCGCGAAAAATCAAACTTGAGCGTGGACTTTTAAAGGTTTCTTCCTGAACAAACAGCACACAACCTAAAATTGTCCTCACTTCGTTTATTGATATGTACAAAGCACATGACCACTATAAGTGGCTTTACTTCGATCATGCACTTAACAATTTTATTGAATTTTGTAATGCCTACTGGAATATAAATAAATAAATACTGTACACGACCAAAATGTCTTGTAATGCGAAACATCATCTCCTTCCAGATGATTGGACCAAGTTACAGCATCTTAGAAACGAGGATCCGCGAAAATAAATACTGAATAAAACATCCGAAACCTGTAAAAACGTTTTTAAAACCACTTTTGTGCCAAAAAAAACGTTAACATAGCCAACAGGCCGTTAGAAAAGAGTCAATGAACGCAATGAAGCAAACTTCAAAGTGAAAATATTTCACCTTAAAGATCTTTGAATTTCAAGAACAATTTATGATTGACACTTAATTTGATAAAGTCAACTTTGAGAAAAATGGATCAATAGCTTTTTTTTTTCTGAAAATTAAAATCCACTTGGTACTTTTCTTGTTTTTTTTTTGTTAAAAAAGCTCTCAAGTTTCATTAAATATTTACCCTTAAGCTTTTCGAAATTGATTCAACCAAATTAAGAAAAATGGATCGATAGGTAATTTAATTTATTCCGCTGGAGAATCTTTAAATTACAATCCCCTTTCAAGTTGAAAGTCGAGTTTGCCTTCCTTCTGACAAAGACTGATTCTGGAAAAAAGAGAAACATCGTGACCTATATAACCGTCTTCGCCATGTTCATAGGCAAGTTTAAAAAGTTATCAGAAAATTGATATACACAGTTTCGCAAACGAGCAAGAAATCAGCAACAGGTATCTTCAAAATAAAAATAATACAAAAATTATCTAAATCAGCTTCGATTAATAAAAAACGAGCTTAGCCGCTATGGTATTCCACCTCCCAACCTCCAAAGTAGCGCCTAAGGACTTCAAAACTGCGCCATACCATCTACCTGTCTTTAACTTTAAATCCACTTTCAAGTTGGAGGTCCTTCTCGTTATTCGTGATCTTCATACTTTAGTGTTCGATAGTAAAATTTGCCTTCCTTCTGGCAGAGTTTTCTTTAATTCGGGTCCTCTAAACACCAGTCAACAAACATAGCCAGCCAACAAACCTTTCGAAAAGAATCTATGAACGTAAGGAAACAGGAAAAAAACTGACTTGTTTTTTTTAAAATCTCAACTTTCGAATTTCCCAGAAAAAAAAGACCATAGAGCTCGCTGAACTTCTGGAACAAAATATGACAGACTCTTTTTTGAATAAAGTAACACAATTGGAGAAAACTGGATCAATAAGTAGAAGTTTTATTCGCTAGGAAATCTGATATTTTCAATTCCATTTTCGAAGTCCATCACGTTTTTCGCGACCTTTACACTTTCGCTGTTCGATAGCAGAATTTACCTTCCTTTTAACAGTGGAAATGAAGTCCACTTAAAAATAAATCAAAGTGAAACCACAAAAACCAAAATTGAGCCTTAACAAATACTCAGACTTTTTTCTAATAAAAAAAAATGAAACTCCGAGACCAATATAAGAGTATTCACTACGTTCATAACTCTTAAAAAATCAAAATCAAACCTCGAAAAATCAAATTTGAGCTTGAAATTTCAAAACTTTTCCATGAAAAAAAAATGATTTCAACAAACATCGAATGTTAAACCAAATAGTTGATGCGCTTTACTTCCTATAAGAAGACACTGCATCCTACTGTGAAACAAACAATTTAATAAAGATTTCAATTAAGTTTTTTTTGTAACATACGATCTTTTTTTTATGGTAACAGATTTACACATCAAGAATATAACCAACAGAGGCTAGGTGAAGTGTTGATGAACTCTAGATAATAAAGAAAATTTTTTCTATTTTCTTGATCATATTTTTTCAGATTAAATTTTTAGTAAGAATTTTTTACACTTAATTAGCGTATTGTTTTTGTACAACTATTACAGTTGTTCAAAACTCAAAAAACTTAAATATGTTAAACTCACTTTGTTCATTAACACAAACGTCATGTAAATCAGCATATATCAATTGAAACCTGAAACAAAACACAATTTTTACCACCTTTCCACGTAAAATCTCATCTACAGAACCATGAGTTTCAGATTAAATTTAGGGGAAATGGTCAAATAAACAGAAAACTAAAAGCATGTTTACGACTAAATATCATAATTCAAAATATAAGGAAGTATTGCATCATTTAATTAGCACCAGTTTAGAGTGGCAAGAATCAGAAGAGAGATAAGTACGGTGCGGGGCATCACAAACAACTTCAAAGTCAATTTCCGCTAAGGAGCGATTATGTTATACAAACGGCGTTTCTTTTCAGGCTCAAAACAGCATGAACTGTCAAATATTGCACTTGATCAAAGTGTCTTCCAGTCAAATTTTAGCTAATGCATAAAACAGATATTGGTCTGAGCAAGTCCAAATGAGACAAACAAATAATTGACTTCTCGAGCAAAATGGAGGATTAAGCTCAAATTGCGTTGCAGTTAAAATCTAAGAAGCAGCATCGGGGTTTGCTATATCAACAATGGAATCTTCACTTGAAACGGGCACTGCAGAAACAGCTGCAGTCTCGTATTGTGTTTCCACGACACTCACCGACGCACACTCGGACACTATCTCCGTTATATCCGAATCAGCCATAACCGACAGCACACTACTCGGTGACGACTTCTTAGACCCCGAATTGACTCTTCGGGCTGAGATGGGCTCCGAAACAGTAATGGATAGGCTGCTGTGTTCTGGGATAACAATCGACTCTTCACTTTTGGCAGAGTTTTCCTCTCTTTCGAACTTGGGTGACGCGGCTACAAGTTGTTCTGTAGACAGCGCGAGCGGCTCGCTTGCAAATTTTAATTGCTTTGGTTTGTCAACCGCAGTTCCATGAAGTATTACAGGTAGAACCATTTTCAAGGTGGTGTCCGTTATTACCAGGAAGAAACACGAGAACGTTCCCGGCTCTGTTGGTTTGAAAATAATTGGCACCTTCAGAATTCTCCGAGCTCCAATAACGTAGCTTTCATGGTTAACAACGAAGGGTGGCTCAGGGTTTAAAAAACAAACATTATGCTGCTTTTTTCCGTCTGCGTTTTTGATGTAAACGAACTTTCTGACTTGAGTGCCGACTACTGTAGGCTCGTATGATATCTTCTCGCCTGTTTCGTCTATCGTGACTAAAAATTTTTCCCTCGTCTCCTTCGGCAAATCCGACACGAACTCAATTCTCTCCAGCCTCTTCTTCGGCGAGGCATCCTTCAGCATCTTCCCGCGACTCAAATTGGTTCCAGCTCCCCTTGAAAAAAAAATGCACTGCCTTCATTCTTATCTGCTTTGATAGAAAAATCAAGAAAAAAAAGCTATTCTAAACACTCTTAGCAAAACTTTCCTGCAGTTTTTCTCTTCAAAAAATTGATTTAACTCACCAAAAAGATCTGTACACCTCGTCAATATCAAGATTTATTTGAATTTTGCTTGAAGTTATACAAACCAATCACGTCAAAGTCACGAAAAAAATTATTAATAACCGGAAGAACTTACTTCAAAATGAGCCGATGGGTTTTCTTCAACTCCTCTTCTCCCTTCCACCTGGAAACCAGCTTCAGCTCAAAATGCTGACTGTATTTACCGATCTCAATGGGCCAGAACTCACACCTAATCACTGCCGTCTCTCCTTCGTTCAGGAACCCCGAGGTCTTCTCCAGTCTGAACACCGGATATTTCACTCTGTACAGGCCCAGTTTGGTGCTCGACCTCTCTAATCAGACAACGCATAGATTATAATAGCTGCTTTGCACAAACACATTTTTCTCTATGAGAGAATAAATATGACGGAAACTCATAGTAACATTCCTACCGATTCCAAAAACCGATTTGCTTGCAAGAATTTAACTATAAGCTATGCCAATTGTCAAACCGCAAATATTTGAATGAGGGGGAAAAGAAGGCATTTAAAAAGAAATCGAAAGTCAAAACGATGTAAGAGAAAATGACTTCGTTCTCTTACACTTAATTTTTTTTCTCAAAAAAACCCAGAGTTGACATAATAAATATTGACATTTACTTTTAAATAATAGTGCAAACAAGAACGATAAAGTTTCAGGAATCAATCAAATATTAGTTGGTTTTACAAGGTCTTTGATTGCAATATATCATCTCTTGACCTTGTGCCTCAGCTGACAGTGCTTTCGAAGGGGAATGCATCGAAGTTCGATTGAGGGCGACTGTCATGACACATGTGAAGAGAGACTTCAGCGTCCATTTGACTCTCTCTCCGTAGCAGTTTTTGAACTTCACAAACAATTCTGAGCAATCACCGAAGCGTGAATCGGAGAGGGTCAGTTGCCACAACGGAACACTTACATTCGAGTCTTCACTCTAAAAATTACGGCCAACGGTTAATTAAAAAAAAGCAAGAAACAAAAACAAAAACAAAGAATGTTCACAGATTCATTAATTCAATTAAGGATTTTATTTAAAATCGGATATTAAAATAAATAAAGGCGTAAATAGGATCAAACCCACCGCATAGCATTGCCCATTACAATATCTAAGTGCTTTAAGAGAAGGATTTCGAACAAAAATCACCCGAATTCAATCCAACGGATAATATTCAATTACCAAGTAGTATAGCAAGTACTGACCACCAAGATTTAAGCAGAGAAATTCAAAAACAAGGGAAAAATAAAGGATCTACTTAACAATCCCTTTCGAATTTTTCAAAGAAAGAACCCTGACTATCATTGTGATACAATTTGAAAATGACTTCAAGGCTATGAATATCAGTATATAACAGTATATAACAGTATAAAAAAGACCATTAAAATGAAAAAAGATGAAAATAATTTATTGATAAAAAAAACTGAAAATTTGTGAAAACTTTGAAAGAAATAATTTATCACGAGCTGAAAATTAATATATGCAGGGGATTCCTTAGTAGATCCAAAAGTGGGAGGGGAGATTGTTGAATAGATACAAATTTTAAACACAGAGGCGAGGCGGAGCTTCACAATACTTGCGATAAAAAAACACAATGCGCTACAAAAAAGTGAATGAAAAAAAGACAGAAGTCAAAAAATAATTCTGAAAAATATGCAGGAAAATATTACTAGAACAATAACTTGACAAACGTTGAAATAATACAGCTAGCAAAACTTCATATTTGTATCGGATGAAATTCATAAACAGCCTTTAAAAAAAGGAAATCAATTACCGAGCGACAGCAAAGGCGGCAAACTGATGTCATAAAAAATTTCATAAAACTTAGAAAATTTTACGACCCAACCTAACTGAAACACATAATCCCAAACGGATATATTTTGCCCTCGAAATTACGCAAAATAAGTTAACTAAGTCGATATAACATAAACTGAAACTGTTTGAATACTTAGACATGAAAACTCAAAATCAGACATGATAAATTTACAAAGTTGTGAAGTTTCAGTTATAGTAAAACCTGGCTAAATTGGAACAAAACCTATGCTTTAAAAAGTAAACTAATAGAAACCCTATCAGATAAAAAAGGCGTTTCAAAAAACGGAAAATGAGCCAACAGAAACTAGAACGAAAACCACGAACCCGAAAAAAAAATGCGATTTGAATTACAACCTGAAACCGGCTTGAACTAATTATTTATGATTAGTTCAAGCCAATTACTTGGTTACTAGATAATACTTTTATTTGAACTTTCAAGAAATTGAGTATGTCAGAAGAGATCCTCTAGAAGTGGTGTTCCTGTGCCTAAACTTATTTACGGGAAAAAAGTCTAGTACCCGATTGCAATACCCTTGCTTATCGCAAGGGTAAAAACCGAAAAAAAAAATTATTTCCTTAAATTTTTCGTGTTGAATTTTCTTATTGTAAAGGTTAGTAATCGTTTGAGTGTCATCACAAGCGGATCTAGGATTTTCGAAACCTCCATTCATTGAGTATCTGGTGTATCGAAACTACGTTAGATGGTCGGAACAAAAACTTACGTCAACAAGATTATGCACATCTTCTGGTTTTTCCAAATGAGTAGCCAATTTCTGGTTGTAGAAACTTCCTGGCAAGTAGAGATTAATCGCTTCGTCATAGGGACTTCTAATTTTGCCATCCTTCCTGTCATCAAACTTCATCGCAGCACGAATCTCGTTCCACTTTTTTGAATCCAGAGAGCTGTTGTCGCCGTAAATATTCAAATCAGGCAGTTGTCTGTTATGAATATATGCTTGAACGAACACTTTTTGGCTAGCTTTCGGTTCTACTAGAAACACAGTCGGCTGAATGAGCACTGATTCGTCTTGACACGTCATCTCGCACTCCAAGGGAAATTCCGTATGACTGTTAGCCACCGTAAAAGATCCTACAATCTTGCAAAAATTTCGCATTTTGTAGTTAAAACTGGTATTGCTTAGTTCCATTACAATATTACGGGCATCGATTGTAAAATTAATGGGATCACATTTTGGTTTTATCTGCTTGGCCATTCCGATCGCGACCTTTGTCGGCTCTGGAGGAGTAGAAACCAGTAGCGGAAAATCAGCATCGGTCGGTTTGTCAAAGCTCATTGGGTGCATTGCCATGTCACTGTAAGGTGACTCACCTTTGATAGAAATATCTCGCATGACTACACTTCCCATTTTCAAATTTTTCGGATTCGTCACTTCGGGTCCTATTTTCACTTCGGTCGTGTAGATATTCCCTATTAGATCCGAGGGGTCCAAATGAGGCATGTCTTCTTTCGAAGGCAAATGGTTGTTCTGATTTTGCGAGTCAGTAGCAGGGTAAGGCGCAACGAGAAACTGGTGCACTTGTTTGCTGGCATAGACACATTTAGTGTGGCAGAACTTCTCGTACAGTTGCTTGATAATAGCATCTCCCCACGTGATTTCCACAATATTTCCATTCACTCCCGGTTTTAAAATCAATTTACCAATTTGAACGTCATCTTTGGGCCTCAAAGAGAAACAGCGAGGAGAGGCTTCAATTGCATGCTGAGACGTTACCGCTACATACGCAAAGCGGTCTCCAGTGTTCTGCACGGAAACCGTAGCTGCTAGATTCCAGCAACTATCCACATTCGCTTCCCGTTTTAATGTTACATTGATGCTCGAACTTCCGCTGTAACCAATTAAAGGCAACTTAAGACTATCTGAGTCTTCATCATCGCTAACAAAGTGAGTTGACACAGTGTAATCTTGTGATGCAACCATTAAGCGATTGAATTGCGAGTGGTTATTTGCAACCAATTCTCCGAACGGCGACCGGTGGTGGTTGATAGTATCGCCAAACGAGCTGGTTGTCAAACCTATTGCACTGCTCGAATTCAGAAGTGAGGTTTCTTTAAAAACTGTCTTAACAGATAGCTGTCCTCTGATCAAGTCCAGTTGTTTCTGCGGACCCTTTTGAGAGTCAAAAAAGGTGACGATGATTTTCAGAACGTCCTGTGGACCTAGTTCGAACGTGTCCCCACTCTTCTCCGGATGCAGGGATTCATTTTTATGAACTGCTACAATGGTAAACCGTTTCTCTACAATAGATAATCGGAGAATAGCATCATGGCTTGAATTGTTCCTGTGAACAAAAATACCATTTTGAAACGTTTTTTTTTAAACTTGAAGGAACTATGATTTGAATAATTTATTTAGACGCAAAGCATGAGACAGCAGAAAACCAAAAAGGCAAATATTTTAATTTGAACAATTCTTTTTTTCAAAAATTTAAAGAAAAAAAAAGCATTCAAAATACTTACCAATGGCATGTCCATAAACGAAATATTTCATAAGAGCTGAGCTGTTTGTGCAAAGACCTGGACAAACAACCAACAAACTGGTTATTTTAATTTTTTTTTCGTGGAGCACAACAGAGAGACTTATCTAAATCATTCGAAATTGACTCACTTCAGAATACACATCTTTTTAACGGGAGAGTTCTTCCCGTTCGGAGGGAACAAGAGGTACTCCACATTGGCCAAAATCACTTTAGTCGTCAAGTCAAACAGCACTCCTGAATCATTTGAGTCATTCATGTGGTCTCTGTAGCCTGCTTTCGTTTCTTCTTCATATCCCATTGATGGTAACACAGCTGGTAGACTTGTAGTCTTGTGGATAGGGTGGGTTGATCGATCTCCGAGCGAATAGTTGTCGCCAGCCCCGCTTAAACCTAGGAATCGTTTCGACCTCGGTCTTCCGTCGACGTTCACGGTGTAGACTGGTCCTTCTGGTTCAACTGTTATTACCACCGATGCCTGTTCCCTGTAAACAATATTTAAAAACTCAGCACCAGAAAAAGAATGCCGATGGTTATTTGAAGCACGGGCACTGCAAATAAGATGAAACCGTTTTTAGTTGAATGATTGGTCAAGATATGATTTTTGGTCGTTGCATGATTAGTAACATTAAATGGTTAGTTCGAGGCAAATCAAAATGAACATAAGCCAAAGTGCAAGTAGAAAAGACTATGAAAGCATCTGCGCTTATTTTGTTCCAGACCAGATCAAGGATCGCATGAAAATCTATCGACTATTTGGTATCTGCAGTGAAGCTTTGAAGTTGCCTTTATCCATCACGTAAATTACAGCGCACTAAAATAGGTCACATAAAAAATATTAGGGTGGGTCTTCATGCAGTAGGTCATCATGCAGTAGGCTGTACGTGCTTGACCACAATAATCAAAGGTGGGTTACTTATTCTATATTTATTTGAAGCCGCAAGTCAATCGCCAGATTACCCTAAACCGCTAATTGATACTTACATCTGTGAGAAGAGCTAAATAGTCGCAACTAAAATTATTTACCAATCAATGGGTCGCCTTATCGGGTACCCAAAAATTCCCAATACAATTTTTTTTCTTCTTTTTGTGCGTCAACCATTTGTTTAAGTTCAGGAACGCTATTTTTAAATAAAAAAACACCACGTTTATTCGAACTTTCGTTGTACAGAGCTGATTTAAATTAACCGGACAAAACGCGTTAAACTTGAAATTTAAAACGCGTTTTTCACAAATTGGGTTGAGTTTAGGTGAAAACTTAGAGACAAAACATGCTTAAAATTTCAGCAGAATTAATATGGTGTAATTTGTTTTGCAAAATTTGGGCCCAAAATTTTACCCCAAAAATGGGTCATTTTGGCTTTTCTTAGTTAATCAAAAATTACGCCGAGAATAACGAGTCGATCACAGACATAATTATATCAAAGTGAGCCCCTTACGTATCCCAACAAAATTTATGAGGGGTTCCTTCTCCAAAATGTTGTATAAGTTAATTTACTTTTGTTTGCTGGACAAAAATGGTCGTTTTTACTATAAAAAAATACCAACTTTTATTTAAAAACAATTTTTAAACGGTTTGCAAATTTTTTTGGAGACTATACCCTTGTCAAAGTTTGTTGGGCTACGTAAGGGGCTCACTTTGATATAATTATGTCTGTGATCGACTAGTTATTCTCGGCGTAATTTTTAATTAACTAAGAAAAGCCAAAATGACCCATTTTTGGGGTAAAATTTTGGACCCGAACTTTGCAAAACAAATTACACCATATTAATTCTGCTGAAATTATAAGCAAGCTTTGTCCCCATAAGATTTCACCTAAACTCAACCCAATTTGAGAAAAACGCGTTTTAAATTTCAAGTTTAGCTCGTTTTGTCCGGTTAATTCAAATCAGCACTGTACAAGCCGTCATTGGACAGTTTCATCACACGTCCACGCCATACCCTCTTAACATCACAGTTCTTTATCGAATCGGTTAAGGTGGGGAGATAGTTTCTATAATTGCAATAGTCTACTGATTCAGAAAAGGAGATATTCGACTCAATGATAACTGTATCACAGAGGCGAAGCTGAGCTTCGCACCACTTGCGATACAAAACAAGAAAGCCGCTAAGGTTAGTTATGAATAAGGCTAGTTTTGATACAAGAACAGGTCAAGACAATAGAATGTGAAATTAGCATCGGACGAAATTTTACTACGCCATAAAGTTGAAAATGTCTTAGTAGAAAACCTTTAAGCCGAAAAAAACCCAACAAAAAGTTAATAAGTCCCTCTCAGCCTAAAAACACACACATTTTATTTGCTCATCAAATGAAAAAATATGAGGCAAATAAATCTATATAATAAGCCGAAACCTATTAAGCCGAAAAGCAGGAGAATACATGAAAAAAAAATCGGAAAAAAAAACAAAAAAATTTAAGAGTAAAAAAAATATTAAGTCCCTTTCGCCCTCACATTACACAGACGCAAATAATAACTTTATTTGCTCGTCGAAAGACGCAAAATGAGGCCATTAAGCCGATTTAATATAGGCCGAAACCTATCAAGCGAAAAAAAAGAAACAGAAAAAACGTCGAAAACTTGTCCTGAAAAACTATAATTTCCATTAAAAAATTCTATTATTTCGTGCAATCCAGAGGGGAGCACAAAAATTATGTTTCAATTGAAATGACTCAAAAAAAAGCTACTAAGCCGATAAAATATAAGCCGAAATCTTTTGGGCAGAATAAAGTTTTCAAGCGAAAAAAAGTATATATGTATATTCGAACTCAAGGCTAAGAAAATTAAACACAGGACCTTTGCCGTCCCAGGCGTATTCGTTAAAAAATGCATCTAAATTTACCATTTCTAATTTTAAGCAATCGGTGACGTTATCAACGGGAAAAAAGTCTCGTACCCGATTGCAATACCCTTGCTTATCGCAAGGGTAATAAAATTGATAACATAGCCATTCAGAAGCACCTGGTGTCTCCTTGGTCATAAGTGATTGTAACTGGGACTGTCATGTAGGGCGGGATGTCCATCTCCACAGGGTTGACGGCGAAAGCGGGACTGTTGCAGTTGAAGGTCACGTAGTGGTATCGAGGACTACAGTTACGCACAGGCAAGCTCCAATCCAGAACCTGAAGGACCACCAAAACATAACCTAGTCAAAAGAAAAGTCTAAAGTAGGCCATGTGATAATGTTCACAAATAAGTATGTCCATACCAAGTATAAATAACCCATACCACCAACTTCGGCAAAAAAAACCGTAGTTGAAACGCCAGTTTTTTTGCTTTAGAAAAACGCTGTCTCCGTTAAAGTCAATTTTATTGTTTATCACAGAACTAATCAAATTTTAAACACTGGATTGATGGATGATTTTTTCTTCGGGCGGGACATTTCCACTTGCTCATTGGGTAGTGTAATTTGCCTTCCTTTTAGTAAGTAACTTGAATTGAACTCAAATCAAAAGGCAAACCGCAAAAAATAATAATTTTGGACGTGAACAATCAATACTTTTTCCTAAAAAAAGAAAATAAACGCAATTTATAAAAGTGTCGTCTTGACAAAGTTCTTTGACACTAAAAATCTCTGTTAACGTAAATGATTAATTGGTATTATCATGGGTGTGAAAATGGGTACTATGATGATCTGATCTTCCTTTACCTCTTCGTGCATCTCAATCTGTTGTGTGTAGAGATGCAGCTTTGGTTGTTCTACTTGTATGTTCACATCCAAATTGCAGAGAAAATGCTGGTCTCGTTGACTGATAGCATATATAGTCAGCTAAAACGGAAATGACACTCATTGCAAGTTGGCTCTAGTTTTGATTGAAAATTTCTAAATGGTTTCAACAAAATTTGTCAAGACTACGGTCAGAACTATTCAATTTTTTCGTTTTTATCAAAACTAAGGGAAAAGTAAGTGACAATTTTTACATCGCACAAAACTTAAGCTCGGGAAACAGTTTTTGTTTCCATCATCAAACCATTCACATAATAGAACGCGTTCAGCCCATCAAAATCAATATCCTGAAAAATAATCTGCCTCGAATTGCGGGTTGCGCAAACAGAACAACAAGTTCTGACCAGTTGCTTTCAAAAAGTCTTCAAGACTTTTAACTTTAACTTTCTTCGATTCTTCTCCCAATTTAAGTTGTTTTTTATGCGCGGTTTGGGGATATGAATTAGAAGTTTTGAAGAACATTAGTAATTGATTTGATTGAAGTTGAAAAATTAATAAAAAACGTTGAAAAACAATTTGTCACAAATGAAGCTTCGAACTCTATTACCGTTTCACGCTTTTTGCTCTATTTCAACGGAAAATTTTCAAACCAACATCAAATGAAAGTGCCTCAATAAGATATATCACTCGGCTCATCGGACTTCTATTTGTGGACCTGAATTTCCGTAAACGAGAAAAACCAAACCGCAAAAAAATGTAAATTTTAACCTGATCAAGTTTTATGACTTCCTGAGAAAAAACGCAAAAAAATCATCAACATCTAAATAAAAATCTGATCAAGGTTAACGTTCATCGACTCTTAAAAAACAAGAAGTTCCAAAACTTGAAGTTTTCAACTTTCACATAACCCCGACACGCGAATTAAAATTTGTTCTTTCCCGTCAAACGACGCGAGCGAACAAACGAAGAGGCACGCAAACCAATAAAAGCTAAACTGAAATATTTTTCATACGGATAAACAATTTAAATGAAAAAAGAGTTAAAAACTCAGTGGTTTTTACAAATAAATTCAGAGTTGTTTAACAAAAAATGAGAACACAAACTTTAAACAAACAATGGAGATTTGTTAAATTTTGGAAATTACCAAAAATTAACACAATTTCCATTGCTTTCTTGTGACTGAGAAAAAATGAAAATGGCAAACTAGACGACATAAAATGAGATAAAACCCGAAAAAATAGGCCGTTCAAAAGAAAAAAAAAACTAGATCTATCAAACTTCGAGATTGATTGTCTCGATTTGTTTAGCGAAGATTTAACTTTAAAAAGTCACGCCATTCAAAAAAATTTAGGATCAATCAAAAACTTAGCCAAAAAACACTTGAGTAGACACCTGTGAAAAAATGTTTTGATGAATTTTTTTCGAGTCGTCTCCTCAAAACACACACACCACACACACACAAACAAACAAACACACACACACACGCACACACACACACGCACGCATACACACACACACGCACACACACACACACGCGCGCACAGAGTTTAGCATGTTAACTAAAATTTTTCTTTGAAATGGGTATTTAAAAAGCAAACATGCTCAAATTATGTCTGTTGGTTAGCAAAAACAGGCCCAGATGTTCAGACAAGATAAATATATCGCGATTTGTTTCACAATTTACTTAACTGAAAATATCTGTCTGATAACGACATAACAAAAGCAGCAAAATTTCGAACTCAGTTACTTGCACCATTACAGAAATACACCAGTTGGATTTTAATTTAGTGAAAATAGCTCGAACAGATGAAAAAAAGCCCGTGCTCTGGCGAATAAGCCGACAAAAAGTATGTAGACAAACAATTTGCAATTGATTTTTCAAGTCAAAACTTTCTGTTTACGAAAAAAACCGGCCGATTTCGAAACTTTCGTCGTAGTGCCAAACGCGCCTAATAAAACATTTAACAAAAAATTTCTGTTAAAAAAAATCTGAGCCTAAAAAAATATCCTAACTGATTTGGTAACGCGTTCTAATCCCAAATTTAAACGAATAAAAAAACAACCAAAGGAAAATATAATTTGAGCGTGAAAATTTTTACAATTTTTACTGAGAAAAAAAAACGGAGAAAAACCCATCCCTGCGTCTACAATAAGAACTTAGAGTGCACTTTTTTCATTGAAACTTGAAATAACAGTCCGTTGCTGTAAACGTACCACAGAATAATTTGACAGCTATTTTTGCACAAAAATACTTGTTACTGGCCTATTTGGGACTTTTGAAGTAACATGAACAAGCTCAAAACAAATTTTCGAAATAAAAGACTTAAGTGTCTCTTCTGTCTTAATTGCGGACACTGGCGAGACGCTCTAAGATTACACTTTCCTATTTAGACCGAAATGGGTTATTCGGACCTTTTTTCTTGTAACCGAGAAAACTTTTGCTTTTTCTCATATATTTTTATTCATCCTTTTGTATTGTTACTAAATTTCCTTGAAAACAGAAAAACTGAATCAAAACTCTACGGGTTTTCATTACAAGCCATAAACCAAAAAAGTCTACTATTTTTCAAAAATTTATCCAAAACTTGTTCAGCGCGCAATTATTAGCATAGAGAAAAACGAAAATATTTTGAAATTTCTAGAATTGAGGAGATTGGCCAGTTGAGAAATGGCGAAGTTTGAAATTTCTGTGAACTATATTTTCAACGAAAAAAAACAACTAGCTCCCTCCTGGAATAACCTTGCTACTTGCTACGGTATACTTGAGTCAAATCGAATATTTCTCTTCTCAATTTTTTGTTTGGTTTTCAGATACAATAGAACACCGTCGGCATCTTTACCAACTACATACCTGAACCAACATCAGAGCTTACTTCTAATTCACTAGCAGAGCAAAAGTTAAGTAAATAAACGCATCCTTTGTATTTGAACACTGAACATTCATTTCATGAATCAGCTTGAGTTCTAGCGTCAAATAAAGTCAGCCTTACAAAGAGAACAAATCAATTGTATAGCTCAACTTTCAAACGTTAAACTGATCCTTCAAATTTTCTGTTAAAATGGGCAAAGGGCTTCTGAAGGTAATAAATTATCTTTCCTCTACATCCTTACACGTATCGCCAGTAAACTGTAAGGTTACAGTTTCAAACATGTGAGCAAATACACAAAGCACACTTATATCAGAGTTAGATTTCAAATGCGCTACATTACATAACTGTACATTACACTAGTGTTTCTCTTAAAGACCCAAACTAGTGACACAAACTTCCAAAATGCCAGCTATAAGTTACCGTGGCCGTAATTTTCTAGGTAAAATCAAAGTAGGTAAAATTTCATATTACATTCGTGTCGAAAATAGTTCTTTAATTATATAGAAGCGCTAATCATCCAGACTTATATAGCTAAAAATCACTTCGTTCTTTTACACTCAACAAGCGTTGTTTGTTTAAAAAGAGAGCTTTTTTGTTGCAATGGTCTCAATGTGCACTACTACTTGTTGCAAATAACTTCACAATATGATATCTCAAACTCATTTCGTTATACTTAGAGCGAGACCTTCTGCTGGATTCTCCTTCTGCTTGCAGTTCCAGTCTACTCACTCGCCATTGTAGTCCTCATAGGTACGTTTAGGGGCCAGGTCAATTAGAAAACGGCTTGCTTGGTACACTAGCTATTTTTTCCATAACACTCCGCTAGGAAAACTTAACTTCAAGTAACTATTTAATGAATACTAATTATTTGCTTTAGATGCTAATTAACAAGCTCTATGATCAGGCCACGGAAAATTGAGAGATACTCCCAGCAAATTATATTTTAATTTTCGACCTCAAGGACACTAAAGAAACAAGGAATATAGCGAAGTTATCTATTCAATTTGTCATTAAGTCAAATCAAAATTGCATAGATCTGCCAAGAAGAAGTGCCAGAAAAATATAACATTTATTCAATAAAAATATTAAAGATCGCTTGAAATATCATCAAACTTAGAAGATAAAAATTAATCATTAGAATCTTGCAGCCTTTCAAACTGTTCCAGTCTTTGATTCGTGAAAATTTGCTCTGGAGATAGAAAAAAAATGAACGCTAAAGACCTACATTCAAGTGTTGCCACATTTTTTAGGAATATTTTTGGTACCTTTTCACTTATCTAGCGTTCGAAAAATTGATAATGAAAATTATATCTTCGCGCAGGTTATGAAACAATCGTCATTGTTATACTCTCTACATTCTTTGCGTAATAGGCGTCGTCTACTTGGCCAATTATGCTGCCCAAGACGGAACTACCACAACTGGGATGGGAATCGCCCTTTGTCTTCTCTCCTTCATAGTATTCGCAGTCTACAATGTTCTTGCATTCTACATCACATTCGAAGACTACAGCAACCAGGCTAGATACGAGCGCATTCAAAGGAAGAAGTTGCGGGACATCAAGTATCACAATGATGACATTTAAAACTGAGCAACTTACACTGAATTTACTCCATTCGAATTAGTCCCGGCGATAGATTACAACAGTGCACGTTAGGGGTTCATTCATGTATAATCTTTTCTGCATTCGATAAAAATCGTATATATCTTCTTAAAAATATCAATTTGAAATTCGCTGAACATACAATGTCAGTTCATTCGTTTTTAAGTCGTGACAGAAGGTGACATTTAAAAAAAACTTTCATGTACTAATTTATCATTGAAGTCTATTGAACGAATCTATGTTCATTCCGATTCTCTTTCAATGTCAGTTTAGCTAATCCTCAATTCATAATTCATCCAATGCTAAAATGGAAATACAATAGTGTTTTTGTTGTGATTTACATCACGTTTTGCAATTACTGCAAAACATATTAGTTTATTTAACTGGTCACTCTGATATGACCTTCATTGGCCATTCTCTCCGGCGGAGAGAATGATCTCTCATTGTTTTAATGTTTTAACTTACCGACTAATTCATCTTAATTCCTTATTCTTTTTAAGTTTTAATTTAGAATTAGCTACAACAAAGTAACATTTTATCATGGCGCAGTCAACTAACGAATCTAACGTGAGAGGAATACCTCCTTTTGGCAAAACCATACGGTAGACCCCCCCCCCCATTCCATGGGAAGACTGGAGTGATCTGTTTCAATTAGCTATAATTGCTAAAGAAAACAAAGACATAGAAAATCTACTCAATCCGTTGGAGAGACAACACCCATTACCTCCAAATTTGGAAAACTCAACGGACGGTGAAACAGATGCTCAAAGACGCTCGAGAATGGAGAGAAATACTCAAGAACAAAGACGATACGACGAAGAAGAAGCAGCATCGATAAAAACTGAAACCAAGAAGTTTAACGGAATGCGAATAGAAGAAGCCGACAAAAAATTACGTTCGGTCCTATATCTAGCACTAGGAAACAAAGGAAAAAGGATCTTCGGACAAAAATTTACCAAGATGAAAGTTTTACAAATTTCTTTTAAAGAATTCTGGGAGTTCCTAGCGATCGCTTTCGTAAGAAAGACAAATGTCACATTTGAACGACATAAACTGTTAAATAGAAAACAACGCGACAGAGAATCCCTCGAACAATTTTGGGGTGCCTTAGCTGAAATGGCAAAAAAGTGCGACATAACCGCAGGAGAAGAAGAGTGGATAAGAGATATTTTCATAAATATTATGAAAAACTACGACATCCAAAGGAAATTGTTAACAGAAACCCTCCCTCCACGCGAAGCACTAAATGTAGCACTCATAGACGAAAAGGGAATTTTAAATCACTTGAAGTTCACTAACAATTTTAAATCCAACGGATCATCCGTACATAACCCAAACAACCATTTTAATGTCAAAAGAGAACCAACCCTTAACATCGAAAGAAGTAACAACTGTATGAAGTGTGGCGGATCATTCTCAAAAGGACACTTAGCAGTTTGCCCAGCAAAGGGCACGACTTGTACTACTTGTAAATTCAAAGGGCATTTCACCAGACTTTGTAGATCTCGTCGTAAAAATGTAAACATTGTAAATACTCAAATTGTAGATAATACAGATTTTAATCCGTCGGATATTCCGGATGTATATACTGACCACACGGATAGAGAATGTTGTGGCGTCATAAACGCATGGTCGGAATCTGGACAAAGTGAAAACGACGATTATTCTGTACTAAATGTAACTACGATTTTCGATAATGATGGAAAAGAATTGAAGAAATTACTGAACATTGGACTCGGAAAAGAAAACCAAGTAATTTTAAACATTCAAGTGGATTCAGCTAGCCCGGTGAGCTTCCTTAAGAAAAACGTACTACACGAATTAAAGTTACGTGACCCTTACTTGAAAATTTATCCGGTGGATAAGACAACTAGAGACCTCTACTGTGGATTCACAGATAATGCCATAAACATCACTGGAAAGGTGAAGCTCTCGATATTTTCAAATGGTTGGTCAGACAACGACTGTCAATTCTTCCTAACCGAAGGACATGAGAGAAATATCTTAGGAAACGACAACCTTCCGAAAGTGGGGATAGAAGTCTCACAGAAACACTTCCCACATTTCCAGACTAACAAGCAGTGTAAGTCAATAAATTCCATATCTCAAACAAACCAAGACAGAGAAATTCTAAATATATCAAAATCATTCAAAAATTTATTCCTTCGGATCGGAAAAATTAAAAATCAGATGAAAATCACCCATTTTCACGAACCCTTAAAACCAATCCAACTAAAGGGAAGACGAGTCCCCCTTCACTTACTGGACGCTGTCAAGACAGAACTCAATAGACTAAAAGCAGAGGGACATATTAAAAAATTAGAAAATTGCGATGAAGACAGATTTATTAGCCCAATAGTCATCACTTGTAAAAAAGACAAATCCATCAAGTTAGCCTTAGATTCCAAGTTCATAAACAAACAGATTTACAAGAACAAATATCAAATGCCAAACATTCATGAACTGGTAGACAATGTCGCGGCACAAATTACTAATGATTCCGTTGGAGAAGTGTGGTTTACTAACTTAGACTTAAAAAACGCGTACAGCCAATTAGCACTAGATAAATTTACTAGCAACCAATGTAACTTCAGTATCGTGGGCGGTGATATTACGGGTACCTACCAATTCTTAACTGGTTTTTACGGCCTAGGGGATATGCCTAACGAATTTCAAAGTGTAATGGCCTCTACTTTAGGTTCAATCCCATTTTCTAACTGTTACTTAGACGACATTTTAATCTCTTCCAAAGGAACATTCTTAGACCACAAGAATATTGTGTTAAAAATTTTATCTACCCTTGACGAATATAACTTCGCTGTAAAATGGTCAAAATGTAAATTCTTTCAAAAAGAAATAGAATGGTTGGGATTCAAAATCTCTAAATCAGGAATTACCCCGTTATTCGACAAATCGAAAGCCATAAAAGATTTACCTATTCCGAAGAATTTGAAAGAATTACGATCATTTTTTGGTTCTATAAACCAATACATTAAACTCGTCCCAAATCTAGCATCCTTAGGAAGCCCACTCCGACCGCTCCTAAATAAGAAATCAATATTCCAATGGAATGACGACCATACAAAAGCCTTTGAAAAAATTAAAGATGAAATCGTAAACCTAACAGAGAATACCCATTTCGACGTAAAACGCAAAACCAGAGTAAAAACTGACGCGTCACATAATAGACTTTCGCTCGAACAACTCCACGGGAACGATTGGAAAACAATCTCATTTGCTTCACGCTTTTTAAACCCACACGAGTCTAAATATTCTACGAACGAGCTCGAACTACTAGGGGTTGTATGGGCTGTCGAACATTATAAGAACTACCTTTACGGATCAGATTTCGAAGTAATTACCGATCACAAAGCTTTATTATCCGCCCTATCACCAATATACGGAAACAAAACCTATCACAGTAGATTAACACGATGGGTAGACAGATTATTACCTTTTAATTTCTCAATCAAACATATTGCAGGAAAAGATATGGGCTTCACTGACCTTATTTCTAGAATTCCATCCGGAAAAACTCTTCCAATATCACATTACGACGAGGAATTCGTAGTAGCAAATATTAACAAGATTAATAAATCATTAAATCCGTCGGAGAAAATAAGAACTACTTGCTCAGCCATTGGTTCTAATCTGGAAAATTCCGATTACGCTTTATTACGTAATTACCTAATAGCAGCAGTATTAAAGCTTATTAACTCGTCTTTTCCAATTTGTTCATTTAATCACAAAAGAACAGAATTTTGTACCTCAAACTGCATTCCAACGGATTATTCTAATACAAATACATTAATTATTTCCATTTCTAACTCCGCATTTCTTTATTTTTTTAATCTTTAATCGTAGTTTTATTAATTCACCTGTAGATAAAAAAATTGTAGATACTGTTAATATGAATAATAAGAATATTGTAATTAATCCCACCACTTCCGGTATTTCCGTAGATTTAGACTTCCAGCTCTTACCAGATCACGCTAATCTCGTTAAAAAATACCGTGAAAATTTGAAGTTGCCGGATCGACCCTTGGATTTAAATATTTTATTTAACGCCAAGTTAGTAGCTCTCTTGACAGAAGACGATCCCATGTTAAGTCAAATTGTTAAAGCACTTCAAAATAAGGTGGAGAAGATTAATGCAGATTCTCCGTATTTCAAACATTTCACCCGTGACCTACATGAATCCGACGGATTACTTTACATGGACGGCAAACTCGTTATTCCATTTACCTTACGAAACGCGATGATGAAGACCCTTCACGAAACACATCCAGGTCAATTCGGAATGAAATATTTGGCTCAAAACATCTGGTGGCCCCATATTAACAGACAAATTTACTTTCACGGAATAAATTGCTCAGAGTGTACATCGGCGGGTAAGAATTTGAAAACTGTTATCCCTAATTCACAAATTAGTGAACTTCCTCCATTATCGGAACCAAACGAAGAATTTAATTTAGATTTCGCTGGTCCTTTGGATTCCTATTGGGGGTCAAATAAATACATTTTACTTTGCATTGACAGATTTTCTAAATTTCCGTCGGCAAAAATTACATCGTCTACTTTTTCAAAAACAGTTATAGAATTTTTACAAGACTACATATTCTTACACGGAATACCTTATTCTACAAGGGTAGATCATGCTACTTGCTTTACAAGTCAAGACTTTAAATTATTCTGCGATTCCAACAACATCAAAATAATCTTTTGTACAGTAGGCGACCATCGTTCCAACGGATTAGTCGAAAAATTAGTACACACTGTGAAAGTCAAACTACTGGCTATTTCAAAAGAACATCATAAATGTACACTGCAAAATGCCGTTTCAAAAATCATCTGGAATTTACGCTCTACCTATCAATCAAAAATTAAATGTTCACCCTTCGAGATTCACTATAACAGAAAACCAAATAATATTTGGAAACAATTAGCTTCTGGTAAACCCTCCTTTGGAATTTTAGACAAAGGGAAATCAATACTGTCTAAGGAACGAGCTAAGGATTGGAACGCGGATAATAGACTAGAGGACGGCTACAAGGACGATTTGATAGCCAAGAAGAACCAAAACTCGACTGAAAAAGGCTACGACACAGACTACGCTTCATCCTCGAAAATCACCTCCAATAGACTACCAATCAAAAGTCCATTCAGAGGTAAAATCCTTCGGAAAACTAACGGTAACATCAACCGAGACTGTTTCTATAAGGAACTAAATAAAAGAATTATAAATTCATCCACTTCGACAGTAGAGTTGTCCGACGGAAAAATAATACGAAAATCCGACATTGCGATTCCTATTTCTACCTCAAATAAAATGAGACCTTTTAAAGTAAACATTTCATTCCCGTATTTTCCTAATCCTAATGTTGAAGTAGGTCAGAAACAGGAAGGCGCAACACGGAAACCAAGATCAAAAAAGCCAACGAAAAAAATGACCAGACAATTGGATCCGACCCCATCTGACAACTTAACTAGGACACGCATATCAGGGTCATCACACAAATCTACAAGAAGACAAACACGGCACTCAAAGAAGTCATCAACTCCTCCAGGTTACCTTGCTTCGGATGAATCTATGCTAATTCCTTCGGATATTTCGGATACTAGTGAATGGGAATGGATAGCGGGCGGTTTCCCTTGTAGAGACGTAGCCAGAGAGCGCTTTATTTCAGACCCAAATACACCTCACCTCTCAATCGGAAATAATTCTAATTCCGCTGTAACCAATTCTGAAATAAAATCTGAGATTTTAGAAAACGACATTGACCCTAACAGAGAACAATCTATGGACCAATCTTACGAGTGCCCAATAAGCATAATACCCGCCTGCCGAACACCTAATACTGCGGAACAGAGAACCGTGAACCAGGGAGGGGACAAAGACACCATCGAACAACAGGACCTGCAAGACGAGTGTAATCCAACGGATAACAACTCACCTACAGATTTCCCGGTGTACGAGATAAGCGACTCAACTGACGAGTGCGCTATACCTCCCAATACTACCATCATATCCGGAAAAATTCCTCCTACCATCCGCCGTTCTAGTAGAAATGTCGGCCCATCAAAATTTTATGGCAAACGTTATTTTATTGATGCCGTAGAGAACGTTCAAGAAGCCTCCGGTTCTGCGGCCGATCCTATCGTGATAGAAATTGAGGAATCACACGAGACCAACAACAAGACGACTCCTGCGGAGTTAATTGTCCTAGACTCAAATCCAACATCTTCAGACCAAATGTCAACCTCATCAACTGACGAATCGCTGAGGATGAAAGTAGAAAATTTTGGAGATCATTCTGATCTAGACAGCGAACTTTTTAATACTGAACTTGAAAACTTTCTAAATGATTATAAAACTTTGTAAACACTTAGCTTTACCCTAATCTGTTATATTGGCATATCAAGGAGCACATATTACCTTATAAACCGGTGCTAATCTTCAGGTATCAAAATGTTGATCAGTAAACTTGAGTACTTTATCAAAAATCCTTCGGATAAATCATCAGTAAAGGAAAACATCATCTGGTGCTCTCATAATTTTCTCTAAGTCGACCTCCCTCTAGTTTGTGTATCGCAAATCAGGGCTCCACCCATAAAACTTGGTGACAACTTCATCGCATTTTAAACTTATCTTAACCCAGCCCTTATCCGTCGGAATCCGGATAACCATTCTCACAGTTTTAGTTGCTGTATTTAATCCCATAGGGGCGCTTTAGTTAGTGTCAGTTCCTCATTTACGGCGCTTAAATTTTTTCTTTTCCTCGTCCTTAAAGGGGGAGAAAGGAGTCAGACTTAGTTAGTCGTTGTGCATTATTTTATTCGTAATTTAAAATTTTTTCGTGCTTAGGGGAATGTTGTGATTTACATCATGTTTTGCAATTACTGCAAAAAATATTAGTTTATTTAAATGGTCACTCTGATATGACCTTCGTTGGCCATTCTCTCCGGCGGAGAGAATGATCTCTCATTGTTTTAATGTTTTAACTTACCGACTAATTCATCTTAATTCCTTATTCTTTTTAATAGTTTTAACTTAGAATTAGCTACAACAAAGTAACATTTTATCAGTTTTATTCGCTCATTTCTGAATATTTTTGTAATATTAGATTGATTTCGATAGCACCAAAATTTCAAACCTATTTGACGTCTTTACTTTCTACTGATGCCAGCTAATAAGCAATGATAACGGTCAGCAATACAGATCTAATAGACCGGCTCTTGGTGGGCCTACATATTAGCCCCATAAGAGTTATATATCATAGAACACTTACTTTCACTTTTGCCTTTGTGTCCTTGCAATACAAAGGGACTTTGGTCTTCAAAGTGAGCGTAAATTGATCGTAGTTGATGCCGTTCGCACCAAGATCCACATAGCCGTGCGTATTGTACGACAACTTGCTCAAGGGACGCTCCAATTGCAACTCATTGAATTTGCTCACACCGACACTTGGCCCTGACTGTTGCTGCTGATTGATGACCATGTAGACATTGGCAGTCACTCTTGATCTGTTTTGGACGATTACTTCGGTCAGCTGGCTGGTTCCAGGTTTCATTGGCAGCAGATTCAACTGGTTATGTGGTATCTCCGAATAGGTCCTACCATATCAAATGAGTCACTATGTAAAACAATGTCAACAAACAGCTGAAAAAATTAAAAGATGATGATCCAAAACTCTCTATAAGGGAGCATAATGAACAGCTAGCCAATTACTTCTATCTGAAAACCATCTTCGAAAACGCGCAGACCTTAGAACTTCTTAGATCGACGAACATAAAGCAAAAAAGAAATCTTAACCCTAATTCAAATATTTAAAAAATCTTCGCCGACGGATTCAGCCTTAAACTTTCTAACTTAAACAGTGAAAGTTCGCTTTCAAAGCCGCACCAGAAAAATTTGACAAAAACTAATCATGGGGTGCAACTCGAAGAGCAAAAAACTTCTAACGTGGCTATTCGCCCGTGTGAATATAGCTTCGCATGGTTATTCAGCCATCTGCATTCATCAGTTCTTTGAAGAGCACGTCATAACTCAATAAGTCTTTGAGCCGGGTTGATCCGATAACGCAAAAAACATGCATTTCAGCTAAATTAGAGACTTAGATCTAGCACCATGATCTAGATCTAATTATCCTGTTTGTGGAATTACCCTCCTAGTATAGCTGAACATTTTCAGCTCACATTGCACGTAGGATTGGAAGAGTTAAGTTAGTTTTAAGATTAAATTAGCATAAGCTAGGTTGCTTGCCTCACAGAAGATAACAAACTGCTATAACAATATAGACCTGTTGTTCCAAAAAAACAGGTTAAGATGAAACTACAAAACTTATCCGAAACGAAGGAAGTCAATACCGTTAAGAGAGCCCATGATGCTCCACATGAACCCGAAGAAAGATAAAGGCTTCTGCAATTACATTATGGCAAAGTTGTACTTCTCCTCTAGCGGGATCGCTTTGTGGATGAATGACAAAAGGAAGAATAGAATTATCATTAAAATTTTCGTCGTATTGAATCAATTTTTGTGGGGAATTACGGTTATTGTGTAACTTTCAATATGCCTTATTGATTGATTCCAAGTAGAGTCTTATTGGTTTTCCAAGATCTGAATTTTTTATTCTGCGTTTACCTTTTATAGATGATGGTGTTGTGGATTCTGATTCGGAAAAATATTTTTGGTCGTTTATTCGTTTATTTTTGTCGTCGATAAAATCTCGAAGGTTGTGAAGGTCCTGTATTGTAGTTGTGTCAGATTCCGAAACTGCGTTTCGTGTTTTGGAAAAATTTTGTTTAATAATTTGTTTTTGTTTTGTGAGTATTGCCTTTTTTCTTGTGTTTTTCCGATCTGATGTATCCTATTTTTTGTTTGTGTGATGTAATTACACGATAGTATTTTTCGTTTTTAATTAGGCAATTGTGGAGTACTGTTTGTTTGTTTCCTAGATTATCTCTTGACATAGGTGTTAGAGTGATGGTTGCAAAATCCAGGGGTTAGATTTTTTTATTTCCTTAACTGTTAGTTCTTACGATTTTTGTGGGGTTATCCTAATCGTGGGTCATATGTTGCCGAGTGTAGACAGGTTTGAAAAAGAGAGAGAGTATAGCGATTCGTTAGAAGGAATTTGTACTTTCTCGGTGACTAATTTTTATTTTAAGAAAAACTTACTTAATCTTACTTAAGGTTGTGATTTGTGATCAAGGGTTGGAGAATAGTAATCAATCCACAAGGTTCAGGTTTAATAAGAACACAAGTAGATCGTTAGATACTATTTTGGATGTTACAAAGTTTATGATGTGTTTAAGCCGGGGTCAACTAAGAGGGGCTCAAGTGAAGGATGAGTAACCGAAGTTGTTCACTGTTTACCTTAATTATATTAGTTAGTTGATCAAAAAATTCTGTTTATCTTGGGTCGTTGTTAAAGGTTGGGGAGCGAATCGACGTTTGAGGTCATTAAAAACTTTTTACTAGGAGGTGGGTTTGTTCTGATTGATCCAAGGAAAGCCTTGATGATCAAATATTTTTAAATGAATTAAAATTTAGGATTAGGTTTGAAATTAACGATCCAAGGATAGCCTGGATGATCTGGCTTAAAGAAAAATTAAAATAAAAGTTCAGGCCCAAAGAAAAAATATAAATTTCAGAAAAAGTTGATATAAAAATTTAAATGATATTAGTTTCTGATTGATTATGGTTATGTTTTAGATGAAGGAACAAGGAAGCATAAGTTATGAAAGATGAGGATACGAGTCCTTGAGAAGCAAGGAACTTTTTACAAATTTAATGTATCTAACTTTAATTTAAGTACCAACAGTTTTCTATACCATCGAACATTTTGTGATGTATTTTTTAATCTTATTTCTATTGGATTTGCTAAATCTAAGTTTGTTAAGGTCTAGCTCGAGACTCTTGGTCGCACCACAGAGTAACTTCAGACAAGGTACACTGTCTGTTCATCACGCTCTTATTTTCGTCCGGATAGATTCGTGCAACTTCTTAGTCTAATACCGATCTTAATCTTACTCTTATATCTCCTAGTCTCAATAGATCTAGTGTATAATGGTATTTGTGAGTTCGATATCTGGAACAGTTCTGAAGGAGAATGACTGTCTTCTAAGTTATAATTATTCTGTTCTGATGCTGAAACTATGAATAGTTCCAGCGTTACAAATAATTGTAAGTGTTAGTTATGGATCATGATTGTTGGTTAGTTAAAATTAATTTATGGACATAAATACTAGTTTCAAATTGGTTCCAGTTCATAAAAAATTCATAAAAGGATCTGAACAAAAGTTCATATAAGGATCTGAACAAAAAACTAAAAATGAAACTTAAGAATAATCGACAGTCATAGTAAATTAGGCAAATTCGACAACACTTTTACTGAAAAATGACTAAGAATACAAAAAACTCAAAAAGTCCGATATTTTTTGAATTTAATATTTTTTTATTTTCCAAATGGCGCTAAAAACTCCAAAACAACTTTAATTTAGTAAAATTAAGTTTTCACGGCCTAAATGGAGCAAAAATTACCTATTCTAAGCCTGCTCGCCCGAGTTTAGACTGAAGTCAAATTTTTTTAACCTGTTTTTCTCAATACTGTGACAACGTTTCGTAAATTTTAAAATCACGACTGAAAGGTTTTAATATGATATATTAAAAGAAATAGAAATACACCTGAATACAATGTTACTACCCATTTTTCACATGGTCATAAAAATGATTTCCAATAAAATAATTTTCATTAAAAGCTGTGTGAAATACTATAACCAACCTTAATTTTTAAGCTGATTTTTCCAACGATTCTCGGTTTTAATTATATTACAGCTATCAGTTAACGCATAGCAAAAAGCGATTCAGTTGTTAGATTAACTAAATACCAATCTGTCAACTATGCTAATAGCTCAGCGACTGCTCATATCCGTGCAAAAACTCTGATTTAAGGACTGCTAATGAGATTTCGTTTCGATCACGCAAAAGGAAGAACTTGGAATCTGGTGCATTTTCCGCGCTAGATTATGAACAAAAGAAACATCGGTAGAGCTAGTCGTGATTCCAGCTTTTACAAATGAATCAAGTAAAAATAGCATAGCATTAAAATTCTCGGTGCAAAAAAAAAGTTTTTTAGACTTATTTTGATCGACGATTGAATGCCTTAATTACCCAACTATTACAACAATTTGAAAACTTGAGCCAAAAAATGAAGATCTTTTCAATTTTTTTCAGATATTCTCTTACAATTTAAACGTTTGTAAAAGTCTTCTATGTCATCTGCAGTCCGCTCGCCTACTTTTGATATTTCTATCATCGATGAACTCCGTATTTGCTTGTTTTATTTTCGCAGGAATGCAAAACATCGTAGCATTAATTCGTAATCAACTGAAAACGCCTACTCATGTCGTTACTCCGACTTTTGAGAAAAGGTAAAGAAATGTTCTGTGGTGTTTTTGTGCAAAATTGAATTGAGGCTCTCTAATTGTTCCAAATGCGTGTTCTGGGAAAAATTAAAACAAAAAGGAAGAAATTTGAAAATTGGTCTTCTTCCAATTAGTTTTAGAAACCTATCTAGCAAAACTTTGATTCGGAATCTGCTTTCAGTATTAAATGATTTAATGAATTCTAGAAACGACACAATTGAAACAATCATAGCTGGTTGTTGTGCAAGTAGCACAGAATGTTCCGGCCTCATAAAAAAATTACACTATAAGGTTTTTTTTTTTCATTACATAAACGTTTTTTTTTGTTCTAAATGTGATGAGAAAGCTTAACAAACTCGTAGAATGTGAGTGAATTACGACTAATCGACAACAGTTTCCTTCAAAAACGGAATAAAAAATGAAAAAAAAACTGATAAAAAAGTTATCTTTTGTGCGAAATAATTTTTAACTTTTTGGAGAACTTTTACTGCCGAGCAAACGCTTCAACAGAAGCTTAAAGATTATTTTTTTCTAGTTTCGGGTTTTTTTTTCTAGACCACCAATTTTCATAGAACGAATGTTAGTCGATCGCTTTAATCGCTTGAAATTACAACAGAAAAAAATTAAAACAGGTTTTTCTCGAAAAATATTGTTCGAATCACGACTGAAAATGCTTAAACAAAATTTACCACACGGCGTTTTCCGATGATTATTTGTGGCACGTGATTTTGCGTGGAAAACAAAAGAAAACTTTAAAAAACTGAAACAACAGAATGCAAAGTTCATCCCCATTGTCAATGATCGGAACAACAAATTGCTTATTATTCCAATCAACTCATGAAGGTTATTATTCTGAACACGTTTAGCCATCATTACTTGGTACGCGATAACCACAGACGAAAATATCAAGACTTTAAACACCATATAAAAAAAACAATTGTCTAAGAGAAGACGACCCCTGTGATGTAAATTTCTCACTCTAGACAAAATGCCACTAAACTGTGCAAAACTATTCAGTTCCAGAATAACCGTGAAAACTGTTACGAAATTCAGCAACGTTCTTTCACATGATTTGATATACAATGTGCTGCATATGATCTTTTTGTGACAATAAAAAAGACGACTACGAGTTTCTTACCCGCTTGGAAGCATCCGGAAGGGCACAATGTGCATGTCATCGGCATTTGCACTGATTTTGACGCTCTTTACAAATGACTCCTGGCGAGTGTCCATGTTATTTCTCAGAGATTTTGCCTCAACCACCAACTCCGCAACGTAATCCGCAGGATATTGGCTTTTAAAGAATACTTTCAATTTAGTGGTTTCATTTGATCCTAACAAGAAACTTCCTTCTGTCTGGAAAGGGTATTCAGCAAATGGCATCAAATGACGAGTGTTCGTGCTGTTTCTGATCTTAGTTGCGATCTCCATCTTCCAAACTGTAGGGTTCCAAATCTGAATTGGGATCTCATAGAGTACATTTGTACAATAGTAGGCTGATGTTCCCACTTCGTCTGGAATGACAACGCAGAACGTATCCTTCTTGCACCGCTTCTGATATTGGAACTGCGATGAAATAGTGTCTGAAGTGGAATGTAAAATACTAATTAATTCATGTTTCAATTGATTAATCATACCTTGACTGCAGCTAAAAATGTGGCACATAAAAATAGATATTATTCTTTCAAATACCACTTTTGGCATGCTCCAGATTTTTTTTGTGTATTTTGCGCGCTTTTTAAAACTTATGAGTCTGAAAAGGATAAAATATAAACGTAACTTTTATTTGCAATTTAGCTTAGTTGAATAAATTTCTATATACAATTTTTTTTATAAATGTCGCGAAGATTACATTCTCGTATCTTTAGAAGAGATTGTACCATCCAATTTACCACCCAGAATGATTGGATAATTTACAAACAAGCGAAGTAGGCGTGTAACAACACATATATGAGCGGGTAAACTAGTCGACAGAAAATCAGACCAAAGACGCTAAGTCGCAAAAAACTAAAAATATCCAAGTTCGAGAATGTTTGTTCGTTTCGATTTGTCTAGTGTAAAAATCATTTCAATAAAAGCATGCCAATTCAGTCAAATAAAAATAGGAACAAAACTTAAGACGCGTTAACAAAGCCGACAATACTTCAACAGACACCCGTTTCGCTGAAAAAAAAATGTTTTCATAAAAATCTCTAATAACTTTTCAAGCCTCAAGACAAAAAGCATTCAATTTTTTTTCGTTCATCAAACGACGCAATATCAGGCCATTAGTAGATAATATCAGCCGAAACATTTTAACACCAAATAGCAGAAGCGGATTTAGGGGAGAGGGGCGGACGCTTCCCCCCCTCAGGGATTCGACCCCCTGCCGAGCCAAAGGGCCCCCCTTTGAACTATTTTGAGATATCCCTTTTTGGCTGACGGACCCAAAATCTTTCTGCCTATATACGCTAACTTTAAGGGGGTGCGCGCGCCGAAAAAACGCAATTTTTTGGTAAATTTTTTTCAAAAGAAGCCTTTAAGGCCTTGTTTTTTTAAATTTTGCCTGCGGCGCACAAATTCTGGTCAAAACATGGACTTTTTAGTGCTTTGGGAAATATCGGAAAATCAATTTGGTCCACCCCCCCCCCCCCCCTTGAGAAAAACTTAGATCCACCCCTGCCAAATAGATAGAAAAAAAAACGAAACAACTGAAACTACACCGGGTGCAAAATGCAAAATTAGAACCAACATAAAAAAGGAATACAACGCGTACTTAATTGCAGATATACTAAACAGATGTCTGTAGGTTGTCAAAAGTGCAGGCTCAGAAAATTAAAATGATAAAATGAGATATTTTGTTATACGTTTCAAATGGAGAAAAAGTATTTATTCTAATTTGATAACGGTCGCTAATCGCAAGGCGTGATACAGATACAAAGCCTAGCTTCGCATCTCTTTTGACAAAGCGCAAGCACAGAAGTTCAAGCGTGCGACTATAGAAAATGAGCCGAAAATAACAAAATAAAAAAAAGACTTTTTGTTTTTACTTAGCGGACACTAAGTCGACAATACGTGGGTAGACGCCCATTGAGTCGATAAAAAGTGCAATACGAAATTGTTGTACTTGAAACTTTCAGAGCAATTAACTTTGAACTTCTGCCTCACAAACTACCTGATTTTCTTAACACAATCAATATTTACGCTTGAAGAGACAGAATATTGGAACTAAGCCGATAAAATTAAAGGCCGGAACCATTTAGGCCGAAAGAAGCTTTAAAGCGGAAAAAACTAAACCAGGGCTCTTAAGTTAACAAATTACAAGAATAAATCGAAGACTTGCATCTAGGACGTAAACTGCTGGTCGCATAAAAATTCCGCGATGTGGCCGACAAAACATAAGCAGGCAAACGAAAGTATGACCATTCAATTTTTCCAGGAATTTTTTTTCCAATTTTATGCATACTGAAAAAACGGAAATAGAAACCCGAACCTTAGGGTCCAGAGGAAACCGCATTACCTCTAAGCCAAGCTGAGAGTTTCTTTGAGGTAAGACACCTGCTCTCGAGAGTATAAGGATTGGGTTATTTACACAGAGGTGAAGCAAAGCAATACCAACTACATATCGGTTCGAAATAAAATCTGGCTCTCTTAAAAAAGAAACAATAAATTAATTAAGCGGAAACCGTCAGCTGAAAACCCAGGAAAATTTTGCAATTCTTATACAACTTAATGGCCAAAACATAAAGCATTCAAGCTTAACAAATTCCATTATATTTTTCTGATTACTATTAGATGGAAAGGATACGAAAAAAGAAGTTCCGGTTCAAAAATCATGATCCAGAAATTCCTAAATCCACCTAGAAACTTCGCTGAAAATCATGGTACCAAACAAATTGCATGTCCATCAAGAACATCCGGATGTATAAAAAACCTTTCGATTGCTTGCTAAAAACAAAGATCACATGAACGAAGAAAAAAGAACAATGAAATTTTAAAAAGAATAATTAAACTTCAAAAAAATTAAAAAAAGAATTTTTAGAAAAATATTTTTTAAAACTTTAAACGCCTATAAAATTAACACAATAACATCAATCTTGTCATATAAGAAGCTAATACGCAACAATAAGCTAGCTGAACCACAATAAAAAAAGCTCACCAAAGTGAAAAAATACAGGGTAATTAGCTTAAATTCATCCATATTATCAATATTAGCGTTTGTTCGTTTAATGTCACCGTAGAAAACCTCAATTCATAAACAAATTCATGTATCACTTACTTTTTCCGTAACTAGGCTGTATCTGCATCTGCATGTCTCGCTTGGCAAATCTTCGTCTGTTAGAATTGTCATCCGATGTGTTTAATGTTGATTGTTGGCTTTGTGAAGCTGGAGTCATCGATTTATTTCGATCGGAGATTTCTGACATGCTTTCATACAAGTTTCTTGCCCTCGCGTCTCGTTTCTCGCTTTCATGACGACTTGACTGAAAAATTCAATTTAAAAACCATCAAGCTACAGACAATTTTCAGCTGCACCCACTTAACGGGCAGGAACGCTTTTTCATGGCTACACTAAAAAATAAGTTGACCATTCTAATAGCATGGTTTTTATTTAAAATTTTATCTCAGTTGATTTTCAATAGGGAACACAAACCATATGGTTAAGTCTACTGAAATTCGTGAGCAAACCTAACCTGATTATATTTTGACGTCCCTTTATTATGTGCCTCCTGTTTCATCTCGTGACCACCGTGACTGTTATGCGCTCCCTGTTGAGCTTGACTGTTTCGACTGTTATACCCTTGATGCACCCCATTGTTGTAATCCTGCATTGTGTGATGATGATGTTGCATGTTTGTCCCTGTGTTGTTGTCATTTGACCCATAGTAGGATGTCGCAGCGGGAGTCGGCGATGACGTAACCGGCGTGGGCCATTGGTTCGCAAGTCTTGAGTTGTTTAAAGCATTGCTCATGTTCTGAAACACCTTGTTCACTGGAAAGAATTGAAACAAGCTGGCCGCATCTGACCTACAAAAACAGAAAAATACTTGTATTAAAACGTGCACAACAAAGAATCAAAAATGTTGACGAACTCAAATATTCAGACTAACGTTTTTCAATTATTATCTAGAAAGTTATGCACATTATAGCAGGCAAAATTATCAAATTTTTTGATAACGAAAAAAACTTTAGAACTAACTCAGAGGCAAAGATACAGTTCGCAAACAAGCAATAAAACACCAAAAATTGTTGTAAAAAGTGAAATGAGGAAAAATTACAAAACTAGCCTTGAAAAATAAAACTTTCGAACCGCCAGCCTGGAGATTAAGATTCTCACGTCCTCGCATTTGCAGCAAAAACTCGAGTTTCTCATTAACACTAGCCACTAATAAAGTAAGTCTAGTCTAATGTTATGCGCACAATTGCCACCAAAAAGAACACTATTTGATATAAGTTGGATTGCAAAAAAAGAAGACTCCTATTACTACACGACGCTCGCTGACAGCTGGAAACGCTAAAATGAACGGTATGAAACAAAAACTACTGACTTATTTTTTGAAAACATGGCCAACAGACAGTTGGAAAACAGTAAATGAACGCAAGAAAAGAGTTTTAAGAACTTTTGAAGAAACTTTTGAATTTCAACAAAAAATAGATGGCTTGAAAGCTCTTTGAATTTCTAGAAAAATGTATGCTTGACACTTTTTTTGATAAAGTTAACCCAATTTGAGAAAACTTGATCATATGTAAAATTTTCATTTTGCAGGGAAATGTGATAATTGAACACAGAGGCGAAGCGGAGCTTTGCATCACTTGCGATACCACGAAAACAGCAATGCAAGTTAGCAGACAGGAAAGAAAAAGAGATCACGTAAGTCTAAAAACAACGGTAACTCTTTCGAACAACTAAAAAAAATTCAAAATGTTGTCTGGAATCATGTTCTATTGGCAAAAAACACGTCCAGAAACACATTCGACCGCTTTTAACGAAAATTCATTTTGAACGAAAATGAAAATTGTTTTTGAGCGAATATAAAATTGTTGCAATGAAAAACTTTGAACTATAAAATCTATTCTGAGACTTTAACGTTTTGTGCAACCCGGAGGAAAGCAAAGAAATTATGGTTCCCTCGAACAACCCAAAATTAGACGATTAAGCCGATAAAATATAAACCGAAATCATTCAGGCCAAAAAATTTTCTAGGCGAAAAGTAGAATTAAAAAATGCGAGTAAAAAATCATAAAAAGCAGCTACAATGAAAACTGCATGCAGCAAGCTAATTCTGCATCTAAGTCGACAACAGATAAGCTAAATAATTGGCCACTAATTCTATTTGAAACAATATTTACCGTTTGAAAAAAAATAGGTCCTGGTCAGATTCGAACTCAGTACCTTTGCAGTTCCAGGCCTATTCGTTGCCTCCAGAATAAGTGTCCCAGACGCTTAAAAATTAGAATTCATTATGAACCAAGAGATTTTGTTGAACAAGTTGTTAACCCGAAAAAAGTCTATATTACGTTTTGATAACGATTACGATTCGCAAGCGTATTTTTTTTCAAAATTTAAAGTTGATCACGGTATTGGCGACCTTTAAACTTCTGCTGTTCGATAGTTGAATTTGCCCTCCTTTTAACAAAAGAAATGAACTGAACTTAAACTGAAGTCAAAACGCGAAAAAGTAAACTTGAGAACAAATTTTATACTTTTCCAGGAAAAAGAAAAAAATCATCACAACCTATGGAAGAGTCTGAAATACGTTCATCGGATCATAAAAACTGCAATTTTCGAATTTCACAGCAAAAACAACTGCACTTCGAACATAAAAATTAAATTATGATTGACACTGTTTCAACAAAATAATTAAACCATTCCAAGAAAACTGAATCGATAGATAATTTTCTTACTCCGTTGGGAAATCTAAAAATTGCTATCTACTTTGGAACTGAAAACGAACTAAACTTAAACAAAAATCAAACCGCAAAAAAATAATCAAGTTTGAGCTTAATTTTTTCCTGAAAAAAGAGGAAAATTAATCGCGACCTACATAAGTGTCTTCCCTTCATTCATAGACTATTTAAAAGTGTTATCAGAAAACTGACACACAAACGCTCGCAAATACGGGCAAGAAAACAATAAAAAGGTGCTCAAAAAACAAGATAATACAAAACATAGGTAACACCAACTTAGCAGCTACCAGATTTTAAATCCGGACCTCCAGAGTTAGAACCTAAGAACTGTTCACAGCAGCGCCATGCCATCTACCTGTTTTCCAAACACCAGTCAACGGAAAAGTGGATAAGATAAAACACAAGCTATCAAACTGTCAAATAGAATTAAAGCAATGCACTGATTTTGAAAATGGAGGACATTGGCTAAGCACTCAATGTGGTTTGAAAAACTTCAACTCATAACATAACACAATCTTGTATAACAATCTCAATTTAAATAAAGTTAGTGAAGAATAGAGCTCACAATTTTTTAATGTTCCCATTTCTTTCTCCACCAGGCCATTTTAAAAGATCTTACGAGGGAAAAAAACCTGTTTTTCGTGGTTTCCACTTTGCTATTTCTTTACCAATTATTACTAATTTATTAAACTACTGATTTTACTAATTAAAAAAAACCAAATTAGCACTTCTCAATGTTGAACAATAGTAGCAATTTAATTGCCTAATTTTAGAAAAATTGCAGCTCAAATCGTCAATTGAAAGGCTCTAATACGGTATATTTCTCATTTCGTTAGACGTTCTTGTGACCATATCAACATATTCGAACTTAAACTCCCTGCCCACTTTCAATGATAAAAACCATTGAAAAAAAAACTTCATATGAAAACATGGATAGCCGGTTGCTCTGCAAGTAGCACAGAATGTTCCGAACATATTCTCAGAAAAAAAAATCGTTTTGTTCAAGTTAGTGTCTTTTTTATACTTCGTGTGATGATAAAACTTCATGAAAACAGCTCTATGAAGTTAAATAAGAAAAAGTAGAAATAAACCTCGAATTGGCAAAAACTCGGCTACGAGGATTCGAATCTGCGGCCTACTGCAATCAAGAGATTTTGAGTCTCGCACACTATCCACTCAGCCACGCAAGCTTATCAACCGACAAACACTAGTCACGAATAGAGCAGCTTCATATACTTATTAATTGCCAATGCGATTCAGCATAAATGGCACCAAATACAAATAGACTCAATTTTGCAAGTAAAAATTTGGAATGTAACAAACTGAGGGCATCCACACTAGCTTTGCATAAAATAAATAGCAAAGCATAAAGTCACATTATGTATAAACTATGCATTTCAAAAAACTGCGAGATATATTGAGTTAGAAAATTTCTGAAATCGAGTTATCAATTTTTTTATGGATCAAATCACTTTTTTCGGTTCAATTGATGAATTAAAAATGCATCAACTGTGCTAACTTATTACTATTCGAATGTCAAAGCACATGCAAAGAAAAAGCTGTAAAGGTGCCCCAAAAGTGGTACCAATATTTGCGACTTAGGTTAGAAAAAAAGAAGGTACTAATACACTTGCTTCGCAAGTGAAATAAAAACAAACGTTACTCGATCGCTTTACTCGCTGGAACATAGAAAAATGAAAAAACTCAGACCGGTTGTTCTCAACACCAGGAAAAGTTTTTAAAAAAAATTAGTGTTGTTCGAATCACGACTGAAAGGGCTTTAACATGATATATCACTTGACCTTGTCCGATGATTATTTGTGGTGCCTGATTTTGCTTGGAAAACAAAAAGCAAAAAAAAAAACAACCGAATACAAAGTTACAACCGAATACAAACAAAAAATAGTAACGATTATGTTTTGACTCAAAGTGTAGTTTAAATTTAAATGATAAATCTGAATTGCACTTAATATTTTTGTAAAACTTAAATTGTCTGCTATATGAGAACCTACCTTTCAGAACCGCTGAGTTAACACTAAAATAACAAAAACTAGCGTGTAAAGAAACTCGGGCTTCAAACTTTTAACAACTCATAAAAAACCGTAAATATTGGAAAAAAAATTGCATTCCTTGAGCTTCGTTATTTCACATTTTGTAAGGTTTTATTTTAGTTCGAATTTTGAAAAACCATAAGGTTTTGTGAAGTTTTTCATATCAAAGTTCTCTAAAAACTATAAAAATAAATTCAGAAACGTCACATCTCGGAAATAAATGCCAGTGAGCAGTCGCATTAGGCGCCAGATTTCCAATGCCTGAGAAAACTCTCACAGTACCCAACTACATGTTTTAACTTCAAATTACAAGAAGTTTTAAACTTAATTTTTCAAAAACATTTTTTTGAAAAAACCATTCAAAATGCCAGATCTTGAAAAGTACACAGATTTGATTACTTATAATTGGAGGCACGATTTACAATCCCTGAAAGTATTCTGACTCCCCCAACTGCAGGGTTGGGAATTTCTAACGTTGAAAAACTTCAAACTTAAATTTTTTAAACATTTTTTTTGAAAAACCCATAAAAAAACGTCACATTTCGAAAATTGCCAGGATTTGAGCAGTCACATTTAGATAAAAGGTTCGCAACCCCCAGAGTACTCTGAGATCCGCCAACTGCAGAGTTAGGAATTTCAAACTTTAAAAACATGAAATTTAAGTTATTTGAAACATTTTTTTGAAGAGTCACAAAAAGCGCCATATCTGGAAAGCTACAAGTATGTGAGCAGTCATTTTTATGGGGGCAAGACTCACAGCCTCTGAATGAACTCTGACAACTTCTAGCTACAGGGTTGGGAACTTTGAAATTAGTTGAAAAAATCACAAAAGAGCAGATATCTTTTGTGATTTTCTCGAAAACTGCAGATAATTGAGCAGTCATATTTGGAGGCAAATATTGCAACTCCTGTAAGTACCCTGACAGAGCCTCACTATAGAAAAAGAAACTTCAAATTTTGTGAAATTTTTTCAATATCTAAGTTCTTTGAACAATTGAAAAAAATACATAACAAACGTAACATCTTGGAAACTAAGAGCAAAAGAGCAGTTGCATTTGGATTCTCACAGTTAATTAGATTCTCACATTTGAATTCTCACAGTAACCAACTACAAGGATTTTTGATTTTTAATAAATTTAAGTATTCTGACAAATTAAAATTAAAATCATAAAACAAGTCATATCTCGAAAACTACAAGGATTGGAGCAGTAAACAAAATAAAAAGTTGAAAAAAACTTAAACACCCGAACACAAAGTTCCTCCCCATTTTCAATGGTCGGAACACAAAACTCGCTTAGCCTAAAACCGACGTAGCAATTTTCGATGCAGTTGATCAAAACTTCACTGCTTAGCTTTAAGGAAGTTAAACTAACTTACAGATTAGAATTGTTGAGATGCTGCTGATATAATTGATTATTCACCATCTGCAATGTGTTGCTTCTAAACAGCTGTCCGAAAGTCGGGTTCAAATGTGCCTCCAGCTGCTGAGCCGAAATAGTCCCTATCTGTTGGTTCTGTTGCTGTATCGGAGACATTGCAGGAGACGCTTGCCCCGACGCACACGACGGTACTTGAAAGCCCGGATTCGAATTGAGAACATTTGGTGAAAACATATTCAGAAGTCCCATTTGCCCCATCTGGGCAGCAACTGGAGTTGTTACCGGAACTACAGGCGTCAAATTTGAACCAATGAGTGCCGCTACAGATGGTGGGACCGAAGTTGGAGCCGAAACCACTGGTGACGCCGAGGACACTCTTGGCTGATCCATGCTACTCATGCTGCTACTTGCTGACGTCATGACCCCATTCATCATGGAATTATTGCCAGAACTCATTGCTGGATTATTGCCTTTATTTGCCGCATTAACAGCGGCAGATTCGCGCTGGAGTCCCTGCAACGAATTAGTTTGCAGTGCCATAGTTTCATTCAGAGCACGAATGAGATTGATTTGCAAAGGCATCGAGTTGATTGGTGAAATGAAGTTATTATTAACTAATTCTGTCATCAACTGCATGTCACTTCTGACTACGTCCGCGGCACTGAATGTGCCCAGCAAAGGGTGACGAACCATGTTATTCATGACGGTTTTGGCTGCTGTTAGATTAGTTCCAGCATACGGAAACTGGGCTCCTGGGTTCATTGATTGAGAATTTGAGGTAGCTGTACCGTTACCGTTATTGTACCCTCGATTTCCGTTGCCCGCAAAGCTCTTGTTAACGTCGCTATAATTGTTTCTGTTTCCCGAATTCTGCTGGTTCCTGTTCTTCTTTTTGGACGAGTAATTCGAAGAGTTCTGATTTAAACTGTTGCTCATATTAGAATAATTGCGCTCGTTATTGCCTTCCGCTCTAGTAGACTTCTTTCCATTCGGAGGATTGTTGTTCACGTCTCGTACAGTGGGGTGTGCAAATGAATTTGTGGCGAAGAATGGTACTGACTCCGAGCTTACGTCTGGCCTCGCAGTTGTCATTTGTGCTTGGGATACTTGGAACGAGTGGTTAACTACACATGACATCATCTGGTCCTGATCCTGGGTAGATCCCATTTCGTTGGAATTCAAACCCTTCTGATCTAAAATAATAATCATAATACAGTTTCAAGTTTAAGAGACTAAAGGACATGGGCAACAGACATAAAGAAACGTGTCAATGAACTCTAGGAAACCAAAAACACTGACCGAGATTTTTTCCGAGTTTAAAAGCAAAAATAAAGTTTCGAATCCCTGAGAAAAAAAATATTTCTATCATTTAAAATAGACTTTTTAAAAAGAAAACATAATTAGAAGCAATTGATTTAAAGGGCAATTTTTTCTCACAGAGGCACAGCGGAGCTTCTGTATTATGAAACCCCACAAAGATATTTTCTGCCCTCGAAATTACGCAAAATAAGTTGACTAAGTCGATATACCATAAACTGAAACTGTTTGACTATTAAAAGAAACTCAAAATCAGACAGGGTAAATTTACAAATTTGTGAAGTTTCACTTATATTAAAAAAACAATATAATCCGACAGAAGCTAGGACGAAAAGATTAATTTGGAAACTTTGAAAAAAAAATTACAACCTTTAAAAAGATAATTACAACATGAAACCAGAAGATCCTCTAGAAGAGGCGATTGTCTAGAAGAGTGGACAAATTGTTTACGGGAAAATAATCTAGTTCCCGATTGCAATACCATTGCTTATCGCAAGGGTAATATTCCGCTTAAAATTCTGAAAAATGCAGTCCATTTTTTAAACCAATTTTTTCGGCAATTGACCATTTATTGATTTGAGAGTATGGCTTTTACTTGACAAGTGAGTTTGAACTGAACTTGAAAACTAAGTTAAACGAGTCAAACAGGTGATAAAAAAGGGCCAAATAAGCAAGTAGCAAAGAAAGTTCCGACCACAATTATAAAATTTTAAAATGGTCCGACCACATTCATTAGCACAGAATGTTCCGATCACATTTTCCCTTTTTTTCTGCTTGTTTGGTACGGTTTTTCACAACAATGGAACAACTTTTTGGAAAGATTTTTTATGTCGTTCGAACCACGACTGAAAAGACTCTAATATAAAATATCACTCGCCCCGTTCGGACAATTTTTTTGGTACCTAATTTTGCGAGGCAAACGAAAAAGAACAATGACAGCCGGTGCTGTAAAAGCATCATCAATAAATTCCGACCGCAAAAAATTTTTTTTAGCTGTTGTTTTTTTATTAGTTCAGCTATGGGCGGATCTGAATAAAAGTGTTTAAAACAGTACAATCGATAATAAGAGTAGACAACGGTTTGCAACAAAAAATTAATTAAAAAGCAAAAAACGATTTTGGTTTTCAAGAAGAAACTAAAAGAAGCCTAAAACTACTATTCCTGGAATAAAACCATGTTTTTACATCTTTTTGCGTATTGAAAATCTTCCTCCCTCAAAACTACAGCAAAAATCAAACATAACCAATCGAGGATTGGAAAAGAGTAATTAACGCAAGTAAACATAGAAAACCAAATTGATGCCCTTTAAGGTCTTTGAATTTCTAGAACAATTCATGATTGGCGCTTTTTTGATAACATGAACCAAACTAGAGAAAACTGGATCAATAGGTAAACTTTTTATTCTGTTAGCAGATGAATTTCAATTAACTCAAAAATGTCATATACCTGTTGAAAAAAACTGATGCACTTTTTGATGCACTCGGAGAAAGTGCATCAATGTTTTAAGGCTTTTTCTTGAAAAAAAAACTATAAAAAAAAACCAGCAAGACGTATATAAGAGTCTTCAGTACATTCATTTTCTACACCGCGGAAATTATTTAAAAGCGTTCGAGTCACGACTGCAAGGGCTTCAAAACGATATTTCACTCGTTGGCTTTCGACAATTATTTGTGGTTCCTGATTGTTGGAAAAGAGTCAATGAACGCAAGTAAACAGAAAAAAAACGAACTATTTTTTGAAATCTCAACTTTCCAATTTTAGAAGGAAAAATAAACTCTCTTACAGCTCTTTGGATTTCTAGAACAATTTATGTTGTTAGTTTTTTGATAAAATTAACCCAATGAAAAAACTGGATGAATAGGTAAATTTTCTTTCCGCTGGGAAATCTGAAAATTAAATTCCATTTTCGAAACTAGAAATCGATCACGTGTTGCCATCACGTTTTACTATTCGACAGTTTGCCTCCTTTTAACAGAGAAAATGAAATGCACTGAAAAACAAATCATAAGTCAAATTGCGAAATAGTGAAAATGAGCCTGAACAAATCTATGACTTTTCCTGAAAAAAAATATCAACATTACTTATATAAGAGTCTGAACTATGTTCATCGACTCTTGAACACATTCCTCCCTACTTTCAGTGGTCGGAACAAAAAAAAACACAGCTGAAAACAAAGTTTCTACCCACTTTCAATGATCGGAACGGAACAATAGCTTCGATCATCAACACTTCATAATGAGACGTGGGTTAAAGATATTAATAATTACACAGAGGCGAAGCTACGCTTCGCAAACACTTGCGAGAACACGACCAAAAAAAAGCTCTATCAAGTGAAATAAAATGGTAGAAATAAGCCTCGAATTAGCGAAAACTCGGCTACGTGTCGGATTCAAATCTGAGACCTAGCAAATTTGAGTCTCACGCACTAACCACTCAGCCACAGATGCTTAAAATACCCAAAACTAGCCACCAATAACGCAGATACATAATCTAATAATTGCCAATTCGATGTAGCAAAAAAAAACATCAAATACAAAAAGACAAAATTTTGCATGTAATAAATTGGAAAGTATAAAGCCAAATTATGTATAAATAAAACATTTCAAAAAAATTGCGAGATACATTGGGCACATATGACATAATACTGCTTCCGCAGCCTACCGATTCAAAAGTGCCACCAAAAGAAGCATTTTTATTTGCGACTTAAATTGGAAAAATAGAAAGTTCATACTTATATACAAGTCAGGGTGACCACTTTTTTGAAAGAAAAATAGTGACTATGACAATTTTCGAATTTTTTGTCGACCTTTATTTTAGGTCATCCAAATTAATTTGTTGTTTTTGTTAAGCTTTGTTGTAAATAGTGACTTTTAGTGACCATTGAAAAAATAGTGACCATTATGACTGGTCACTAAAATAGTGACCCAAGTGGTCACCCTGTCGCAAGTGTAATTAGCAACAAAAACTATGAGTCGCCTTATCGGGTACCCAAAAAAGGCCGATGAAAGATTTCAATTTCTTTTAGCTTTTTGTGCGTCAGGCAAAGTTTTATTTTCAGGAACGACTAGTTTAAACTAAGACAACACCAAGTCTATTCGAACTTTCAAAAACAACTTTTAAAATAAGTGTCGCAGAGTTGTGTTTAGGATTTTAACAGAACAAACAATAAAAGATGTATCACTAAAGTTGATGTCTAGCTTCTTGCGTGCTTAAATTAATTCCATTGAAAAATAACTTAAGCTAAAAAATTAAAAACCAGGACTTAGACTAGGAGTCTGAGAGGGACTGGGTGCCACGGAAGAAGAATTGGTTCCGTTCGGAGATCGCGAAAAGTAAGTTGTAGTTGTTGACTGATTGGCCACATGAGTCGTATCTTCATTCGAGGCGACCACAGAGGCTGCTTGTTGGGTTGGTAGAGACGGTACTGTGCAAATACTAGACCCCTCTGAAGCTAGCTGGGGTGGTCGCAGTACAGCCAGAAGATCGACAGGTGAACGAGCATATCTGTCGTTATTCACGTTATTCATCTCATAACCTAAATGAAGACAGACATTAATTTTCAGAGCGGATATATTCCAACCAAAATCTCGAGAAAATAGACCAGCTCAATTTTGACGAATACTTTCGCAATTGACCAAATGCATCGTTTTAAATTTTCGAAGTTGAAAGTAAAAGTTCTGATTTGTTCCGAAAGTAACTGAGGTATAGTTCTAATTGATTTCTTAAACTAATAAAAATTGGGTTATAAGTTATATTCTAAATTATCGATATTTATCTCGCAATTCATGAATACATGATGTTACTTTACGCCAAAAACTATTTTCAAATTTTCGTAGCTTGTTGTTTAATTTGCTGCTTGGGATTGTATGCGAAACAAGGAACAACTTCAGGTAAAAAAAAATCATTTACTGTCGTTTCACTAACAAGTTAAGGCATGCTTTACAAAATTTCACTCACAAGCCGGCTTATAAACTAATGAGGTAAAATTCTTTCGTCGTAAAATAGTTCGGTCACTAACTGAATTAACTTTTTCTTTGATTACTATTGGCTATTTGTATATTAATTAATTAGGCATTATATACTGGTGTTGCATTCAAAAATTGCAAAAAAAATTATGTTTTTGTAGAATAAGTTTTTGATAATTTTTATTGCCAAGGAAGCGCTGGAGTAAAACTTAGTTATTTACGGATTCCTATCGCAAAACATCACTAGCTTTACTCGAAATTAGACTAAAACATGGTTAATAATTAATCAACAGGTTTTTCTCACATCAAGTAAAAAGGTTTTAATGTGATATGTCACTCGAATCAATCCGATGATCTTGCGTCGTGAAAAAAAACACCAGGGACGGATTTAGGGGGGGGGGGGGGGGGGGGGGAGGAGGGGCGGACGCTTCCTTTCCTCAGGGGATTCGGACCCCCTACCGACCCAAAGGGTTCCCATTTGTACTATTTTAAAATATCCATATTTGGTGACGGACCCTAAAAAGTTTTCTAAAGACGTTTTTTGGCGCGATTTTTTAGTCAAAACGCAATTTTTTTGGTCAAAATTTTCCAAAAAGTGCCTAAAAACGCCTTTTTTGGCATGTTTTTCAAAATTTTGCCTGCGGCGTAGAAAATTTGACCAAAACGGTCTTTTTAGTGACTTGCGATAGCTCGGAAAATTAATTTGGTCGACCAAAAAAAAGGTCGATAAAATTTTCGAAATATTTTATGCAACTTTGATTGGAAAAAACAACTTCGTAAAAAAAACCATGCTCGCAAGCTTGCTTCTATAACCAAGCGGTAACTAAGCAGACAATATTTGGGTAGAAGACCGTTGGTCCGAAAAAAATTCCGAGCTACAATTTTTTGTAGAACTACCAAGCTTTACGTTCTCCCCCCGCCGCGAGTTACAAATCATTTTAAACAAATTTTGGTCCTAGAAAAGATAAATTATGAGGCAGCTAAACAGATATACTAAAAACAGAACCTATTTACGCCGAGGAAACTATTAAGAGTTGGAATACAACCAACAATTGGAAAACCTAATGGCAAACCGGTATTTGAAACAAACACATGCTCAAAAAAGATCTGTCGGTCAGATACTCTATCAAAACATATATGCAAACTGCTACCCTGAAAAATGATTCTGTTGAAAGCTGAAAAAAATAGATATTCCGATAAAAATGCTAAATGGGTTACATACTTGAGACATATGCTGGTCACATAACAGGAAAACTTTTCGATAAACGAACTCCACAAGCCTTGTTATTTTTGAATAAAAGTCAACAAATGAATTTTTTTCGTCCGCAACTTATTTTTCGAATTGTAGAAAAAAAAAGAGAATTCTGGATACTATGGTAAAAAAATTAATTCCGCTGAAAAATCTGAAAATTAAAGGCCACATTCGAAATTAAAAGCCGATCATGTTTTCTTGTAACTTCAACACTTTTTTCTTGTAACTTCAACACTTTTTTTCCTGTTCGATAGTGGAGTACCCCTTCCATTTAACAAAAGATATGAACGAAACTTTAAGGAAATCAAGTCAAACCGCGAAAAAATAAATTTGAGCCAGAACAAATTTTAACTTTGCATGAAAAAAAAAACAAAAAACCATCACCTATATAAGAGTCTGAACTACGTTCATCGACTCCTAATAGTTCAAACGAAGTTATTTAGTAATAGATGTCTTTAATCAAATATTAATCGTTATATATTTTTTTCAAAAATGAAATTAACCATGGATTGGTTTTCAAATAAAAACTGATTTGGCTTGTCAAAAACTTCCTTGTGACAATTATAACGAAGAAAAGGCCAAAAAACATAATTTAACACAGATTTAAACATATTTTTACACAAGCGAAATATGACCAATAACGCTACTGGGAAAGACTGAAAGACAAAAACTTTGAGTCTACATATTTTCTTAAGTGACGCACGCCAATTATAATTCTACATAATTCCTAAGTGACGCAAACCAATTATGACGCATTAGCAGTACCAGTCAATACCAAATATTTGTAATACAATAGTCTGTGTTAATATCCTTAGAATTGGCTGAACTTAATAGCTGGTTATTGATCTTATGCATATACTGCAATAAACGAAAGCCATATATAAAGTTTTATATATAACTCGTCTCTGTGCGACTTTGTTCGTGATACCTGACAGTAACGTATTTAGGGAGGGAGATGCGGACGCCCCACTTCACCCCCTCAGGGATTTGAACCCCTACCAAGACATAGGGGTCCCCTTTGTACTATTTTGAGATATCCATTTATGACTGAGGGACCCTAAAATTTTTCTAATGGCCCCAATAGAAACTAACTTTGAAGGGAAAGGAGCTCCGATAAAACACCAGTTTTTGGTCAACATTTTTCAGAAAGGGCCAAAAATCCCCTTCTGTGGCCTATTTTTTTTAGAAAAAAATGCCTGCGGCGCAGAAAATTTTTTCAAAATAGGGTCTTTATAGTGATTTGAAGAGCTGAGAGAATCTAATTGGTGGAAATAAAAAAAGGCCGAAAATCTTTGCGATTTTTTTAAAAATCCACCCCTCCCCCTCTAAAGAAGATCCTAGATCCGACCCTGATAACTAATTTTGCGTGAAAAAAAATCCCGAATCCGAAATTTCTTCTCACCTTGCTTTCGGAGCAATAATCTAAATTTTTAGGTTCTTCTAGCTCAACGCGAACCAGCACGGCAGCCATTACCAATGTTTCCAATTTTTGGGGACATATGTGGGGTATGCGAAATGTGCTCTGCATTACACCTGGCTTTATCTGCTGGACTTACGCTTCCTGTTGCTCACTAAATTGTATTTTAGAAGAACAATACATGGCAGGATACTGTGCATAGTACTTAGTTATCAGCAAGTTTAGTAGTTACGGCTCTTTTAACAACCTCCCCCTCCCACCCACCACAGATGCAAATTGTTTTGTGCGTGACACATCGTATCAACAAGGCCAGCTATGAAAACCAACGACCGAATACCTTTCAATATGGGTAATCACTAAGCATGCCCAATTTCGGAACAATCTGCTGATATGGAAATAAGATTCTAAATAGTGAATTCATAGCTTAGAGGGGAAAAGAGCCTTATTTGATTGATAACATAGATGATTGTGATAAAAAATTTTATCTGAATTTAAGTTGTTTAGAAAAAATATTCTTTCCAATCATAAGATGTAGTGCGTTGGGACTTATCAGTCTAGAGAACCAGACAAACATATTCTGAGGCCGCATTAGTTCGGACAAAGACTTCTGTTTATACTTAGATAATGCTGGAGAAAAGCTAACACAACAGCAGTTAAGATTAAACACTAACAACGATTTGGTGCCAAAAATCGGCAAACTCGTTAATTTTCATTAAGTCAAAAATTTTTAATCGTACGCAAATATAAAGCAATTGAAAAAACAGCAGATTGGGAGCAAGTTCAAGAGAAAAAATAATGAAAGGATGCCGCAAAAAAACGTAGAAAACAGTCGAACAAACTCTTAAAAAGTCTGACTCAGACAAGCTTAAACTTTAAACCCGCATACGACTTTCTACACAGAGCCGAAGCTTCGCTGCACAAGCAATAGCGAGAACACGACAAAAAGCAACTCTAAAAAGTGCAATGAGAAAAAACTTATCCGAATGTTTGCTAATTCGAGGCTTATTTCTACTAAGATTCGATCCTGCGACCTAGAGATTAAGAGTCTTCCACATTAACCACTCAGCCACGGAAGCTTAATAGTTACCAAACACTAGCTACAAATAAAGAAGTGAACAGATGCTATGCAATTTCCAATGCTACAGTGAATTTTCCAAATATGTGAAAACTTTTAATGAACACTTTTATTTGCGAGTAAGGTTAGAAAAAAGGTTCGTAATATTACACAAAGCTTCAATGAAACCAAGATCTTATCTCTTTAAAGCGCTTTGAATTTCAAGAAGTTTTGATGATTGGTTATTCTTTCATAAAATCAACCATATTTGAGAAAAATCGGTCTTTCGATAATTTTTAACCCGTAACTATAAACTCAAATCAACATACGAAACTAGAAGTCACGTTTCTTTGCGCCGCAACCCAACGGCATTCTTATTACTCTCATTTTCTTCGGAAAGTAAAACTTTAATAGAGATCACCAGAAATTGAGCCGAAAACAGTTATGCAAAAATTCAAAAAGCATTAATAAACTGAGAGCAATAAAAAAGATATTTTTAACGCAGAGGCGAAGCTGAGCTTCGCACCACTTGCAAAACAAAACAGGAAAGCCGATAAGTAAAAAAACAATTAAAAATGTCGAAGAAACTAGATCTAACAAAATAAATAAGACTATTTTGAAACAAACACATGCCACGACAAAAAAATGTAAAATCAGCTTCGGAGTAAAACTTAGCCAGCGGTAACAAATCCGAAATTAACGTAGAAGAAACCCTTTGAGCTGAAAAAAATTTCAGAAAAACTTAAAACTTATAAAAAGTTATTAAGTCCCCCTCAACCTCAAAGCACACACAAAAAATTTATTCGCTCGTCAAATGAAACAACATGAGGCCACTTAACCAATTTATTATTGGCCGAAGAATATTAAGCCAAAAAAAGGAAAATAAAAACAGCCGATCATAAAATAAAAAAAATATTTAAAGAAAACAGCTCTGAAAGCTCTTTGAATTTCTTGAACAATTTTTGATTGACAATTTTGTGATTAAACTAAACCAATTTGAGAAAACTGGATCATTCGGTAAATTTTTATTACGCTGGGAAATTATAAAATTAAATTCCACTTTCAAATTGAGCTTCAAAATTAAATCAAACCGCATGAATATGCAATGAGCTTGAACAAAACTAAAGCTTTCCTAGAAAACACGACCAAAAAATCAAAGTAGTTTGGGTTTGAGGCGTTGAGTTGTATCAATAAAACCATAAACATAGCAAACAGAAGGTTTGGAAAGTGTAAAAAGAACAAAAAACCGAAAAAAAACTGATTGCAACTTTTGTTTGAAAGTTCAACTTGAATAAATCCGATGAACTCCTGAAAAAATCACCGAAAACTACCCAGGCAGACTAAGCAAATTCACTTGAAAATACGAAGCCAAAACACATCAAAAACAAAATATTTCAAAATTTATCAGGGTTATGTTTAGCAGCGCTCATTTTTAATCGAGGCTCCTGATACATAGAATGACTGGAACGTAAATTTACTGCTAGATGTACAGATATCTAGATATTCTGACACGTAGCCTATGCAGTTAGCAGCGTACCGTCCAAGAGGTATTTGGTAGACTCTGGCAGCGATTGTAAATTTGCCGGTCGATGCCAAAACCATTTAAAAGTTTTTTTTTAACTTCTTACCTGCACGTTGCCTCGCGTAGGCATTCAGATTAACAGTTATCACCTGGCTATGATTGGTAAAAAAATATAAAAGCATCTTCACTAACCTTGATGGTCGTCTCTGCTCTGGTGGTGCATGGAGTTGTTCTGGGTCTTCGACCTTTGGTAACCTTTCGATGAGTTGTCCCCATTCCTCTGACCAGGAAAAGCGTTTCCTCCTGTCCCTCCGCCAGATGGCCCTTGCATATTGCCCCCGTTGCGGTTTCCTGCTCTGTTGTACCTTGCATTCTGATTCTGATATGGTGCTCCGTAATTCAACGCCGACTGTGCTCCCACACCGCGCCCTCTTGCCTTGTTGTTTCTGTTCATCGGGTTTTTGTTCACATAATAGTGATGAGCATTGTGACCCTCATTGTGACCTTCAGTGATGTGCAATATATCAACTTGTGTAACAATTGGTTGAAAAACGTTTGTTTCAATGGTTTAACCAATAACCAACTAGTTAAACTATTTTGGTAACAGCATACCTTATTTAATCAATTTATATAGACTCAAGTTAACATTCCCAATAATTTAGGCTGTTTAATTTAGCCCAGGTAAAGGTAGCCATACTTGAATTTCCACACCGCTAAAAACCTCTTTCACCCGATGGCTAGATTTTTTGGGAGCTTTAAAACAGGAAACTTCCAAAACATACAGCCAGCAGAATTTGTCGAGCTACTATAATATTTTTTATGATTGTGGAATAGCAAACCGAACGGGAAAACCAATTAGGTTATAAAAATCGCATTGGCTATTGCTTTTTAAAACTGAACATCACTGGTTTACCTTGATAGCCTCTGTTATTGCTGTGCTGCATAGGGTAGTGTGATTTGTTTTGGTTGCCATGATGATTGTGACTCTTTTTTGGAGATGAAAATGATTTGGAGGAGGATACACTTCCGCGTGATGAACCCTGCAGTGAGTTTGCAGTTATACTCGAGTTGAATGAATTCGATGACGTCAGAGTCGACTGCGAGTCGTTCGAATCTGAAAATCAAACAAAAAGTCCAATGCATGCAATTGCTTGCTACTTCTCAGAATCATTTTAGTGTGTCAAAAACTCATTTGCCAGCTATTTAGTGAGGATCATGAGTAAAAACCGCTTGCCTATTAACCGCATTTTCATCTAAAACTGCAAAATATCACTCCCGAATACGAAATGAAACCATTATATGTTTTAAGCATAGCGCAAAATATTAAATTTGGCTAACATTAAAAAATAATTAATTACTACTCACGCCAATGAAATTTCATTAAAAATTTGACAACGCATTCGAAACCACAAATCAATTTACCTAGTGACGAGTTCTGCGTTCTGTCTGCCCCACTCGCTGAAACGTCTTCGTAGCTTCTCGACTTATTACTCACTCCGCCTCCGCCATTTTCACTCGACTTCACATCCTTTCGTCCAGCAGTCATTCCTCTCGAATTCGCATATTCATTAGTACTAGTCGATCCTCTTCTTTCATTCTCCTTACCCTGTTTCGAATATGAACTATTGGGCCCATTAGCCGTTGCATAATTCTGCTGGCTCTCTCTTTGAGTTGGACCTTTTCTCGGTTTCTTCTTGCTTGCACCTTGAGTCACGAAAGTAACCGGACTTGGGTTGGTTTGCAAGCCAGTTTCAATTCTCGATTGTCCCGGACTGAATCCATCAACTGACGGAGTGTTCCTTCCATTCACAAGCGAAGAGATGGGACCCGATGAGTTTCTGTTATTGGGGTTAGTATTTTGAGTTGACAAATTAGTGTCTCCTTCGCTATTCGAAGTCTGTGATGTCGTCTGCAGATTCTCGTTGCGTTTCTGTTTGTCTAGGGGACCCTGGGATGCCATTCAAAATACACAAATCACCCAAGGTTTTTATGTACACAATTTATTCTGAAAATCAATTTTTATTAGAAGCATCTAGTTAGAGTGATGTTGACCATTCAACATCTTTATGATCAGCAAATTTGATCGTCGACAAATTTTAAGATTGCACGGAAAAATCAATACGACTTGAGTAGAAAAGCGTTCACCCGATCTGAATAGGGTAGTTGGCTCACACAAACATTTTGAGCAAACAAAAAATTCAAAAACTCAATTTGTTGCCGTAAAGGTGCAATCAATCAATTTTCACATTTACAAAGTAATATTCGAACTTCATACTTACTTAACTCAAGCAAAAATCCTAAAAGTAAGGCATCCGATTTGAGTCCTAAGAGTCATTTGAAACGGAGAATAAAGCTTCTCTAAACGCACATAACCAAAAAAAAAACACTCGCACTTCAAAAGAAGGAATATAACGTATCTTAGTCGACAAACTTTGGGGAAAAAAAAGATTTATGGGAATTTTCCGTCCCAAAATTTCAGGAATTTTCCGAGCAGTTTCTAAAACGAAATATGGGTCTTATCTGTTATTAGGCCCAAAACTGATCTTTTTTTATTTTGAAAATTGCATCATAACTCTCGAATCTGTTTGATTGAAAATATTAACAACTATTTACAGCAAAAGCAAACCAAGATTTTTTAACAACGGAAGCTCAGTGAGCAATTTGACAATTTTGGGCCGTAACAGAAAAGACCCCAAAATATAAAAAATGAGTAACTTGTTTTGAAAAAAAAACTTTTCACTTTTATAGACCTTAACAAAATGTTTCTGTTGTTTACTTATCAGTTACTAAGGGGGGACTGAATTGAATAATGAGCCATAAAAAGAACAGTTGAAATAATGAACAAACCCCAGAAGAAGTTGATCTGAAATTTCCGGTCTCAGGAATTTAACTGAACAAGACTGCTACTGATAATATTTAGCGTACAGAAACAGAAGGCAAGAAGAGCTTCGCGCCACTAGCGATACAACACAAAAATAGCCTGACAAAATAGCAGACATAAATCGAGACAAAAAATGCTAAATAGGAAGAAAGTTTTGGAAAAATATTGGGTAAAGCTAAATATAACAACAAATGTTTCAATCTTTGTTTCAATTTGTCTTGAATGTTTTTTTTTAAGTGAATTTTTCAAATAAAACAATTGAAAACTAAGTTTGCAATCAAACAGATCGTACGAAGCGTTAGATCAGCCGACAATTAGGTATAAAACGAAAAATTTTCAAATTGAGTGAACCAAAACATGAACAACGAAAAAACTGAAATTGTACTGAGCCGGAGTTGTAAAAATTATATTAAACCGGAGATGTGAAAACAACAACAAAAACAAATATTGAAGAAATCGGGTACCCGAGATGCAAAAATGCTCAACATATGCCTGCAGTATGACGAAAGTACAAATTTGAGAGCATGATTCAGTGATTTAAGGAAAAATCTATTCCGAAAAGATAACGCTTGCTAGTCGCCAGCTTAATAATCGCATGCCTTATAATTCCATTCACATCGACCAATGGAGCAGCAAAAAAGTTTAAAAAATATAGATTTGAAATTCTTTTCAAAAACTGTTTTTCGAAAAAAAACTAACTCAATTACCTTTACCAAGGGTGCTTTGCTTTAGGAATGACGCTCAGAAATTTAGACGAAAGCTGAAACTTCAAAAAAAAAGTCTACGGGAAGTAAGCCGACAAAAAAAGGACAAAGCATAGCCTTCTACGAAAATAAATTAAACTATTTTCTTGTTTAAAAAAAAACAGCCAACTGACAGTTGAAAAAGAGAAATGAACTCAGGGAAATAGAAAAAAATAACTGGTTTGAAAAGTCAAAAATTTAGCTCGAACAAATTTAGAAACTTTTCCAACTAAAAAAAGCCTACCTGAGTTCATTACTCTTTACAAGGTCCCGGCCGGATTCAAACTACAAGCCATTGTCTTCTCAAAAAAGCGTGTTACCTCTGCGCCAAATGCGCTAGAAAGTTCAATTATTTTGAGTTTATTGTGAAGCAGATTTAAAAACGTGTAAACTTCACATGCGGCACCTTGAACACAAGTCGTTTACAGGAAAAAAGTCAAGCAAACGATCGCAACAACCTTGCTTGTCGCAGAGATAAAAAGTAATAATCAGCATATTTCAATTGAAAAAATTTTGAGCCGGATTAAATCGCCGCTTTCTCGTAAAAAGCACAAGTATTCCGCTAATTATCCAAAAGTTTCAAGCCCTCATAGCTTAAGGAAATGGATCATAGGCAAAATCTCTGTCTATGCTCGCACTTAGGACAACACTAGCTTTCAAACAATAACTCCACGAGTCATTATTAGTCATTTTCCTCGAAAATCAGATAAAAAAATTTTGACTAGCTTTTTCGACACATCTACGAGTAATTTAAAATTCAATTTCTGTCAAATAGGACTTTAACACAAAGCCATACTTAACCCTTGAGGTAGCCAATACAAAGCAAAAAAAAACAGGCTAATCCATAGTTCCTTTTTCCACTCATAAGGTGGTCATCGAATGTAAATATCTTGAATAGAACAGAGATAACGAAAAATAAACAGATTCAAACCATGTCTTTTGATGTTTGACGCCAATAAATTCGTGAAAGGGACCACCCGTTAACAATGATTCCCGATGATCTCGTTAGACAAATTGTTTATTTATCAAAGTTGTTTAGACAAAGTCCCAATATTACCCTTTGCCAAATTAACCCACAATTAAGTTTGATCCTTTATCGTACTAGGGACATGTTTGGATTGCCTCGGTTAAAAATCCGAGGGTACCCTGATGAACTCGATTCACTTATTTGAAGCAAAACAGGATAGTAGCAGACATAATCAAAACATTTCTTTTGATATTTGACGCCAATAGTTTCGTGAAAGGGACCCGTTAACAATGATTCGCGGTTATTTCGTTAGACAAACTGTTTATCTCAGAAAAAGTCAAAATTTGATAACACTTGCTAATCACTAATGTAAACGTCGATATTGATAGCGCAACACTTTACTATATTCCAATTTACCCTATGCCATTTTAATCTATACCATTTTACCCTAAATACCAATTCATCCTATGCCATATTACCCATTGCCAAATTAAGCCACAATTAAGTTTGAACACTTTTCGTATTAGGGACATGCATGGAAGTGTTGATTATTTTATAACTTGTCTCAGTTAAAAATCCGAGGGAAACTTGGTGGACCCGATTGAAAATTTCAAAGCAAAACAGGAAAAAAAGCATTTAGCAGATTTTAATCCACATTATCAGAAACAAAAATAGATATGAACAAAAAAAATCGAATAGTTTTTATCATGTTTTTTATTGCAAACCTGAGCCAAATTGCTTGATGATAAACACATCGAAATCGCAAAACGCTTCTCATAGAGGGATAATAATTCAAAAAAAAGGAACAAGCAAAAATTGGCAATTAACATTGGATATGCTAAAACTGGCTCTCCCACAAATGCTAGGTGAATGAAATTACTCAGGGAAAAAAATCTGGTACCTACGCAGATTGAACTCAAAAACGAAGTCTTCGTTGGCCGGTCAGATGCCAGAATGATGGTGCAGCAAAAAAAGCAATGTATCAAACATCACTCCAGCAGGGTACCTGTTAACAGCTGTATAATTAAACTTGCCTTCATTCAAACAGTGGCCGATCGGAAGACTGTCCAACTGAATTACCTTCGCACTATGCCATTAAGGTAATCGGAGGGCTGTTTAACTGGATTGCCTTCGCACTATGCCATCAATAGGGCGCTCAATCGTCAAAAACGATTGAAAAGGCTTTCATCGCGCCGATATTTGAAAGGAACTTCTAAGTGCCTAAATAGTAAAGCTGTTTGCCTATTCGATAGCGGAAGTGAAGATACTGATCGGGTCAATATTTTAATTTTTACGTCCATGACGCGCCTCCGCCCCCTAAAAATGTTCGTCTCACCTCATACGCCGATTATTTCCACCCTTTCGCTTACAGTTCTGACATTGAGCCTGCATCACGCTAACTAAATGGTTATCAGCACCACCTTTTTAATTTTTTTTCACCTCCGGATCAGTTACCTTGCTTTCGTCTTACAAAAAAGATTTTAACAAAACTCCAGCAGTCTTTTTAAACAACGAGCGTCTCCCTATTAATAAAAAAAATCCAAAAACTTTATGGGTTATTTTAAACCCGACCCAATGCTTTGCGGCTCATTGCAAAAAATTTGCTGACAAGGCTCGACGCAGGATAGGAGTACTGAACCCGTTAGCAGGTTCCTCTTGGGGTAAGTCTAAACAGACCCTACTTTTAACCGACCAAAACCCGTCACTAAATCTTAACGACTCAGAAGAAGTTTCAACTATCGTTTTAACCACTACACGTAACCAAGTTTCTATCAGAAACCTCTCCTTCCCAGAACCAACCGCTGCAAGCTTTCCCAACTTCGGTCGGGTTACAGTCCGATTTTAAACACGTACCTTGCCCGCTTAGACAACCAAGTTTCCTCACTTTGCCTTAACTGTTTATTGTCACCCCACACTAGTTGCCATATTTTAACTGCCCCAGAAATCCCTCCCCTTTTACTCCCGCAGATCTGTGGTTAAGACCGGTTGAAGTAGCGAAGTTCCTTAGCCTGGAGACTGATGAGCTGAAACTGCCCAACTTGGGCTAAAGAAAAAAAGAAAGGGTCAGTTCTTTTGGCGATCGCGACGAAAAAAATGCCCTCCAACTGAGCAGACTTCTGGCTATGCAACAGACCATTTATACTATCCCCGATACAGTTTTACCAACTTTATACTGTTAATTCACTGCCAGCTGGCTTTTACCCACATCTATGCTCTTCTCTTCAATCGTGAGCACACCTACAAGAATGATACTCCGATATGAATCAGGTTAAACTTATGATTCGTTCATGCTTTGAACTCACTAGGATTTTGAATAAGCAAAATTAATGTCGCTGTGATATTTTACTCACGTGCGGCAAGTTTTCTTTGATCAAAATTAATTGTTAATTGACCTGTTCGAATATATTCTGTTTAGGATTCTGCAAAGAGAAGAAGGAAGTTTTAATTGCCTTAAAGTTGAAATTGCGTAGGGTAAAAAAGATACAGGGTAAATGGGATCATAGTGTAGGATAGTAGAGAAGAGAACAGAATAGGGTAAAATGTCACGGAACCATCCATATTTTTGGCTTATTGCTATCTATTCACATGAAATTAAATTATGACCTTAGATTACGACACATTAAGCTTAGTTACATGATTATCCTTTAAATTAACAATCGTTTCGTCAAAATCGAGTAAATTTACTGAGCCGAAAGCAATGTATGAATACTATTCTGCAACTTCATTATATCTTTATCCAACGCTTTCAAATCCGCTTGTACTTTATCGTTGTGATGTGCTAGATGGGCGTCTATATTTCCCTGCGGAACACTGCTCGCTTCCGAGGTGCCGACAGCCTTCTGAGGCGCTCCTTTAGTAGCAGCTCTATCTGGGTTTGTAGCCAGATCTAGTTCTGGAACATCAACATGGCCCACAATACTAGTTGAGGGAGGCATCGGGTTCACCACGAAAGGATTTGGCACAAAACTGGTGTTGCGAGGTGCTCCTGGTGTGTCGTTGAGCTGTTTCATTTCAACTTCATCCGTGGTTCCATTAAAAGAGAAGTCGGAACTCATTCCGATCAACTTCCTTGGCCTCGTTTGCTGCATCATAACATTGACTACCGCTGCTTCCGACGCCTTATCAGGCTGAACTTCAATCGCTCGTTGCATTTGCATTTCATTGGGTTGATTTTGAACACTGCTTACAGAAACATTACGATTTTGACTAGACTTGTCGTTATTCTGACTGGCCATACTGTGGGGCGCAATTTCACCTGTGTTAAAGGAGGACCCTTCCTCTGGAATAGGACCCATGTTATAACTATTAACCACTCGGTTATCTGGGCGTGAAAATAAGGTGTCCATTCTTGATCCAGTTGTATACCGACTCTCAGGCATCGAAAAATTATGCTGCTGGTATGCTGAGTTATTATTAAACTGCGACGACATTCCATAATTACTAAGCGACTGCGAAATGCTCTGATTGGATGTTTGCTGGGTCATACCTGATGATATAAGATTTTTCAATTCTTTTATACTTGCGTCGCCGTTTTCATTAAACGTTGTCAGCATGTCGTCTGCGTCTCTGACCGAATTCCGGTACTTTCCTAGAACACCTCGTGATTTTAAGTCAGGATAGGTTGACGCAGCTGATGACATTGCAACGTCACCCATTGACGGTGGAGGCAATAAGTTGTTATACATTGAATGCTTCCCAAGCAAACTTGCAGTAGCACTGGATATGTCGCCTAATGCAGATATTGACGACTGGTAATAAGGCTTCCGATACATTGACGACCCACCCATCCCTGAATTCAATGTCCCTCCCAATTCGTTGTTATGGTTCCCATACAGTGGTTTACTTGCAACGATAGTCGGTTTGCTATATGGCAACGAAGAATTCATAGCGCTTTGTCCAAAGTGGTGCGAGGATCCCGTCATTATCGCCATGTTTTCACCGTGCCCAGATTGACTATTAGTAACAGTATTGCTTCCTTGGGTATGTTGGCTGTTACAAGCTGCATTGTACACAACATTCATTGGCTTTATGGGCGCGTGGTATTTCATAGCTGGCTGAGGGTAGATTAAATTACCATCGACTTTACCGCCTCCAATTATCCGATAGTTCCCAAGTGGAGTACTAACTATCTGAATGGTTTTGTCAAACGGCTGCTTCTGACCTGTGTTCTGGTTCTGCTGTTGTGCCTGGGAAGGTTCCGGATCCGTGATCATCCCTGAGTCTTGAGTTTCCGAGGTCTTCATGTTAACGAAAGCTCCGATTCCCTCGGATGATTTCATGTTGTTTTGCTTAACCTTCGGTTTTAGCCCTGGAGGAGTCTTCGATCTAGAGCGTGGTATCGTAGGAGCGTTTGCATTACCATGGACATGCACAGGAGCTGGAACCGTCTTCGGTCTCAAATTCTCATGCTGATTTTGATTCGGAGTTTTACTTCTCTGAGGCGGGTTCGAATTAACTTTGGAGGCAACAGATGTATTAGGGTTCCTACTTGCGTTAGAATTACTATTATTAAAGCTAGTATTATTTGGCTTACCAATATGGTTATTGTTATTGTTATGACCATGAACATTGACTTTAACGTGCAGTTGAGCGTTCTGGTGTTGGTTATGTGTAGAGTGATTGTGATTATGATTATCGTTCGACCGCGAGTTATGATTATCTGTCACTTGAGTCGAGTTTCCTTTTCCTTGCTGCCTATTTTGCATCATTGCTGGTGCTGCAACAGTTGGTTGCGTATAAACACCCCTGACTTGCGGTGGGGGCATTCTTGGCGGGGGTTGAAAGTAACCCGGTTCATTGTAATCATCGTCGCTAATGACTGTCGGGCTTCGGTTCAGCTGTTCGCGCAGTGACTGATTCTCTTTATTTGCATCATTAAGCTGCCTCTGTTGCTTATTAATAAACTCTTTCAAACTCTTGATTTGATCATCTTTTGCGACTGATTCTCTCTCCGCTGCATTTAACTTTGCTTTCTGTCGTTGAACTTCAGTTAAGGCCACGTCTATCTCTGCTCTTATACTTTTCAATTCATCGTTGAAGCTTCTAGAACATTCCAGCATATGTCTTTTCTGATCACTGATCTGTTTTTCTAATTGGTTTATTTCTGCATTTAATCTATCGCAATCACCTTCCAAAATGTGCTTTGACGCCTTTAATTTATTGATCAAAATTTTCTCACTACCCGATTGCTCTTTGTGGGTTTCCTTTAGAGCCAAAACTTCTCGTTTCTTGGACTCCATCATTTCTTTGTGCAGTATTTCCATTTGTTCCATTTCTTCCGCCAGTTTCTGTATCTCCCTTTTCAAGTCCTCGTTCTGTTTCTGCAGCGGCGCAACTGAAAACTTCATTTCGTTGTCGAACATCTTTTTGTCTACGATTGTGGGAAGCATACTTACAGCATCCTCAAGCTCCTACAAACAAGAAACAGTTTTGACAATCCAAGGTGCCTCATACGGCGTTTTTCATGAAAAGGGATGAGCAAGGCCTTGAAACATTTATTTCCGCAAGCTTACAGCTAATAAATCATGTATAATACTGCTTGGAAATGCAAAGGTTTTAGAGTTTCCTTTGAAATGTCCATTCCATGATTCCCCTTTTGTTACTACTCAATTTCATCATTTTTGCCGTAACTTTTTTCGCCTTATTTAAAAGGGCAGATAATTCCAATTTAATCTGTTGTGTACTGACCTTATAAAATAAGGTCTTCTTACAGTTTCAAGAGACATCCGAAAACGAACATGGTTGGCCTAAAGATATCCCTGTCGTTTTGAGTTTTGATTCAATTAAAATCTCTCACAAAAATCTTGACGCCCGCAACAAAAATTTTCTAAAGTTTTGCAAAACATATTCTCAAGCTAAGATTTAAAAAATACACTGAAAAGAAGCAAGGCTTCGCAATACTTGAGATACCACATAAAAAATCATTGCAAGCTAGCAGACAGGAATAGAAAAAAGAGCCACAAGTCCAGAAAAATTCAAAACTTAAAAACGTGGTCAAATGATGTTCCATTTGCGGAAACACGCCCAGAAACACCATCGAGGGCAACGTGGGTGAATTTCCATATAACCGAAAACAAAATTGTTGTCATGAAAAACTTCGAACTTACAATTCGAAGTTTTTACTAATCTGACTAAAAATAAGCAGACAAGATTCGAACCCGGGAACTTTGCTGTCCCAGGCGTATTCATTGCCTCCAGACCATATGTAACGGAAAAGCTAATAAATTTGAATTCCTTATCAACAATCAATACAAGTGATTTAAAAGAATCTGTTAAACAAGTTGTTAACCCGAAAAACTCTTAATCAGGAGTTTGTTGAAATAGTTCTTGCTTGAACAACGGAATGATTTCCTTTTGAACCGTAGTGACTTATATGCCAATTATACGTTAAGCTATAATCCACTTTCGTACTAAGTAAATAACTTAACACGAAGGCAGAATTGAAAGATGGAAAATGCAAAAAGGTAACCCTCGTTTCGAAAAAGAAAAACAAACAGCAAAATCAAAAAATTTAACTTCGTCATAACATTTTCCAGGAAATGCTTAACTAAACCCACCTGCAGGAACTGCTGTAGCTCCATGTCACTGCGTCTCTGCGCAATCATCTTCACATCATGGAACATGTCAGACACAGTCTGTAGATGACTGTTCACTGCTGTCATCTTCCTGCCCTGATTGTGATGAGCTCCAAACATGTCGTACTTGTTAATACCGCTGCTACTACCCTCACCTCTATTGTTCACCCCTTGACCTTTGATCAGAGCTACCACTTCGTAAAAGATAAAACCACCGGCATCTACTTTTTTCTTCTATTTCGCATCTAGATTTTGCCAATTGATTTTTTCAGATCAATGTGATGACTACGTAAACTGTAGTTTTTTTCTTAAACATGATTTCTTTCCTCAAAACCTTTCGTCTAAGCAATGTTTTAAATAAGATCTAAGTTTGACTCAGAAATCTACAAAAATTGAGAATTGAAGTTATACTAACTCAACATCGAAAATCACAGTTCAAAAGTAGACTAAAAATGCTAAGTGAAGACATGTGTAGACATTTGCCATTCGACTAAAAAAGTGGGCACCCTGCCTTTGTTCAACAAACTCTCTCTAGGCGAGCACCCTGCGTCCATCTTCATCAGTGTTTTGGGTCGACCATCGCCGAAACTATTTGTCACCATTTTGGAACTCGAACCAATTTTCAGTTTTCCTTGTTTGCCTAGACTTCTACCTTTGAGGTCACCCAATTCCAGAGCAAATTTATCCAATGCTTGTTTCAGCAGAATACTTGCAGTCGAGGAGTCGCCACCTGCTTGAGAAGCTGTTGAAGTTGTCACATTTAGCGCACTTTTAATGAGTTTTAGCTTCTGATTTTGAGGAAGAGTTTCATCTGTTTCTAATGTTTGAAGAAAATTTAATATTGACTGCTCGTCCATAGCTTAACTTCATGTACTTCATGCACCAGGACACAAATGTTACAGGACGGAATTCATGCAAAATTTGTGAGTCAATATTACAAAATACATGCACATAACATACAATTTTTTCTAAAAGATTTCAGTCATAAACTTAAAAAAAACAAGGTTAGGCCGGGTCTCGAACTCCAGGCTTTAAGCTGCAAAAGAAACATCCGTGAACTGACAGCAGACAAACGAAATCCGACAATTCAGTTTTTACTTATAACTTTTTTCAATTTTATACAAACTAAAAAAAAAACACGGTTAGGCCGGGTCTCGAACTCCAGGACTTAAGCTGCAAAAGCAACTACGATATCTGAATTTCAAGTGGGAAGAAACTTGGAACTTTTTAAGCTTCAATAATAAACCAAGTTCAATTTCTTGTTAAAAAACTGTTTACGGGAAAAATGTCTAGTTCCCGATTACAAAGAGCCCTAAAACTATTTGAATTTCTAGAGCAAATTATGATTGACACTTTTTTGATGAATTTAAACCATTTGAGAAAACTGGATTTATAGGTGAAATTTTTATTTCGCAGGGAAATTTGATAATTAAATTCCATCGTCGGAACTAGAAGTCGATCACATTTTTCGTGACCTTTTAATTTTGGCTGTTCGATAATGGAGTTTATCTTCCTTTTAACACAGGGAATGCATTGAACTTGTAAAAAATTAAAAGTCAAACCGCAAAAAGGTAAATTTCAGACTTTTACTGCAATAAAAATAATCGTTAACTGATAAAAGAGTCAGCCCTATAGCTAATTTTAGCAGACTTTCTTTTTTTCAGTGGAACTATCTTTTAGCAGTCTCAAAAATTGTTGCAAGTCACACCGCTCAAATCAAATGCGGCAGAGTCAAGTAGCGTTAGCTTGCTTCGCTGCGCTTACCTACGTCACCAGTGGTTTTGTCCGCATTCGTAATTTTTTTTTCGCTGGGAAATCTGATAATTAAACACCATCTTCTAAATTGGAAGTCGATCACGTTTTTCGTGGCCTTTACACTTTTCCTGTACAATAATAGTGGATTTCGTCTTCCTTTTAAAAGAGTAAATTAACATAACTTAAAAAAAATCCAATAAAACAATAGGCACGCAGTTTACCAATAGAACAAAAAGGAAGACTTGGTAGTTACTGATGTTCCGTGATACAGCAAGGTCAGTTTCCTAAAGATATTTAAGAAGTGTTTACGGGAAAAAAGCCTAGGTCCCGATTACAAGTGAAAATATCAAACAGAAAATATCAAACAGCCGATTACAAGTAAAAATATCTAAGAGCAAATTTGGCGATTTGTTATTTTGCAATAATATTTCACAAAATTTGCAATAGTTCAGCTGAGCATCCGGGGGTTGGCAATAAAGGCGTTAAAAGTAAACCAGTTTTTGTTTTCCCGAAAAAGAAATGCGCGTAAAACCGCAAATAAAGCATCCACCGTTATATCCGACTGTTCTTCGTTTTTTTTCGATCAGAACGAATTGAAGTATCCGTCCAGTTGGTTAGTCAAGTAAGTGATTCTGCTTCGAATTAAACTAGACGGAAAAAAAACTTGCCAAAATTATCCGGGATCCGTTATTTTGTATATATCTATCCGGGACCAACCTGGGTCTGTTTCATGGCATTGTTAAAAAACGACTTCATGGTTGGCCCATTTATTAAATAACACCTAACAAATATTTACATACTTTGTACACCATTTACATTCAGAATAAAACTACAAAACTAAAAGTGAGTGAATGTACGCAAATGAGAGTGTAACGGATAAAAACTTCAAAAAATTTCAATCCTTGTTTCCGACTGCAAACAGCTGCTGAATGCTATTTTGTAGCTTCTGAATATCTGCGTCTAGCATCTTAATGCCCTCTTGGAATTTAGATTCACTTTTGGCAGACGGAATTGCCGACGAGGTGTTTGACAAGGTACTGAAATCTAGCAAAGGAACGGACCGCGTATAAGGGTTCTTTAATCGGTCAGCTTGCTCTATCGACTCAACTGAAATGTCTTCGCTCGTTGAAATATCAGAACCATTCATTTGATGGCTACCGTTTGAAGGATAACTGACCGTATACGATTTAAAATGTTGGAAGTTGGTCAAATCTGGCTGTTGAAAAGAAGGATTATTGAAGGGGTAACCATTTGGCACAGCGTAATGAGATCCACCCATGGGTATTGAAACAAAATTAAGTTCGGGTGTGCTTTTTGAGACTAATACGTGCTGCTGTGGCCATCCAATTTTCATCGCATTGATGAACTGTTCTGTTAAATACGGAGGTAAATGGCCATTAAACGGTTGATTTGGTCCAAGATTTGGTATTTGTGTTGTATAGGAATTTCCACTACTTGAAGGTGAGTTGTACATTTCAAGTCGAGCCAAATTAGGTTGGTTTCTCGGGGTGTCATTTTCACCGTCAGAAGGAATGTGGAAGTTAGAATACGAATTGGTATCAAATGAGAGCTCCAAATCTTTCGGCTCCGATAGACGAGACGAGGACGATGTTCCGCATGATCTCGAACTCGGAAGATCCGGAGACTCTTGTTGGAGTTGTATTGATATTGTCGGCACGTTGCTAGTAGTATTTTTATTCCCGTTTCCATACGAAACACTATTTCTCTCGTCATTTGAATTCATCTGATTATTATCGTCCCTGTGGTTGTTGTCATCATCATCGGTAACATTGACTGTGATGCCTTGCATCCCGTGGTTCTCTTGCTGGTTTTTAGCGGCTGTCAAATTCGAGCCAGGTGAATGAGCCGAAACTTCTTTTGCCCTGTTTGAATTCACTCCTGCTTTATTTGCAGAATTTGAATTTGGCGGTTGCTTGAAATTTAAATTAGCAGCATGTGCTACTATGTATTCCTGATCTGTCTTCGGCATGAAACCATTCACACTGTACGAATTTGTCTGGTTGTTTCCACCTTGGCTATCAATTCTGGCAGGGCTGGATGTTTGATTCTCCACCGACATTCCTTGTTGAATTTGATTGGATTCTGAAAACGCATACACGTTTGAAAAACGTGACTGAATGTTAGATGGATCAATTGGAGATTTCCCCTTTTCCACTTTCAAACTTGCAACTTCTTGAGCGAGGGTGTTGGCTAACGATTTCTGTTGGTGCAGCGAGCTTCTCGTAAACGAAAGCTCTTTCAGCAACTCACTCATACTGCCATGTTGCTTTTTAGCCAAGTCTTCGAACGTCTTAATTTCGTCATTTTTCGCTTCTACACTCCATTGCAGTTCTTGGTTTTGTCTTTCAGCGCTAGCTAGTTTTGATTTTTGTCTTTGAACTTCGCTCAAAGCAGAGGTAATTTCTGATCTTATCTCTTTGATTTCATCACTGAAACCACCCGAGCAGTCTTCTAGTTTCTTTCTTTGGGCTTTTAGCTCTGTTCTCAAATTTTGCACCTCCTCTTCCAATTTTTGATTGTCATTTTCAACAGAAAGCTTCGCCGATCGCAGTTTATTTGCTTGTAACTTTTCGTTAGCCATTTGTTGGTTGAAATTATCCTTCAAACTCGTTATCTCTTTTTGTTTCGTTTCCAACGACTCTTTATGCAATTTTTCCATAGCTTCCAAGCGTGCTTTCGATCCCGCCAATTCACCCTCTAATAAAACAACTCTTTCACTTAGAGGCTCAACAGTAAACTTCAGCTCGTTGTCAAAAATTTTCTTGTCAACTATGCTTGGTAGTACACTAACAGCAGCTTCTAGCTCTTCTATGGCGTGGTTCAGTTCTTTATCTTTTTTCTTACCAGCAATGTTTTTGATATCAGCGAAAATATCGTTCACCACGCCTAGTTGCTCTTTGATAGTCTCCAATTTTCTCTGCCTTAAGGCATCAGACTGCAGCAAACTGTTGTTTACAATTTTGTTTTTTAATTGCGCTGGCTGCTTTGGAACTGATTGCACGTTTTTAGTTTGCGGTTTTACAGCTTGCGAAGTTAGTTTTGATAGCGTTTCACGCAACATTTTCTCAGTGTCACCGCAAGAACCTACGAGTTCGTTGGTTCCATTATTTTCATTCTCAATGCCGTCTGAATTTTTATTTGCTTTTTCACCTGCATTTTTCAGGCTGACTTGACCAGCAGTTGTAATCAGGCTCAACTTCTGCTCCAGCGTCAAACTTTTATCTTCATTTAGAGTCTTCAAAAGGAGGACTGTAGACGCATCGTCATCTTCAACTTCATTTTTCGACTCATTATTTTTGTCTGTTTCCAAACTAGCGCATGCAACAGCATTAGTCGCTTCATTTTGACCTGCATCTGTCAAGCTATTGTTATTTAAACTGCTACTCGCTACCTCTATTTCTTTGGTCAGTGGGTCTGAAATTTCAGGCTGCTGCTGCTGTTGATGCAACTCCATCTTTCCAGGCTGCGGTAAGTTTTGATAGTCGTCCGAGAACGATCTGTTGTTCCTCGGAGTAGATGTTGCCAGTGATTCCGAATAGACCAAGCTTTCGTTCTCGTAATGAGTTGCCGATGTTTTGGCCCGTATTGAAGCGTCGTGGAATAAATGAGAATTATTTGGCTGTTTTGCGATGGTAGTTGGCCTTCTAATTTGTTCAGGCGTCAAGAGAACTTGACTGATACTAGACATATCCGCCGAATCTCCTCGGTTTGCTTCTTTAATCGGAGACTGTGATTCACTCGCTTCCCGATGTTGAATAATATTGCGCAGCTGCTTTGTGAAATTTCCCGAAAAAGCGTCACCATTCCTTGCATAACTCAACTCTGTACTGTTAAGGTTTCTGGGAAAAACCGAGTTGTACTGCTGATTATTATTCCCAGAGAGTGAATTATTACCATAACACCCACTTCGCTTTAATTTTTCTTCTAATTTCGATACTCTTTTCACATTCTCCAGGTACCCACTTGATGATTCAGCCCGTTTGTTCAAACCCATGTCAGGCGATGTAAGTTGTGAATCGAAATTCAGAGGATTATAAAATGCATCGTTGCTTTCTGTCGTCTGATGACTTCCGACTTCTGACTCGCGTCTGTGATTTCTATTCTGAAAGTCTTCATCACTCAAACTAGTGCTATTCATGATTACGTCACTTGCTTCGTCTCCAAGAATGTTAGCCAATAAAACCGCACATTTATTTAGACTCGAGCTACGCTCTGGGGCCGAAATTTGACCTTCAGGCCCTAAGCTCATCTCCCAATATTCACTCAGCATTTGATTACTATTCAAATCAAAACATTTTTGCTCTGCTGGTTGCTCATTAAACACCCTATCTCCTAGAGCTTGAATTGGACCAGATGTAATAGGTAGCGCTTTTCTGTTTTTTGCTCCTTGACTCCAGCTTCTTTTTTCACTCAGAGAACTGTTTGAACTATTGCTATTTGCATTTGAAGATTTTCTTTTGTTTTTCGACGCGTTGCTCGGAGACTTTTTCGTCTTCTTTCCAGAAGCCAGTGCACAGGTTGATGACATTTGGTTTGTGATTTTGGGGTGATTACCAAGAGACTCAATGGCAATTGAGGCAGGTGGTTTCAAGGAGGCGGCCCTGCTCATTTTATGAGACCATTTTACACATGCTCTCTAAAATCATTTTATTGATTCATTTGAAATTATGCCAATTTGATTGAACCTACATTATCTTATGAAGTGAAATTTAAATGACGATCCGTAAAAAAACTACGATTATAGAAATGCATGCATAAAAGAAGCACGAATGTCTGTATTTCATCGTTTACTTATCTTCTCAAACAGAAAACTATCATAAAAAAATCTCCAAATAAACCAGCATATAAATGAACGTAGCAATTTTTGTAACCTATTGTAACATTGATCGCACTTTCAAAACTCATATGAAACCTATTTACCCCGAAAGGGCTTTGGAATCCAAAACGAGTAGCAAGAAATTATGCCAATTTGATTGAACCTACATTATCTTATGAAGTGAAATTTAAATGACGATCCGTAAAAAAACCACGATTAAAAAAATGCATGCATAAAAGAAGCACGAATGTCTGTATTTCATCGTTTACTTATCTTCTCAAACAGAAAACTATCATAAAAAATCTCCAAATAAACCTGCATATAAATGAACTTAGCAATTTTCATAAACTATTGTAACATTGATCGCACTTTCAAAACTCATATGAAACCTATTTACCCCATAAGGGCTTTGTAATTGAAAACGAGAAGCAAGTCCCTGTCCATTTATTCTGATAACGCTTATCATTGCTAAAAAAAACAGACATACTACAGGCAGAAATATTTTTGAATTTTCTTAAAACATCGAGTTACATTGAAAAAAAAACAAATCAATCTAATAGCTCTTCGGAACTCAAGAACCACTCAGAACTGAAAATTGCTGATAAAAACAACCCATTCGATACTTGGATCAATAGTTTTTATGTAACTTGATATTCTTAAAATAGATACCAACGTTTCAAACTAAAATTTTTAAACTCCTTTTGATGCCAATTGCATTCTTTTTGGAGAGCGGAAATTGCCTTCCAATTATCAAAAACAACTGAATGGATTTAAGCGACAAATCTCAAAAGCCAAATCGCTTAAGTACAATGAAGATTTAAGCAGACCAATCTGCGCTTCGCAAAACACTAGCGAGAACACGACACAAAGCAGCTCTATAAAAGGCAATAAGAAAAATTAGAAATAAGCCACGAATTAGTAAAAATGTGGCTACGTCTCGGATTTGATCTGCGACCTAGAAATTATGAGCCTCACGCACTAACCACACACGCTTAATAAAAAACAAGCCACTAGCCAAAAAAAGCAGAGAACATCTGCTGCGAAATTTCCAATGCTACTAATCGTGATTATAGCAAAAAGCCACGAGATAAGCTAAATTTTTCCACTTTCAATTAACATTCTTTAGCTCGCAAGCTTGCTGGCGTAATATTCCGGGCAAAACTTACAAAACGTGACTTTCTCAAAATGGGATGGTTTTAGACAAAAAAAAATGACGGCGGAAAATTTGCTTACAATTTTAGCAGAATTAAAATGATGTCATTGGTTTTTCCCAATTCGGGCCTACAAATTTACCCCAAAAATGGTTTATTGTAGGCTTTTAGTCAATCAAAAACTACGCTGACTGGCTCAATTACTAACAAAATTCTATCAAGGTGAGCCTCTCATAAAGCCCAACAAAATTTGAAAAGGGCATTATGTCTTCAAATTTGAGCAAAACGTTACAAAACTGTTTTCAAATAAAAAATGGGCATGTTTATAGTAAAATGGCGTATTTTGTCTTTCAAAAAAAAAATTAAACATTTTCTTGGAGAATATTCCCCTCTTCAACATTATAAGAGAATCACTTTGATAAAAAAAATTGTCAGTAATTGACCTGGTAGTTTACGCGTAACTTTTTATTGACTAAGTAGCCAAAAATAATCCATTTTCGAGGTAAAATTTTTGAAAATTCTGCTAAAATTTAAACTAAATTTTGTCTTCCTCATATTTTGTCTAAAATTAACCCAATCTAAGAAAATAGCGTTAAGCACATAATTAAAAAATTTATCAATAATGGTTCACTTAAGATATTTGCTTAATGTCAAATTCAGAATCAACCGTTTGAGTTTCTCGAATTTATCCCCTCGAAACGTATTTGTTCGTTCTCTATTACTCTTTTTTTGCCATCCTTTAGTTTATTCTAGTATAAAAAATGGAGCACGTATGTGTTGCCATCGTCAACGATGATTCATATCCATAAATGGAATTTAGGGATGTGACACTACCATCCTTTGAAAATTGACCTGGGTTTGTTGTTCTTCTGCATTCTACCATTGTTTTTATAGAAAATATTTGGTTTAATTTGAAGTCCTGTAGTTCCACACAGAGTCTGTTCGTCAGATTATATGTTTACAGTTATACTGCCCATGAATAAATACATCTTCCTTTGATTTTTAGTGTTTTGCTAGGGAGGTTATATAAATGAGTTATTCTTTTAAGGTTGCTGAAAATGTTTTTACTTAAGATGTATTAACGTCCAAACGTTCTTTCAGCGGCAAATTAATTTCATTTATGGAATGAAGTCCTGGTTGTAACTTAGCAACATTACTGTTGATGTCTGTGAGGTGAAAGAATTGAGTTCCATTGTCATTTCCAGTTTGATTCGATTCGCGTGTTCTTTTACGTGGTTTAATGTTTCTTGAAATGGAGCTGAGGGTTCCACCGTGTCAAGATTTGACTCTTCTGCTAATGGAGGTGTCACATGTGAAATGGGTTTTATTTTCTCCTTTTTGCATTTAAGTTTGATCCACAAAAATAGTGCGGGGAGTAACATTGATCCGATAAGGAAACTACAGCCATAATTAGTGAGTTCGTCAATGTTAGCCGATCATCGAAGACTCGTGACAAGGAGGGTCTGAATCGTTTTTTTTTTCGGGCTAGTGGCTGGGCTAACTTCTTCAACTGTTTAACATTTTGTATCGAAGGTGAGTCGAGGAGTTGTTCTCGTACTTCCTTTAATAGTTGTATCCCAGCGCCTTTTTGGTGTCGAAGTACGCCATTTCTTCTATTTTGCGCATTTCAATTAGCAAATTTGAAATCGGGTCGGCTAGCTTTACGTTGATTTCGATTGCTGGGAGCTTCAGCTTCTCACATGTGGAAAAGTCTGATCAGATTTTATTATGTGGTCCGACGAATTGTTTCCCACATTTGAAAGTTAATATGCAGATATTGCATCCAGAGAATTTCACAATGACACTGGAAGTTGTAGATTCAATATCTGAATCAAACAGAGTATATGCCGCTGAAGCCGATGTTATGAGCCAGACTCCGTAGCCAAGGTTTTCTGCCTTTTCAGTAGCTGGTAGTTGAAGTTTCTCCGTTGCACACGCTCTAAGTGCATCCAAATATAATAGCGAACATAAAAGCATCCAAGAATAGCAAGGCGAGGCATGATCTGTGGCCAGTTTCTGTCGCTATCATTTCATGGCAAATGTGGTATCGCGATGAACTAATGCAGTGTTTCATGTCATATTCTGTCAACACAGCGGTTTCCATGTTGTCCTCCGAAATGGCCAAGTATGGAGCTTCAGTTCTACATTTTACGGTTCGATCCTTTTCATAATGAGGCATTGGAACAGGTATCACATGGAACTCACTAGATGAAGTTTGCCTTGAGGCTAGCGAAATGACAAGCTTTATTAGCAAGCCTTCTTTGATAGTGATGACGCCCGTTAGAAGTTGTGCTTCGTAGTATGATAGTATTTCGTCCATTGGAATCACTGGGGAAAGTCGATAACGGATTTGGCTTTGTTTAGAAGCTTCTAAAATTGCTTTCATATTAAAGTTGTGCTTGCAGACGGCAAAATATTCCTTTATAACTTTCCAATTCCTGTTTTGGACTTCTAGCATTTTTTCTGTACTTGATTGATTGAACTGAATTAATTGGTAACCATTAAAACATTTTGTCCAGATCGTCAGCCAACGTAGAGACGCTTTCGGAAAGCTGTGCTGAGAAATCAGAAGTCAAGCTATGTTTTCGGCATTTTCTTTCGATTTGTCATTGCATGATTCAAAAATTCCTCTGACCGCATTCTGCAGTTTGCCCTAGAAAAATTCCGCCTCCGAACAGTTCGACTGAGGCTAATGCTGCTACAGTGAGTGGTGCTGCTCTTTTTCCCGAGAACTAGAAGAATTTCCTTCAGATAGGAAGCTATAGAGTCGTGTATAAAAATCAATTCGTTTTTACGAGCGAAACTTCGTTTTGTACTTGGTGAAGAAGCCAATGTACTTCAAAAGCAGAATCGTTTTTCGTAAAATTCGATGAGAAATCAAAGTTCTAAAATAGGCTGCTTCTACATTGCCGCTAGGCTGCTTAGAAATAGTTCTAACTCAGTGTTGACATCAATTTTGAATTTTGGAAAGGGAACAAGAAATTCTTTGGGAATACATTTTTATGCTAGTAAAATTTTCGATTCGCAGTTGAAGCTGATTCAGTTTTCCAAAACTGTCTCAGTTTGTTTATCTGGGTTGATGTTAGAGTTCCATTGAGCCGTGATTTTTTTGAGCCCAAAGAGTTCTAAATAATTTTAATTTGTTGTCCTTAACTCTATCTTAATTTTTCAGAAACTCTAAAAATATGAAAATTGTATTGTTGTTGCTCTTTGTTACGTGCTTGTTTGCATGTGAGGAAGTTCTGTATAGAGGCTACATGGTGAATTGATGTGACGAATGTTGTGTGTGAGGAAGGAGGGACCTTGTGTCGTGGATTTGATGGGTATATGGGATGTGAAAGAGGACTTGATTGAAGGGAATTTTAGGTTCTTTTTTCGTTTTGGAAGATAGTATATAGACGTGCCTTGAACTAAATTAGATTTGGAATGATTAGATGCAGGTAAACTTTCATTTAGATGTTATGTTCGACTTAGTTTTAGCTTTATTTAACTATAGTTGCTGATTTACATTTGATTCTAGTTGAGTATTGAAGCACTTGAAGGAGTGTTATTTTTCGTCAGCAAGTTAAGTGCATGTTGATTGCGTCATTAGCTAATCTTATAAAGCCTACCAATCCTTGTGCATGTGTTGAATGTTATGTTATCATTGATGGTTTTATTGCATGTGTTCCAATTCTAGATTGTTTTGTGTGCAACATTATCGTGCAATATGTCTAAAGTTGGCAAAAAACAAATGGACCCAGAAACCGATTAAAAAAAACTTCGACATATTACCGAAGAACAGATTCGTGGATTTTAATAGAAGCCCTTAAAACCTTAGATGGCAAGGGATTTAAATCTTGAAACGAGTTCACTCAAAAGGCAAGAAGATAGTCTGAGTCATTTGCTTGATAAACAGATTTGCTAGTTTAAAAATCCAGTGAAGATTGCAGACAAAATGATAAACAGAAACTTAGGAAACTGATAATCGGATGTTTTTAAAGGATCTTCTGCTTGGTCATTTTCTGTGGATGTAGGTCGTGTTTACCAAGCCTAAAAACTTGATTGTACAGCCATCATTGGCGGCTCATGCTGTGTTGACTTTGGACTTTCCTGGTTTGGTGAGTGGTTTTGAGGCTGGTCGGCACAATCATATGTCTCGGTTTTAAAAAGTGGATCAATTTTACGCAGTAGGGATTGGAATCCCAATGAAAAATCAATAGGAAAATAGAAATCTGCCAAAAAAGCGCAAGATAGCTAGTGAACTGAGCTGTGACGCTGCTGATTTCATAGTACGGAAAATCAACGAAGGTTACGAGAAACAGAAGAGAGCCTACATATCTCGAATAAAAACTTCAAAGCTCTATTCAGAAAGTGGCAAAAAGGGACAATTATCGCAAAAAACGCACATGTAAACTGCATTGTAGCCAAAGAAAAAATCAGAGAAATCTTTGGAAATTTTTTTCTATTTAGGTCAAGCCAATTTCAAGTTGAATTCCGTCGCAGGGGACCAAAAAAGCCCGAAGCGGTCCATCTTGCTTGCAGGAGGTTTTTGGCCTACTGCTACAGTCGAGATAGGTTAGTACAGTATCTTTCATATGAAAAAATTCACGATTTTGCAATATACACAAATCGTAAAAAAAATTTCCCATGACGAGTTCTCGGCGGACTAAGCAATTTTTGACCTAAACCTAGCCAAAAGGCATAACTAGGGCTCAACGTTCTCGGAAAATCAATTTTTGGTCCCAATTTCACAAAATGAGTCCAAAATCGCTGTTTTTTAGTGGTTTTCAGAGATCTGGGTTGGGACCCGATTTTTCCTTATGTTTATGCTCTGCGTCTGTTTTTATTACAAAATTTGGGTCTCATAGGTGAATTCTTGCGTCTCTTGAAAAACAATTTAACTTTTTTCAGGTTGAAAGATTCGACCTACAATACCCATTGAAAATCGGGTAATTTTTGGCCTGTTTTTACTGTTTTTAGATGGTTTTTCTGATAATTTAGTCTTAAACATTGTTTTTTGACCTCGAATGGTGGGTAACAATGCAGACAACCATCCTCGAGTTGCGTATGCCTTAATTTTTGTCAATTAAAAATTTCAGTTTTTTTGTACTTCAACATTTTGTTGGGCTGGCCCCAAAAATATCTTTCAATTTTTTCAGAATCAACATTCATGGTCCAAAAAGTACAAGACCATATTATTGAAAAAAGTCCAATTTAGCATGGATTGATAAGATATAAAGCTCGTTTTGTTTATGAACCGTTTGTGCTGGGTTGCATGCCGTGTTGTTGAGATGAGAACAAACCAAAATTGGGTCAAAATATTGTCAATTTTACACAAAAAAAAGTGATTTTTAACAAAATCATCATTACTTAAATTCATAATTAAGGCAACAAAAAGTGGTTCGGTCATTTGCATAGTCCTATAGGACGAGCCCGTGAGGGATCTAGTGGGTTCGTAGACCCATTATGGTAAGGTTGTGACTTAATACTATCAGGCTGTGGGTTTCCGTTTTTGTCTGTTTCTGAAACTTTTGCTCCAAAATAGATGTTCTGCTCAAATCATACAAACTCTTTTTTTAGGTCACACCTAGGTGCTGTATGGGCTACCTTGTGGAACGTAAGCGGCTGACCTTGTCCCAAAAAGTTGGTCTAAAAAAAACAAAGTTTGTAGTGGAGCCAAGCTTTCAAGATTCGAATACCAATCACAAATGAAAAATTAAAAATTAACGTTTTTCAAATGGCACACCTAAAAGCGCCTAAGCCGATATACGACAAGCTGAAACGTTTAAAGCCGATTCGATAGTTGAAGTGAAAAAAAAACAAGTAAAACATACAGAAGCGATGCGGAGCAAAAATAAGGAAAATAGCATGAGAGATAATCGACGAAAAATGAGCCAAAGATCGAAGTCAAATAAAAATTTGCACAAAAGAGAAACTATACAAAGCGAAGTTGGTAGCTGCACAACCAAGATTCTAAGAAAAACAATCGAAACGGTATTCAAAATGCAAATATGTGTTGATCTGAAAAATATATATGTTGCACTCAGTATCTATAGTAAATGACATTCACACAAATTTTGAACAGAACGAAAACTAAACTAGCAGACAAACTCAAACTATATCTGTGAAGTCACCCACATAGAATTGACTAATTCTTTTATAATTGTAAAAAAAAAATTCTGGAAAAAGTCTAGTTCGCGGCAACAAGACACTTGTTCTCGCAAAGCTTAAAGTCCAGATCTTCATAAACTCTCAAGCCTACCTTATCAAAACATTTTTTGCCGATTAATGTCCAAGACATTCGATAATTGGCAAGAAAACGTTTCGCTTTTTCAAAACTGGCCTCTAAAAAAGGAAGTTCTTTAAATCCAATATCAGTATTTAATTCAATTCGTAACGTAATCTGAAGTCAATCTACGTAAAATCTGGGATTGATATTGCAATTTTTCAGCCTATATCTAAATCAAACCTAATTCAGAAACCAGGGAATCGAAAGTTAGAGTGTACTATGGGTTTTGTATCATTTTCAGAACCATTTTTTACTCAAAATGGACGGCCCATAATCTTCGTACTCTTTCTTGCGAACCCAAAATCTCTCTGCCGTTCCTGGGTGAGATACTATTTTGGACGCTGCAACCCATGATGCATCACGGCTTCCATTGAGACAACGTACATCCCAAACCGACGTTTCAATCTCAGGATTCGTAGCAACCAAGGTATCCTGTAATCTCTGAGCTATATTTGGAATAGCGCTTTGGCCTCCGTAAAGTGCAATCGTAACCCGAGTAGATTCATCAGTCAAAATATTGTTAGTTCTCAATGTCTCGATTACAATTTCGTCTAGACTCTGGTGTGAGCTCTTGGCACCATTTCGAGATCCATACAGCAAGCTTGGCTGAAAGAACATCTCTGGAATCTTGATGGACTCCACGTCCATGTCATTCTTGATTGCGTCATAGTTCGCAAGTTCTGTACTTTTTTCACAGTAGAGTGAATTTGATGTTGGCTCCACTTTGGCCAGTTCCGAATCAAAATCGTCTGCAACGTAACAACAGTCTCGTATAAGTGAGTGCAAAACTTCACTGTCTGATTGTGAGTGAAATTTGTACCCTTTCTGCAACATCGAATTAGCCAAACACTCTGCCATGTGTTGACCACCAAAGGGCAATGATTGAACTTTACAGTACGCACACTTCTTGTCTGTAACTGGTATACACTTAACTGAACTATTACCTAGATCCACTAACAGGCCAGTCTGGAGTCCAAAAAAGCGAACTGCCAAGTCCGCATCTCTAGCTAAGATCAGTTGCGGAACATTGTGCTTTTCAAACAATATCTCGGATACAGTTACGAACGTCGACTCTTCGTTACTGTAAGGTAAAGACAGGGCCAAATTAGACAGAAAAAAACTTCCTTTCAAGACGTTCTTGTAAATAATTTTCCACATTTCCTCCAGATCATCAAAATTCGCTACTACTCCTGTATCACCAATCGGATTCTCAAGGTCGAAAAATGATCTCAATTTCAAGGCCTCGTAACCTATTTTGATATTCGATGACACAGTGGCATGCGGATTAGACTCTTTGCTTCCCAGTTCGATTTTTCTACCTGCATTTTCAGACAACTTTGCCGAGGGCGGTGTCACAAAAATAGGCGGCAACACTTGTGGTCTGTTTACCGATGACTTTTTGTTGACTATCTGGTTACTTCTTTTAGCCAGTTGAGCTGAAGTAGACGAGCCCTTTTTACGTCCCACTACAGAAGGTAAAACTGTGCGCGGTTTGTTATCATCGCCATAACCACAACGCACAACTCCTGAGCCATGTTCTAACACCAACGTTGAAACTGAGCTCCGCAAATCACCCATTTTAAGGGGACAAAAACACGGGTTGACGGGTAATGGATGAAGAGGTAACTTCCTAATTTGATGAGAAAAAAAACAATATCACAGGAAAAATATATATCTCCAAACCCACAAAGCCACTATTCCATAAAGAATGGAAATTTTTCTCCGTTATGCTGGGGATAATAACAGACAGTAGTTCAGAAACTTAACATTAGATAAATAATTGATGTTACTTCCAGTAGTAAAGAAGGAATAATTGCACGCAGCTATAACAACAGAAAAACGCACTGAAACTGATTATTTTTAGCCTTAAAAGCAGAGCAAACAAAAAATACATAAGAAAAAAAATCGCATTAAAACTGATCCGAAGGGAAATTAAGGTTAATGCAACAACAAAAGAAAATCTGGAAAGAAAATCTGAGGTGCACAATTACCATTTCCTCGCGGCCTTTTGAGTACAAAAAAGTTGAAACTAGGCTACTAGACACAATTTATTGCACAAATATCCCGGAGAAAAACACTATATGGGTAACTGATTATTTTTAGCCATAAAAGCAGAGCAAACGAAAAATATATATGAGAAAAAAAATCGCATTAAAATTGATCCGAAGAGAAATTAGGTTATTGCAACAACGAAAGAAAATTCTGAAAAGAAGAAAATCTAAGGTGCGCAATTACCATTTCCTCGCGAACTTTGGAATGAAAAAAAAGGAAACTAGGCTGCTAAACACAATTTATTGCATAAATAACCCTAAGAACAACTTATATGGGCTGCTTTCAGTACTTCGAGAGCTCTTGTAAGCGCTTCAAAAAACAATCACGAACCTCTTCTGCAATTCTCTTTGTTTGTACTAAGCCATCCTGCTTCCTGTATATCAATTAGGAAACTAACAATAATGAAAACTGATTTCCTCAACTTCATTCTCGAGCAAACCTTCTATTCAGAAATTAAATACAAAATCATTCAGACAGCATTTTATGATCAATGGAAACTGTGAATCTAAACTTTGATCATCCTCAAACTGATACTTCTTCACCTCTGAATCCAAAAAGGGGTGTTATAAATAAACTCAATTGATGATAATGATGAAAACTTCATGATTGTATTAGGTAGATCTTATGTACCCATCGAAGTGTCATCATCATAATATCAAATGAATTTACTTTTAGAATATCCTTTTTGGATTCAGCGGTGTAGAAGTATCAGTTTGAGGTTGATCAAAGTTTACATTCACAGTTTCCGCAGATAATAAAATACCATATTTTTATGTATGCATAGTCTCAGCATCAGGTTGTACAAACTGTAACTTCAAATGACCGGCTCTCTTAAAATCAAAATAGTCAACAAAAGTTAGAACATTTGACCCAAGAAAACTAGGCGAGCAAAAATGATCTGGTCATCTAGTAGTGATAAGTTTGAACAACCTGAATGCAGTGACTATGCAGACAAAAAACCACACATTATGCTAATGGAAAGAGAAGCAGTTGATCCATCATAATCATAATGATATTAACACAAGCCCAATTGTTGTGATAGACTTGTTAAAGAGATATGGTTATAATGTATATTGAGTGGTGTCTCTCAATGAGGAGATTTTAGAGCAAGATACTTGAATGAACAAAGTTCCACATATTCAAACTGTCCCCCCAAAAAAGATCTGCTGATTGTAGATTCGCAGGCAAATAAGTTTTTTCCCCCTATTTTCAACGTTCTTTTGCTTCCTGCAGAGATTATTCAACACGCCTCCAATTTTGTTCTACCCACTGATCGATACGAAATCATAGCACTATTCATTGAGAGAAACGATCTCTTTGACAACGACAAGCCATCTAAAGCGACCCCTCGAGAAATTGTAAATCAACTTACGGAATTAGCGAACCCTTCACTAACACGTGCGAAGAAAGTGGAATTTCATGTTATTCCTTTGCGAAGTAATAACTTTAACAGAGCAAAAATATACGGAAGGTCAGAAAAGCAGTTTGGAAATTCAGATGGAAAATTCAGACAAATCCAGTTTGGAAATTCAGTTCATCGCATTGCATTTACTCACAGAAATGACACCTGAAGGAAGACAACGTTCATCTTGTCTTTGGGTTAAGTGGCATTAAGAGCTTATTTGTGTTAGTGGTATTAAGAGCTTATTGAAAAACAAAATATTGCGAAAACATTCGGTCTCACAGTAGATAGAGCGGGCCATTTGGAAGTCATCGAGTGAACTGCAAACTAAAACTTCAAACCGCCGGTGCCTTTTACGCTCCACAGGAACGAACTTTGTCTTAGTTACTTGTTTGAATTTGGGGCGGTCACTGCCAGTGCCTCTTTAGGTTCTAAAAGTGATCTCGTCAATCGAACAGAGTGCATTCAAATAGCCTTAAACATGGCCAACAAAAATAAAGATATAAGGAGAGAAGAAAATGAAGTATCAACAATGCAAGAAGATTGAACAACCACCTGATTTAAGATACCAAGATCAACACTAATAGGAAAAAGTGAGAAGAAAAGGAAAAAAGAAAGTCAGCTGGAAGATCTGGATTTCTCAGATAAGATTCAGAAAGCGGTCGATACATCTCTTAAAGCCAGGACTCCTAAATATGTCAAAAAACAAATCAACTCTGAAAGTGACCATCCAGAAACTTGTTGATGCAGCAAAATCAGGAGTGAGGATCGAGCTGAAGACTGAAATGAAATAATATATGGACCACCGGGAAACAATCAATCGGAAAATGAGTGACTTGAGTCGTATAATAGAAGAGAAAACCTGAGGGTTCTTATTACCAAGAGCGGTAAAAAGCTAACTCCTGAACCAAGTCAAACAACAGCTAAGAAAGTTATCGAATTGGCAGGAAAAGTAGGAGGGAGAATCAGTGATGCGTATACTTCAATTGCAAACTGACTACCTGCTCGTAATCATGGCACCAGGCCCATTATTGTACGAGTTTCCAAAAGATCTTCGAGAATTGAGCTGCTGAGAAACAAAATGAAACTTAAAGATAGTGAAATACACAAGATCATAAGAAATTTTTAACACCGGACTGTTCCACGATTGAAGTTTTCCCACATGATGAAAACAGATCACACGAGACTTTTAGCTATCATTATCCAGTTAGGATAAAATTCGAAAGACTGTAAACAAAGTCAAATTATATCAGCTCTCATAAGAGATACTAGTTTTTTCAAGTCATCTACACGAATCCAGGATTTCAATTTTGTGATCGGTCATGAATTACAAAACTAAACAATTAATGAAATAGTGAACCTAAACTAGACAAATCAGAATTTCCATGCGATCATTATAAACTAATTTCCCTGATAGTTTGACGTTAAAATAAAACAAGGGTGTTTTCCTTGGCTAACAAACAGAATTAAGAATTTAGTAAAGAAATCTACTCCAGCGCAGTATGTGCCAAAACAGAACCGATAATCTAACACAAAGATATACCGAAATTAGAAACAATATTAAGAAGGAAGTATTCAGGTATCAAAAATGAGCTACCGTATGAATAAACTTTAGACATGTATTGGCGTTTAAAGACAAATTTTTCAATTTTTAAATTGACTGAAAAGAAAAAACAATAACAGCAATTCTATAAGCGAAATGAACAGCAATAATGGTGTTTTGGAAGGACCATCAAAAAAAGTCTCAGACAATTTTTTCGCAAACAGTGGGAAAGGTTATTTAAAAACACCAAAAGAAAACTTAGAAAAGAGAATTACGGAACTTTTAATGTCAAAACATCTGTACCCAGCCACTGAAAAAGAAGTCCTCGTTATAATTTCAAAATGAAAAAAGGTCGTCTTCAGAAGTAGAATATTCAGAAGTGAAATCAGTAATAAAATATTAGAATCATGCTGCGTAACATTAACACCATTTTAAACACAAATCGTCACCTACTCGATTCACCAAGCTATTTTTCATTCGGAACTTTTCAAAGGAAACATTTTACCTATGCATGAAGAAGGTTCTAAACTTGAAAAGATTAACGTTCGGCCTATAGCGCTGCTACCATCAATAAGTAAAATTTTTGAAAGAATTAAGTTTAATAGAATTTATGACTATCTTGAAAAATTCGAATTCAATTATAATAAACAATTCGGCTATAGGATGAAATACGGCACAATTGATGCCATTGAAGAGCTAACTGAAAAACTCGAAAAATCGATCTCGATCAGAAAGTCAACCCTACAATGTTGCTCGATCTGAAAAAAAAGTATTTGATACAAAAGATCACAATATCTTAATGGTACGGCTTCCAAACTACGGAATTACCAATGCCTGCTATAATTCGAAAAATAGCTATCTAACAAACCGCAAGCAATGCGTTCAGACAAATTGTATTTGTTCTGATTATCAAGAGGTAACAAGTGGAGTACCCCAATGTTCAATATTAGGTTCATTACTTTTTCCAAATGTAAGCAAAACTCAGAAATACTTTTTATTTGCCTACGACACCACGATCATTTGCCTTGACAATACTATAGGAATTTTCAATTACGACATTTATGCAGTAGCACGATGGCTCTAAGCAAATAAAATATCCCTAAACATGAAAAAAACTTTCAATTAATCATAAGACAAAGAAACGCTTCTACCAATACCGTTTCTTTTCAAAAAAAACTCGTCCTCCGAGTTGTCGTGGGAATATCTGGCAGTGAACATAGATTACAATTTGAATGTTAATGTACACATTGACTATGTCATAACAAAATTGCGCAGTGTGGAATAGTCGCTAAATTAGTCATTAAATGCCATCTCGTACTCTTTTCCAATATAATGAATTGAAGATTAGATCATTGATACAATATGGTATTTTGGTTTACGGGTGTACAAATTTCAATACTTAACAACCTATCCTATTTTTACCAAAGAAAATTGTTAGACTGATATCCTTTCGCAAACTCAACGAGGTGCCAAGGAAACGCTGCAAGAAGCTTCGAAATTTCTTGCTTGAGTAAAATTAAATTTTTAACGCCTTGAACAAAAGAAATCCTATTTAATCCCTACGCGCTTGCTTTAATCGCTCGAATTTCGACTAAGAAGTAGAAAATTCATATCAGTTCTTCTCAACACTGAACACGTTTTGAAAATAATTAATAGTCGTTTAAATAACTTTAATAGTCGTTCGAACAACTCAAATAACTGAATAATATATCATTTGATAATTCTGACGATTGTTTGTGAAATCAACCTTCACATAGAAAGAAAAAAACATCCGAAGACAAACAATTTTCTGCACTTTCAAGGATGGAAACAAAAAGACCTGGATGTAGTAAATTGAAATACATAGAGCCAAACTTTTGAAAATACTAAATTATATCGAGTGCGAAAATTTCTAACAAAAAATTTTTATTATAAGAACTGTATGAAACCGATTGATGAACAATGTATCGATTGATGCAAAAAAAACTTATTCATTACCTGATAAAGGTCCAAGCACATGGTAATATACTGACAAGCATCGTCCTGATTCAAAAAGTAGCACTTTCAGCACTTGCCATCAAGCGTAGCCACCAAAGGTAGCTAATTCAATGCAATTGTTTGGAAAAAAAGTTGCATCACACTAGCACATTACGCTCCGCTAAAAATGCTCAAATTTGTATGTTGGTTGACCAGAATGCAGATTTGAGAAAAAGATTCAATGATTTTGTTGAAGTTGTTTAAAGAAAATGTCGTTGTTCCGAAATGATATCGCTTGCTAATCGCGAGCACAATCATTCCATAGGTAAACATAGCAAAGAGAACGTTGAAAAAATTAAAGAACAAGGAAACCGAAATATGATCGAAAATGTTGAATATGAGAAAAATACCGTGCCAATTCTCAAATCGTTTTCGATCGAGAAACCCGGTTTTGAGAAATTTTCTATGCAAAGTGGCCAAAACCTGCTTTTCGCAGAAAAAGGCTATGCATTTTGGAAAACCTTCTGACCGTTTTTAAATTTTTTTTTTTCAATTTTCTTCATTTTTATGCGATCAAATCTGAGATGAAAAGTTCTATTGAGAGAACAGATTGCGATAATTGTTCCTGCAGAAGCGGCGTCTCCTTAAGTTTTTGTAAGAGACATGTTATTTTTTTGCGAAACACTTTGACTTGTTCGAAAGCCATAAATTTTAGGCTTTCAAAAACCTGTTGTTTCAATAAAACCTATGATAGATTTGACAGGATAGTTAGCGAGAAAAATCCAACAAATCAAAAACTAATTCGTTTAGGCAGAAGGGATTTGCGCAATGCATAATTTGGATTGAACCCAAAATCTCAGATTTGGGAGGGTAGTGCTCAAGAAAAGTCAACAACGATCAAAGAAAACGGTCAAAATCAAAACTTTAACTTTTCCGAGAATGTAAACAATTTGGGCGAAGTCCCATGAGCAAATGAGCTTCCCGCAATCCGTTCTTTTAATTGAACTTAAAATATCAGATATGCCAAGGCAATTTTCGAGAGTATTCAAAAAGGTCTAAAAATCAAAAATTTGACTTTTCCGAGGTCGATAACTTTTTGTGCAAGATTTTTGTGTGTGGCCGCTGATGAAGTGAAGTTTAGCACTATCCGTATTTCCATTAAATTAAACCTACAAAATCAGATTTGAGAGGTTAGTTTGAGAGGAGAGCAAAAAGCGGTCAAAAATCAAAAATTTGACTACTCCGAGGACCATATACTTTTGTTATAAAACAAAAGTTGGGCGTAGCCGCTCATGTGAAGACTGTAGACAGAGGGGTTAAGTAAAAAGAGACTCTGGGGGAGCATGCGAGCCCACAGAAGAGCAGGCGGTCTTTCATTTGACACCTATTTTTTGAAAATCAGCATAAGTTCCTGAGAAAAACAAAAAAAAATTTCGGTAAACTTCAAAATAATTTTCTCATAACCAAAAAAAAATTAACAAACCGATTGATAAACATTTGACTTATTCGTTAACTCCGGGCTAAGTTGGCCAGGAACATATAGAAGTTGGAATTTCTTATGAACCAGATACGAAAAAGTCTATATTCCAGTTTGATAACACGTGCTAGACGCAAGCGTAATAAATTTTGAAATTCGAAGAAAAAAATGTATCAGGTTAAACCAATTTGAAAAGGGCGGAGGCGAGTTGTTAAAATTGTGTTTATTTTCAAAACCGAAAAAAGGGTCATTAAGCCAATAAAAAATAGGACGAAATAATCTGGGCCGAGGATCTTTTCAGCGAAACAAAAAACAACGAAAATACGAAGTCAAGCTAAATAAATTACAAACTATAGGAATTTAAAAACACTGAAAGCGACTTTAAAGAATTCGAGCGGAAAAAAATCCCAAGATGTGACAACAAAGCCGAGAACAGATAAGCAGACAAACAATTGGCCGACAACTTTTTTTGAAACACAATATTTCGTTTGAGAATTGCTCAGATTCGAACCTAGGACTTTAACGTCCCAGGCTTATTCGTTAAATCCGGGCTAAGTTGGCCAGGAACATATAGAAGTTGGAATTTCTTATGAACCAGATACGAAAAAGTCTATATTCCCGTTTGATAACACGTGCTAGACGCAAGCGTAATAAATTTTGAAATTCGAAGAAAAAAATGTACCAGGTTAAAGCTATTTGAAAATCAAGAACAAAATATGAATCACTTTTTGTAGATAAAACTAACCCAATTGAAGAAAATTTGATCAATAGGTAATTTTCTTTTACCAGTGGGAAGCCTAAAAATTAAAATCCACTTTCGAAACAAGAAGTCGTTCACGTTTTTCCACGGTATTTATTTTTTAATTGGAGAACTCAATTAAACCAAATTTAGCATATGAATTTTAATGGAACAAACCCAAAAATTGCATACATTCCTAAGTGTATTCATAAATGCATTAACATATATAAATGCACTTCTGTAGTTAGAGCATTTTAAGACTTTTTCTTGAAAAAAAATTACAAGCTATATAAAAGATAAAACATAGTTCTTCTACGCTATAAACCAGTGCATATTATTAAATGGGGCAAAAAAAATCGGACAATTTTATCTTTTTTTTCGGGCCATCTTCCATATTTTTTTGTCGGCTTTGTGATTTTTTATCTAAGCCGACAAAAAAATATATGGAAGAGGGTCCGAAAAAAGAGAAAATTTTCTAGTATGAGAAAGCAAACAGGTCCTGACCGAGTTCAAACCAGAAACATTTGTGTTACCTCTACGCCAGATTCGCTGGATTGGTTTTGATCTTATGAAGCAAGATGAAACATCTGCGAAACTTAGCGAACAAACTTCTTAACGGGGGGAAAGGTCTAGTACCCGGTTGCAACGCCCTTGCTTATCGCAAGGTTAACAATTAATCAAACTGAAAAACTGGATCAAAAAGCTCATTTTATTGTGCTGGGAAATCTGAAAATTAACTTCATTTTGAAAGTAAATGCTATTCACGTTTCATGCGTCATTTGCTTTCGTAATTGGAGAGCGTAATTGATTTATTTTTCTTTTTGGCATATGAATATATCTTAATTGGAAGTCAAAAGTCAAACCGCGGAAATAACTCTTCGCACTTTTGCCTAAAACACAAAAAACCACATGATTCCGTTCACTTTTCTTCTAACTTCAAAAAAAAGAATGATAACAGGGTCATTCAGTTACTCGCGCGACAAACCTAAGGGCTCGCAGCCGCTAGCTCACATTCACTGCTCCACTTAGCAACAAAAGTGGCCATTTTTCAGCTTCAAATGTGACCATTTCTCAGAAATTATATTCTCTAACAGCGAGAAGTTCTGAATTTATGCAAAAACGACAAGTCCTGATCCTGCTTCAAACCTTTTCAACCCAAGCAATCACATTACCTTTGCGGTAAATAAACGCCATCAGTTGCTTTATATTACAAAGCAAGTTAACCAAGGATTCAGTCACTTTGTTAGACAAATTCTTAGCCGCGGAAGAAGTCTTGTGATGATGTGATCAAGTTTTTGTTAATAACGGCAACCTAAATTCACTTCTTCTGGACACTGGCAAACCATAAAAATGGCCGAATAATTTACCACATAGATGAGCTTACGCATGAAAGTATATTGTAATTAACAATAAGCTCAGCACAAGGCAGCATTGTTGCCTCGCCTTGATACTAAGTCAAATCATTTATTGAGCTTAATGATCTACGTCCTTCATCGAAAGATACCAAATAAAAAGCAGTTAAGTATTGCTAATTCCTCATTTATGAAGCCTACATTGCAAACAGCCAACTAGCTGAAACATCGGGAAAAAACTAGCATTCTGTCACAATCAATTAATTACTCGGGTGAATGCTACACCAAGAACATTATCAGCAGTCATTTCAACACAGCTGTCATTCCTCCGGCGGTTCAAAATCTATTATAGTGATCACTGTTGAGTATGCGTGAACAAATTCCTGACTCCGATCACTGCACACTCCCCGGACAACGTCTCGTCCAAATTCCCCGTGACCATATACACCTATAGCTTGGAGCCCCTCGAAGAACATTTTGAAGTATTTAACATCTAGCTCCATATCTCTCCCGACGCAAAAAGCGAACACTGCTAAACTATTCCTGCTCAGTTTTCCAACAGATCGACTAAACTTTTGAAGAGAATCTTTGATGTCGTTTTCATCTGTGCATTCCTGATCTAAAACTACTGAGCTAGCTCTGATATTGTCACCGAAAATAGCCATTCCTGTCACGCAATCGGGTGTTACTTTTGAGCAGCAATCAGCGTCGTATAAAACATGCTTTTCAATCAGAGCACCTGAGATAGCGATATTCGGCTCCAAGTCTAAAATTGACTCAAGAAGCTGCGTTGGGAAAAGTCCGTGTTGCGCAGAAAGGTAAAACATGAATTTGATATCACTCGTATTAGGACATCCAATCGATGATCTTAATAGGTCACGTGTTATTGATTCTTCATTTGTTAAAGTTTGTGGAATGGAAAAGAAACTAATGTTTTCAGAGAAATGTTTAGAGAACATTACAGACGCTGAAGTCAAAACATCTACCTCATCGGCTAAAATAAAAACTTTCTGTAAATACGATTTTGATGCATTTTTTGCAGAAAATTTCTGTGGATTAAGGTAAGGAACTGTTCAAGCAAAAACAGATTCAGAATTTTTTCTTAATCCTCGACCATTTTCGGTCCACTAAAGGTATACTTAGTTTCATTAAGTAGAGTTGCACGCTCGGCTAATAACGTATCTAAATGGAATAATATCGTATTAATTACTCACTCACTTTCACGGTGCTTAAAAAATGAGTATTCACCTGATATTTCCGATCGATTTGACAGTGCAAACACTCCCTGAGCCGAAACTGCGTACAACTCGCAATTACTATGCATTAGCTCTCGTTTTATATAAAATGACATCATTTTGTGCATAGAGAACGTGGAAACTTCGTTGTATTGTATCTTTTTCGATGACTCTCTGATGTATTTTGCACTCGGCAGTAATTTTTCGGACGTTAAAATGAGTGTTTTCTTTGGAACGAACGAGCTTTGCGATATGAAGGAATCTATCGCTGGTAGATGAGCTTCGTCGCGACCTTCTTCACTAGTCATAGCAGAGACAGAAAAACCATGTCGGTTATTTAACAGTGTAAGCGATACTTCGTTCCAGAACCTGGACACTATAACAGGTGCACTTAGGATTTCCTTTGCCGAAAGATTCGAAAGCACCAATTTGAGCACGTTCGGTTGAGACATTACGACAGACATCGTGTTGCACTGTGAGCAACTGCGCTTAAAGCGCTTACACGGATGTTCACCTATGTTGATTAGAAAATTTACATTAATCAAATCTGAAAAAACCTAAAAATCTTGAAAATTGACATAACGTGATCCAAATTTTACAGATTCAAAAGTTTTCATAAACATTTAAGCTTAAATTCAGGATCAAATCTTCAGAGAAATCTCATAAGCTCTTCGTCCAATTGCTCTTATTTTTTACATTAACCCTATCATAGAAATTTGCAGGTCTTTTTGGCGCCCCTAGATCATCTTCTGTGTTTCCTTCAATGACCATAACCCTCTTTCTCTCTAGTTTCCTCTGCTTCTGTGTATTTTTACGACTTTTACGGTTGTAACTAGTTACTTTGGTCTCCTCGTCTTTTTTAGTATCTTTGGGATCCAAGGGCAAGTTAGCTATATACTCTTCTGTAAATTCAACCTCTTCAGCAATAACCGCACTTAAATCTTCGTTAGGTTCAGGTGCTACGTCCAAATTCTTTTCAGAATCCAAAATTGTTTCAGCGTCATCTGTGTTTGGCTTATCCGCTTCTGCATCTTTGTTTTTATTGACATCTTCGATTTTCTTTTGGCTTTCAGAAGCAGTTTCGTTTTCATCTTTTTCATCGTAATTATGAACACAAGAGATTTCATCAAGGTTTTGATCAACTAAATCGACATTCTTACTTTCTGCATTTTCGGCTGCACGTTTCTCGTCAAATAATTTTTGCTCTTCCTCTGGAAAATAAGGCTTTGGGTTTACGAAATAAGGCAACCTGCCCCTTTGAAAATCATTGATGACCATTTTTGCCACACATGTTATGTCTGGTTCAGCTTTTTTAAACAATTTTCCGGTCCTGTAGGCTAACCGTTCCAAAAAATCATTTGCATCAGTCCAGTCACCAATATCATATATTTTCGAAAGTGCGTACTTATTCACACATTGTAGAACTTGGTCAATGTGTTGCTCTGGTTGTGGCACATTTTCGACTCGTACAGCTCCTTTCAGAAGCAGCTCTGTGTCTGACTCTTGACTGTTGTATACAACTCCGGGACAATCAATCAAATAAATCCTTTTCATCAAGGTTATATACTGCCACACTTTAGTTTCTCCGGCAATTGGAGCCACTTTGCAAACTTTTTTCTTCCTCAGAGTGTTGATTACAGAACTTTTGCCGACGTTTGGATATCCAATGATTCCAACTGAAATTTGTTTCAAATCCTTGTGCAGTACTGAGAACTGTCTGAGAAGTTGAATTAACGCTCCTTTGCCGAAAGGATTTTTCATGTTCGAATGCATTGCCATTGTGGGGTACTCACGAGAAAATAAAGCAACCCATGCTTTTGTTACCCATGTCGGCACTAAATCAACTTTGTTGACGATAAAAACCAGGTGTTTGTGTCGTTTTTCTTTCTTCAAGTAATTCTCAACCACTGGACTTCTTGTTCCCATTGGATTTCTAGCGTCTAGGACATACAGTAATATATCAGAAGAGTCAATCACTTTATACAATTCGTTCCAGATTCGCTTCGAAGAACCGGCTCCAAAGGACCAGTGTCTGGCCTCATCGCGAACACCGTCATCTTCTCTCACGACATCACGATCTCCGTCAATTTTGTACTCGCCTGATTTACTTTCGCATTTACTTGCATATTCTTCAAGAGACGTCGCAGTCACATTAGCCTGTTTTCTCTGCGCTTTCTTCCCGAACGTGTATTCGTAGCTTTGTGTTTCTAAGATGTGCATTCGGTTAAATTTTCCTCTTTCATTCAACAGAGTTATAGGTAACTTGGAAGGATTAAGAATGACCTGGTAAGGATCTTTAGTCACTGTCTCCAACTTGGTCTGAAAATCTTGAAGTGCATTCTGACCTATTACTCTAGTATTATTGAACCATCTTCTGTCAGGAGCAACTCTCGATTGCGTTCCAGGAGCCACACGCTGTTGAAAAATTGCTGCTTTAACAATTTTTCCAGTTTTATCTCTCTTAGCTCTTCCACCTCGGTACATATTGAGTCTGCTTATCGTGCTTTTGTCCCTCATATTGCTGCTCGTTTTCAGTCGATCAATATTGTCAGAACTTTTCTTTGGTTTTTTCATCGTCTTGACTTTACCCATTTTCCTTCCTGAAATAACAATAACACAAGTTAACACATTCAACGTCCTTTTAAATAATACTAGCGCGTAACGCACCTCCGGTGCTGCGGATTGTTGACAACTCATAAAAAACCGCATATATTCGAAAAGTGATCTTCATCTTTTGAGTGTGCTTTGACAGCACCCAAATGGAGGGTTGGTAACTTCAATTTCTTTAAGTTTTTTTAATATTTAAGTTTTTCTATAATCAAATTTTAAAAACCATCAAGTTTTGTGATGTTTTAGCAATTTCAAATTTTGAGAAACTTCAAATTTAAGTTTCCTGAAGTTTTCTATGAAAAAACTATGAAGAACGTCATATCTCGAAAACTACAAAGATTTGAGCAGTAATACTTGGAGGTAAGAATCGTGACCCCATGAGAGTATTGTGAGAGACCCAACTACTGGATTAGGAATTTCAAATTCTGAAAAAAAAAATCACATTTGAACGTTTTTTTTACAATCAGAAAGTCGAAAGTATCGTAGTAACCGAGGTTACAGTCAGGAGTCACTTTATCACATTATCCAGTCAAAATCCTCGGCATTTTCTAGATATGGAAGAGTCAAGTTAACGTGAATAGAAGTAAAGATGGTCCGATGGTGGGGAATCACACCAACCAGATTGAGAAAACTAAAAACCGTACAGAATATTATAGTGATTGACAACCATTCCGAGTTGTAACAATTGAGCCGCTACAATCGTTACAAAGCAATTTCAGATGACCAGGAAGGGTGTTAGAACGACGTGCCAGCCTTCCGGAAAAAAGATAAGACTGTTCTTCGTCTGGATTCAAGTATCCGGAAGGGTCTCGTGAGAGAACTGTAACTCTTCATTTTCACAACTTTTAGCTTCCTGAGGATGTCTTGAGTTGAATTTAATTAACATCGAATTCATTTTCAGATAATGAGAAGCTAGAAGTTGAGGGTAAGGGTTGATCCTTCTCCAATTTAAATTGTGATTTTTATCTACTGACCAAAAACAAAAGTATTATAATAAATAAGCAGTAGCCCTGTTTTTAGGAGTGACCGCGTGGTCTGGGGATACTGAGACCCAGCCATAAACTCACTATTTTCGCATATAATTAAGTTATTCTGAGCGTTTGTGCCATTCTGCCAGATGACACAGCACAACCTTCCGGCGACGTAAAAAAAAACGACTAAAGGCCTTATGAACGAAAAAGTGTTGCGAAGGAGGGTCAGAATGTTCTAGAATTTTTAATTTTAAAATTTCGATTGAAGAGTGAACATTTCTGAGAAATAGAAAAAGACGGCCATTTTGACTAAAAAAGACGGGAAAACACAACGACGCCATATATTGTGAAGAACAGTCGTACCAGAGACAGGAGAATTACGAAGCCTCTTATCGTGGAAATAACACACGATAAGAACCTTAGCGACGGAAATTTGTGGAGAAGGAGGCTTCAGTGGGGGAAGAAATATACCACGGGACCCTCCCGGGACACGAAAAATAAGAGATAAGAGTGTTATCTCAAGAATATTGCGGAGGCAGAGGCTTGGTCCCCCAGAGACTGTCTATGTGAAGGGACTGTATAGACTGACTGTATAGCTGCTATAATGTCATAGATCTTAAATAACACCGTTATTGTTTAATATTTCAGAGTATGAGTAGCTAGAAAAAGGAAAGGGTCAATCCATCTCCAATGGATTTAATATAGAACTGTCACACAAAAACATGTTAAAATAGGTTGTTCGAGCCGTGTTTTTAATGACAATCACGTAGTCTGAGGATCCGAGACTCAGCTATGTGGTTGTGTTCGCATGTAAACGAAAGCTGATCAAAAGTCATTTGACTGATGGCCTAAAAATGGTAACTTTTTACTTTGCCCTAGACAGACCAGAAAATCAACTGGCAAGGTCGAGACGGTGAAAAACGAGTAGAATTAAGGTAACTGACGCCTGCCAGTCGTTAATAGGTACTTTTTCTACGCTCCGTCGCTGTGTGATATTTGGGCGAATGTTACATAGACGTTTTTATGGCGCTCCTGGGTGGGCCTGTTGAAGGCATGAAACCATCATGATCAGCAAGCGTTTCAGCGACGTACCCTCCGCTCCGGGCGTATGCCCGAGTTAGAGGCCTTAATGACCGTTGTTGTACTAGGGGGAAGGTGCGTACCCTCCGTCTAGTACAATTTAGCTTTTTAACTTAGTTAACACCGAAATTTCCGGGGGCCGGAGGGTTAGGTGGGAAATCTAGAGCCCGCTTGTCCTGAGGTCCCAGGACCAAAAACAATTAAAGAGAAAGCGTAAAACCAAACAAAAATAGTGTATAACCAAGAAAAAGCCAAAAACAAATTTATTTGAAAACAAAAAAGTACAAAAAACAGTAAAAAATCCAAAAAAGACCAAAAACAGTAAAAAACATAAAGTGACAGTTTATATGTTATTTCCGGACGAGATGTGATCTGACCTTCCTATTTGTTGTTGTTTCAGATTGATTTATATCGTTTCTGATAGAAAGATTGTGTGTTTTGGTGAAGGGCTGGATACCCTCCCTCGAGTGTAATTTGAGTGTTTAAGCACATTAATGGTGATTTTGCCGGTGACCGGAGGGTAGAGTGGCAAGCTGATCAACGTGTTCCACACTCAACAGGGACATCAGGGACAACATCCGCAACGACTGTTGGGTATCGTTGAAGCAATTTTAGTATCGTTCGGGTACTATTTCATTAAAACTTAAGTGGTGGGGGGCAACGATTGGCGCGGTCCGATTGTACCCTCCATCGATTACAAATTTCCGAGTTAAGGGTCTTAATTCGGGTATTTTGGTACAAAGGAGGGTATAGTACTATTCATTAACGACTACTAATAGGTTATTATCCTTATTACATATTACTTATCTCCTCAATTAGATCCAAAAAACTGTACACCCCCAAATTTTTGGATATCCGAGCTTTTCCGAACAACAAAAAGCTTTTATATAGGGAGTAGCTACGTAGTTCAATCCCCCTAACTAAAGAAACCGCGTGAGAAAAGACTCAGTAGAAGTTGGAAAAAACCAAAATTTTTCGGTCAAAATTTCGATAATTTTTTGAATTTTGTCAAACTGTTTTGGGGATCGAGTTTTTGAGTTTTTAGAGTTAGAGCAATAAAACTTTTTGCGTTAGGAGCGTGCTAGCATAACGTGCTCGGTTACTAGAGAATTTTTTGGGTAACCCTCCGAGTAGCTCCGTGGATAGAGCTAACGACTTAAGGTTTGGAAAAGGAAGGAATCGGAGGGTCCAAATTTGATAGTTTTTGGCCAAATTTTTGTTTCTAAACCAATTTTGGTCCGGTTTTTTGCATTATTCCAGTGCCGTACAGGGCTACTACGCTCATTTCAAGTATTTTTAGGCACTTTCGACCGGAATTGCGAAAAAAGTCTTTCAGATCCTATACAGGTGGTGAAAAAGGCCATTTTGACGAACGCGTTTTTGGCGATTTCTCAAAGACTAGTTATCCGATTGGGATAATTTTGGTACCATAAGTCGACGTTTTTGACCACTTTTCCGAATCACAACCGTTTTTGGGATTGACAATCTCGGAAAAGAAAATTTTTTTAGAATTTGTTGGTTCGGAGGGTCCAAATTACAGGTAACCCTCCGAGCAGCAGAAAATTTTATCAAAACATCTTTTTATTCATCTGGGAAGGTTGACCGAGTCAGCCAACCTAGTTTTAAGTCAGGTAGACCGCTTTTGGAGACTTTGTTGCGGTGATATAACCCTTTTTCTTGATTTTGGGGGAACCCTCCGAAGTGACCCTCCAGAGTCAGCTAAACCCCTTAGCAACCCTCCTTAGTGGAAGATTTCCACGAGATCACCCAAAGAAGTTAAAACAGCTCCCCTTAGAGCTACTAGCTTGTTTTGACGCTTTTTGAAGCTAGTGGGAGAACCTTCTAAGCGAGATCAAAAAATTTGAAAATTTTGGAGGTACCCTCCGAAGTAACCCTCCGGAGCATATTAAGCATCTTATTGACCCTCCTTAGTAAATTTAGGGGGACCCTCCGAAGTAACTTGGGTGATTAAGGTACCCTCCGAAGTAACTTGGGTGATCAAGTTACCCTCCGAGGTAACCCTCCGGAGTGTCTTAAACCTTCTAACGATCTTCCTTGTTAGAGACTTGAGTAAACCTTCTGTGGCGATTTGGGAAACGGAAAATATCCATTTAATTAGGATCATATTAGGATATTAGGCGTGCTTATCAGGGTCATAGGAACCCATTCTGACCCGGGAATTCGTGATCAACTTTGGATTCTACGTTGGGTGTATCAGAAGTACCCGAACAAAGAAATTTTTTTGATTGTGATTTTGGTTGTGTGGTTGCCTTGAGCTACTTAATAGGAAAGTTCGGGCAATCCGGGAACAAATAAAAGACGACCTCGGTGAGTGTATTAGGCAAATACACACTCACTTGAGAAGAAAAGTTGTTCCCTGCTCTCGTGCACTTGGAGCGTTCCGGGTGTGGGGGAGCTTTTTCATAGACTTTAGAAATTTTCGATCAGAGGTTGCCTTGAGCTACTTAATAGGACAGCTCGGGCAATCGCAGGGCACCTAAAAGAAGACCTCGGTGGGTGTATTAGGCAAATACACACCCACTTGAGAAGACTGTGTCCTGGGCTTTGTTCTTTCGGATCGTTCCGATTGAGGGAAGTCTTTTTCTTTAAGGCTAAGTTTTATTGATCTGTTTCTGAGTCATCACTGCTTTTTATCAAAGATTGTTTAATTTTAACAAAGCAGTGACTTGATAAATTGTGTGGCGATAAATAGATACTGATAAAAGGTCGCTGTCACCTGTAGGATATTCTTATCTGATTATCTATTGTGTTTGGTGTGTTGATTATATCTTGTGAAAATTTTGTGATACTGTTATAATATACGACAGGGTTGAGCTAGCATTATATCAATACTGAGCAGGCCCTGTGTGTGTGTAACTCTAACGGAGTCATTAATATTGTCAATGAGAAATCTAAGAGACACTCTTGATACTTA